CCCTTGAACATCAGTTCCTGCTGGGACCTGGCGGGGTGAATAAGTAAACCCTGGAAGTGCAGGCTGGTTGTCGCTTTGTTCTGAAGGCCCGCATGCCGCCCCTGGTTCTAGGCTCCAGGGCTGGGGGTGTGAGGCATACCCAGGGTCCCCCGTCCCCAAGTGTCCCCGGGCCCTGGGTCCAGCATTGGCTGGAGGGCCAGTGGGCCACACTCATTTGCAGCTCAAGGTGGAGACCCCAGGCCCTCGTCCCGTGTGTCCTGCTTTACTCCTTTGTCCCCTCCTGACCGCGGGCTCTGACCGTGTGCAGAGGAGCCGTCTGCGCGGGGCTGGGGGTTCCACTTGCAAAGGAAGGGGCTGCTTGGCCTGAGAGGGCCCCGGCCACTGTCATCCGTCCTTGCTCGGAGCACTGAGGAGGGGTGGGCAGAGGCCAGCCGACCTCGGAACTGCTCTACATTCCTGCCGACGGAGCCGCCCCCTCCGCCTGCTGCCCGGGCGCCGACACCCAGGCCAGCCCCCGGCAGCAAGCCTGTTCCCCGGCAACCCGCTGTGTCCAGGGCTGGCTGGCTGCGGGGTCCGCCGGTGGCTGGGACCCAGTCACTCTGCGTGGCTGTGTCAGTATTTCCTATCTTGCAGCTGTGCGGTGAGGGGGTGGCAGGCCCTGGGGGGGCACAGCACCCCATTCACCAGCATTAGCTCTGGAGGGGCCAGGGCTGCCGGCATTCAGAGGTGATCGTGGCAACAGCTGTCCACGAGGCGCAGAGGTCCTCCCCTGGGGGGGCGGGGGCGGGCCTGTCATCCATCCTGCTCGTATCTGTTGGAGCTGCTCCCGGGTGTCACCGTGGTTGTCCCTGTGTCCCTTTCCAGGGTCTTCCTGCTGCCTTTTGGCCTGTGGCTGTGGGACCTCAACTGCGAGCCCCCAGATCCCTTCCCCCACCTGCCTTAAAGCTGGCCTCCGAGCCCGCTCTGTCCCGGCTCTGCGGCAGGCCCTGCTACCCAGGGCGCTGAGGCCAAGTCCAGCTCGTCCGGCTCTGAGGGGCCTTCCCTGGCCTGTCCCCAGAGACTGGTCTCCTCCATGCCACAGGCAGGCTCCTGACTCTGGGAGCAAGGGGCGGAGATTCTGCAGTTCTCTACTTAGGTCTGAGCTGAGCTGGCCTTTCCCCGGGAGGGCGGCTCCCAGTCACAGGCAGGCTTGGAGCACAGGGGCGGGAGCAGCGAGTTTGGGGAAGTGAGGGAATGCTGGGAGCTTGGTGCCTGCTGGAGAGGCAGGGTCACAGGCCACCCAGACGTCAGAAGTCCCCCGTCCCCCCCCCCCCCATGCCTCTGGGACCCGTGCTGCGGGTCCCAGCCCTGGCACGCAGCCCGGACGCTGCAGCAAGGCACCCGGGGCCCCCTCTCACACACCAACTCCCTGGGACTCTGCCTGGTGCGAAGCACTTGCCCCCAGACCCTGACTGCAAAGGGGTCTGGGACATGTAGTTTCAGCTCCCGGGCCCTGCAGAGCAGGAAGGCCTGGGCAGACTGGAAGGGGGCCTGCTTCCCAGTGTGGGTGACCCCGCCAGGGCAGGCTCCGCAGCAGCACGGAGCTCGCTGCAGAGCACCCTGGGTGCACTGTGTGTCTCAGGCAGAAACCACCAGGCCGAGCACGGGGGCCGCACCCTTGGTTCCTCTCCTGTTTTCACCCGGCAGCCGGGACGCACGGGGCACCCCGAGGGGGCGACCAACCGGGGCCCTGCCTCGGCCGTAGGGCGGGAGAGAGCGTGGAGAAGGCACTGCCGGCCGAGCTCCGGGCACCAGGGCCATGCTGGGGGCTCCGAGTGGAGCCCCTCTCACTGGCCTCTGGCAGGACATGCCCCGCCATCACTGTGGGGGTGACGCTGGGCTCGGCACACGTGTCCCAAAACTGGGACTGTTTCCCAGTGGGGCTGTCATCCTGAGGGAGGAGCCAGGGCTCCTGGTTTCTCGAGAGACCACCACCCTTGAAGGGGACGAGGTGCAGGTGGGCGGGCGGCCCCCCTCCAGGGCAGGACGACCCACGGAGGACCCGTGCCGCCGCTGCCGGCCGTACCTCTGCGCCTGCCATGCCTTTTCTGAAACGTAAACACGCGCTTTCAGCTGCAGCCCAGGGAGGCCCTGGCGGCAGGCGGGGTGGCACTGCGCCTGGAACGGTCTGGTGGCCTTTTCAACTTGTTGCAACAGCGGCCTGTAAACAGGTTCCGTAAGCTCCTGCAGAACAGCTCTGCCGCCAGCAATCGAGAAAACAGGGCCTCGGGCCTGCACGTCTGGGAAGAGCATCACGGGCAGGATCTTCCATCTTTCCCTGGCCACCGCCGGTCTTGGCACCAAGTCTCAGAGATGAGCCAGCTCTCGGCATGGTGTCACGGCGGCAGGTGAGCCAGTGGCTGGCACGGCCGTCTCTTCCCACGGCCGAGTCCAGGCCTGGGGCTGTGCCACAGGCCTGCGCCGGCCTCTGCCTCTCATGTCAAGGGACCAGCTTTGGCGGGGGCTGCGGGAGGGGTGGCGGGGCTGCGCCTTTTGCGGGGGCTGCAGATGTGCCGGGGCCGGCCATACTTCCACAGGCTGGGCTCTGGGCAGGAGCCCGGCCCCACCCGGGGCGATCGGAGGGGTGGCCAGAGGCAGGGAGGCCATGCATACATGGGGGCCAGCCTAGACCTCGAGTGCTGGGCCCTCGCTGCCCCTGCCTCCATCCCACCGGGCAGTTTCCTCTCCGAAGTGGGAAATCCATGTCCCCAGGCTTGTGGTCTCTTCATTAAAGTGACAGAGGATGGCCGCCTGGCTGAGCTGGAGCAATGATACTTCTGGAGGCAGGGGACTGGGGACTCGGGCTGGGGACACTGCGGACGGGGCTGTGCTTCGAGACAGACAAGATCAGCTTCCCTTTCCCTCCAACATCTCTGTACGCACCCTCCCCAGCCTGAGTGTTCCCCTCCCGGCTTGTCATGGCTGGCAGGGGAGCGGTGGGCCTATAGGGTGCCCTCTGTACCACCCTCTGGCACTGTCCACAGTACCGCCCCTTGCCCAGGCCAGCCCTCTCGGGCCCAGGGCCTCTGTCTGTCTTGTCTGGACAGGCGGTGAGGCCACGTGGCCACCTGCGCCCTCATCCGCTCCGACCGTTGTGCCAAGTTCCAGGGACAGCAGCAGCTGCAGGCTTCCTGAGGAACCCATGAAGGGGGAGCCGGCACTCCGGGGGGTCCTTTCTCACCTGAATCTCCCACCCTCATTAAAAAAGTGGGACTTTGCTCTGAGTGAGTCCCAGGCACATAGGAAGGCTGGTGAGCTGGTCAGCTGAACAGTTAAGGGGGGGCCAGGGACCCAAGGGGCAAGCTGACCTTCTGGTAGCAGGTGTCAGACTCAAATGCAGCTTGGTGTAGGCATTACTGGCTTGGGTAGGCGATCACTCCTCCTTCAGGTACAGCTTGATCCAGGAGCCCAGATGACGTGGTGGGAGTCTGTTTGTCTGCGTTCTGAGACAGGTCTGCTCTCCTCATGGAGACAGCCGCCTGCAGCTGCGGGCTCGGGGTCCATGAGTGGCCACACCAGGGCTTAGAGACGCCCTCCTTCCCAAAGGAAAAGTCGTAGGATGGAGCTATTTTGGTCTGGCACACTCTTTTGCCCAACCGGGAACAAACCACCTCGGACTGGGCAGTGCTCTGTCACTCTGAGTCCTAGTGTGGATGTGTTTACTCCGCCTGGACCCCAAGGGGGCCTCTTGTTTGTGGTGACATCAGCTGAACGTTCCTCTTGAAACCGGCTTGTTTAGGGCGAGCACTTGGAGGCCATTTTGGGCGGAGCTCCGCAGTCCGTGCGTGTTTTCCGTGGGACGCCAGCGTCTCTCTCGCCCAGCTCGGAGGAGCCCTGGAGGAGGGTCTGGAAATTTCTGGAAGGGGTGCAGGGACCAGCTCCTCCCTCGCCCTCGGTCCGCAGGTCCGCAGTCCGGAGCCGTCTCCCGGGGCGGCGGGAAGGGGATAGTGCCGTAGGCCTGCGATGCGCCATCCGTGCACCGCGAGGCCTTTTGAAACACGCAGCACCTGACCACTTAGTCAGGGGTGCTTTCCCTTAGACTGTCAGGTAAAAAGTGGCGACAGCCCGCACAACAGTGGCCGTCAGCCTGATGCCCTGCCTCGAACCATAAATGCACAGGCCACAGAAGACTCACAGCTTCTGGGCCCTGTCCCGTAATAAGGTTGCGTCTGATTGGCTGACTCTTGGTTCCAGAAATCCTTATATAGAAGTAAGGCACTCGAGTTTTCAAAAAGTCACTTTGGAGGAAAAGGGGTAGGTAATTACTATTATTATTTTTTGTACTTAGTTAAAGTTACATCTTTTTTGGTGAGATTGGTAAAAAACCACGTCTTTTGGTGGGCCGCGGAATTTTAGTGATTAGTCTGTGAGCGGTGAGATGAACAGGGTTGGAGCCCCCACTGGCTGCTGCGGGGACTGCGTTTCCCCGGATCAGGGTGGGGGTGCACTGCGCCACCCACCTGCCCCCCCCCCGCCCCGCCCCCCGCCTGGCCGGCCGCCGGGAGGTGCGAGGTGCGGGACAGATGCTGTGAGCTGTGGTCTCTCCCAGGCCCAAGCCGGCCCTCCGCACGCCGCCCGCCGCCCTCCACAGCCGGGTCTACCCGGCCTTCCAGCTGCGGTTGGGGGTGGATTTCCTGAGGCTGCGGGAAGAGGCATCTGGAGCCGGGGTGTTGGGGGGATGGCATGTGGGGCACTTGCCCCCTGAGCGCCCCGGAGAAGCGGTGTCCGCTCACGGTGGCCCACGGGCGGCGGGGCACGCAGGGTCTGCTTCCGGCGGTGGACCTGCGGCGGAACCCGGGCTGCCCACCCGGACATGCGCGTTCCTCCCGAGCGGGGTCCCTGCGGGCACCCGGCACCGGCCTCTGGAGCGGCTCCCAGCTGGTTTCCGGGGCGCCTACCACCGCCCACCCGCGCTCCTGCACGAGCTCGTGGTAACCCCCACCTCCCCTTTGTCCTTTCAGCCCAGCCAGCAGATCTCCTGAAGGTTCTAGAGTTTCAAAACCTGCCCGATGGAATAACCAAGACAACAGGCTTTTGCGCATCGCGGCGATCTTCCAAAGGCCCGGATGTTGCTTACAGGGTCTCGAAAGATGCCCAGCTCAGCGCGCCCACCAAGCAGCTGTACCCTGGTAAGAAGGGCAAGGCGGTTTGCACTGGTGGGGGGGCGGGGCCGTTGTGGGCCGGGGGTGTGTCCCCTCCTCCCGCCTCTGGCCGGAGCCTGGCTGGAGCCTGCATGTAGTAGTGAGAACACGCTTGCTCCCCCAGGACACCCCTCTTATGAGCCCCGCTTGATCTCATGACAGGGAAAGCCCAGCCCCGACCTCCATCACCATCCACCAGCCAAGGTGGCGTGGGGTGCCCCCCCCCCCCCCCGTCTCCGCCCTTCCCCCAACAGGTGTATGTCCAGCGCAGAGAGGCTGCCGGCATCCCTGGTGCGTCAGGGGGATGAGGGTTCCCAGGACGAGGTTAAGGGAGCCCTCGGGGTCATGGGAAAGGACTGCTTCCAGATGGAACCTGATGGAAGCGGGGGCAGTGACACCAGACACAGGGGCCACACGTGTGCCTCCCAGGGAGAGCGCGGGCTTTGCACGAGAGTCGATTTCCAAGGGCCCGAGCTCTGCTTCCCATTATCGCCCCGGAGTGGGAGCGGCGTTAGCTGCTGCGATGGGGCATACAGGTCGCCCCTGCCACCCTCCCAGACACTCGGTCATGGGGCAGTGTGACACCAGAGTTAATCACATGCTGGGAGCTTGTCTGGATGAGTGCGGACAGGCCAGCGATTGATAACCTCTCCCCTGGGCTTCCGGGAGCCCGTCTCTCGGATTCAGATCAGAAAGGGCCCGGGGTCCGGGGGCCGCACACCCACCTCGGGAGTGTGCCGTGGTTGTCAGAGGCTGCGGCGCACCGTCTCTCTGGTGCCTTGACCATGACCCGGCCGTGCTCAGGCTCTCCTTCGACAAGCCGTGCTCCCTCTTCATCCCACGTCCCCACGGTGTGTCCCTGGAGGACACACCCCCACTGCCAGTGCCACGGGGGCCTGCTCCGGCCCCATCTCCCACCAGTCGGTGCTGCACCCCCGTCCTCTCCATCATCAGCCCTTTCTGAGGCCATGGCTCCGGGTTGGTGAGATTGTTCAGGGCACCGAGTCCCTTCAAGATCTCTTAGGGAGCCCACCTTTGGGCGCCCGAGTCACCCTGGGGTCGGCTGTCCAGCCCCGAGACTGTCTCCTCATTGCAGATGGAGGTCACTGCCAGGCCCCTGGGTCACTGCCCACGAGGACAGCGGGGTCTCGGTTCCCATACATTTAGAGATGTGCTTCTTGACTTCTTAGGGCTCGCTCGTGGCTTTGGCTGGAGTTGCCTGCTTCCTCCCCGAGTCCCCAGTTTGGAATTCCTGTCCCGGGGAGATGGAGGGTGGCCCGGGACTGTGGTGGTGGCTGTGCAGTGGGACCAGGGCCCGAGGTGCCGTGCCTGCCCAGAGCTGAGGCAGTAAAAGGCCAGAGGGCGCAAACAAGGCATCTTACCTTGGCACTGACCTGTGGTCCGTTGCTGACGGTTCCTTTCATCTGACCTCTGTCACCCAGGTCAGGGGCAGGGGCAGACACACCCACTGGACTTTGGGTCCCCACACCCATCTCCTCCTGTATCAAACTGTGGCAGGAGGGCCCTGGGGCTCTCAGAACGCGGGGCTGGCTGGTCGTTGGGGGCCTGGGAGGGATTCCCGGGCAGTGCGGCCCAGAAGTTTTTAAGTCGCTTTCCCCTGAGCTCTCAAATGAGGGCCCGGTGAGACTCCCGCGGGACCCTCTAGCCTTCACTAGCGCACGTGGGGGGAGGGGGCAGGACAACAAGTGGTGGTCCCTCGGCACAGCCTCGTGTGCGGAGCCGCGTCCGGCCTGTGGACCTGGGAGTGTCTGCAAGGGCCCTTCTGCGGGTCCCCAGGCACTGAGTTGGGGAACTCAGGAGGACGTCCTCAGAGGTCCACGAGGTGTGACTCTGTGCACCCCGACCTGATGGAACCACACAGCTTCTTTGCTGCTTGGAGTCTTGGAATAACACACCACTTGTCACCTGTTGGCTTTGCTGCCCGTCCCCCAGAGGGTGGCTGAGTCCGCTGGCATCTGGGACGCCCGTGTCTGATGGGCAGGGAAGGGACAGTGTGTCCAGTGGCCACAGCACGGGGGGCGCGGCCCCTCCTCTGTTCCCGTGTCGAGGGTGGAGGTCCTGTCTCTATTTTGTTCTCCCCCTGCTAATTGTGGGCACTGAGACTCCCTTCCTGTCCAGGATCCGAGGCCGGGCTGGACGCGGTGACGTCCCCCAGCCCCTTTGGCCCTCGGCTTCCCTCCACGGTGGGCCCGGGCTGCAGTATCAGCCGCCCTCCAGCAGAACACCCTGGCTTAGTAGGATTCAATTAAATAGCACGTGCGCACAGTAAACGCCTGCTGCATACAGCTGCTGCTCCAGGGCCCGTGGGCCTCAGCCCACGTGAACAGGATGTGACGTGTAGAATCGGTGACGGCCTCTTGCTGAGCCCTTCCCCACTGTAACGTTCCTCTGAGAAATAAAGTCCCCAGTGATGGTGGCAGCTCCATGGTCCCAGCCCATGTGCTGGCGAAGTGTGTCAGGAGCTGGCTCCTGGAGGGGACCCTGTCTCAAGTGACACAGGTGCCTGTACCTTTCCTTATTCACGCCTCAGCCTGTGCTTGGGGCCCACGGATGGACGGTTTCTCAGCCTGCCTCCGTCCCGGCCTCAGCACCTCACCCAGCTCTCCCAGCTGGCCAGTAGGGACACTGGGTTTCACTGCAGTTCTGTCCCCTTCTGCCTTCCCCCACCCCCACCCCGGCCAGATCTCGCCACCCTGGTCCTACTGTGGACACAGAGGCCACGGCAGGCTCTCTCCTCGCCCCCTGGAAGTCTTAGGACAGTCTTGGCCTGGTGCTCTGGACGCCCCCTTCACTCCAGCACGGCACCACTCTGCTCTACCAACCAGAAGCAGAGGCCCGCTGCCAGGTCACGTGGCCATTCCACCAGCAGAGGGCACCCTTGGGTAGCTTCCTCGCTGGGCCTCATGCTGGGCCATCTGGTTGACCTCTTACCTTCCGAAAGGAACAGCTGGTAATGGATCCTTTCCTCCTCCGGGCTCTGAGCCAGCTCCACTGCCCTCGCTCACACCACTGAGTACAAGCGGCAGCCACGCAGGCTCTGCCCCTTCCCGGCTCGGTGAGCGCTCCCGACCCCTGTGCGCGCTGCTCCTCCTGGCCGGTGTGGAGAACTGCAGCACCGCACACCAATTAGCCGTGTACCCGGGGTGCTCTGCGGGCCCCCAGGCTCTGGGCAGAGCTGCAGATCGTGCACGGGGGCAGGAGAGTCGAGGGGCTGCCTGGGTGGGGCGCAGGGGTCTGGAGCCTGTGGGGCAGGGCCCGCTGGGGCCTGGCTTTAAGGAGCTCCAGTGGCTCCTGGCCTGTGTTGCAGGGGGCAGCCCTGCCATCACCACGACGGGCTGCTTCCTTTGCTTGTTTCTCTCTTGGTTCTCTGTCTGTTTCTTTCCACTTCTTTTCCATTCTGCGCGTCAACCGGGAAACAGCAAAACACGTGATTCTAGTCGACCCCCTGCCTCCTGCCCCCACGGCCCTCAGAGGGTGCTGAGTAAGACGCGCCCTGCCAGGCACAGCTTTAGGCACTAACTACACGGGGTCAAAGATGCACCTGAAATGGCCCGCCCCCAGAAGCTTGAGTTCTGGGAGTTTCTCACCAGGACTTACACACAAGTGTCTTAAGGCGTCACGACAGAAGACGGCATGGGAGGCTCACAGCTAGAAGGACCAGTTAGCCTTGCATTTGACCTGAGCCTCCACGGGGTCAGGCTTGGCTGTGTGGGGGTAGATGGGGCTGCAGGAACCGTTTGATCAAGGGGCAGCGAGGGCCAAGTGCCCTGGCTCACAGCAGGTGGGCATGTTGAGTGTGGCGGTGGGGCATGGCAGGGGGCTCGGCAGGGGGCTCCCTGGCGGCCTCTCACCTCCGTCTTCCCTCCCAGCGTCCGCGTTTCCTGAGGACTTCTCCATCCTCGCCACTGTGAAAGCCAAGAAAGGCAGCCAGGCCTTCCTGGTCTCCATCTACAATGAACAGGGCATCCAGCAGATCGGCCTGGAGATGGGCCGCTCCCCAGTCTTCCTCTACGAGGACCACACGGGCAAACCGGGGCCGGATGATTACCCCCTCTTCAGGGGCATCAACCTGTCTGACGGCAAGTAAGTGGGCACCCCTCTGCGGCCCAGTCCTGCTGGGGGGTCTGGGCAGGCCCCCAAGAGCCCACGGGCAGGTGGGGCTTTCCAGCAGGCCATGCTCCACGGCAGCAGGTGCCAAGACAGAGCGCCCCAGGTGCGCCCCAGGTGGAGTGAGCCCCGGGCTTGGAGTCGGGGCGCTGGGTCCCGCTCTCCCTTCTCCCTGGCACAGCACACGGAAGCGCGCCAGGCACCAGCCTCTGAGTTCGGAGGGGACTTGGGAGGTGGTGGGGCTGTACCCGACTGGTTCTGCAGAGGATTTAAGGAGTCCTGCCAGCCAGAGACGCATTAGGTGTGGGAAGGACTGATGGAGAACAGGCGGGCCTTCCCAGGAGGTGTCAGGCACACACCTAAACTCGTCTGGTTGGGAGTCGCCTCAGTGGGGGCCCGCAGGCCTGGGGCCACAGGCCGGGAAGACCTTCAGGACCCGGTGGGTGGGTTTTGCGTAGATGCCTGGGTCCCACCCTTCCCCGTCAAACTCAGTTGCTCCATTTGCTGTCGGGGTTCAGATGGTCTGTGTAAGACCACACCCCCGCGTGTCCCTGTCTGGGCCCCACTTGCGAGCACGCTGCTGGCTTCAGGGCCTGTGGCTTCGGGCTGCAGACCTGGGCTGGGAGACAGGGTGACGGGGGCTCCCAGAGGGTGGGGGGGCCTCTTGTGGTGGCGCATGGTGTGGCTGGGACTTGTGCAGAGGCTCTGCCCCTGCGACGGTGCGGGAAATGGGTCTCCTTCCCCGGGTCCCCAGTCACGGGCCACGGGGTCCCCGTGCCCGCGCTCCACGACGGCCCCTCCACCCGCCCCGGCTACTGTTTCTCCGCAGGTGGCACCGAGTCGCACTCAGCGTCCACAGGAAAAACGTCACCTTGATCCTGGACTGCAGAAAGAAGGTCACCCAGCTCCTCGACCGCAGCGACCACCCCATCATAGACACCAACGGCATCGTGGTGTTCGGCACACGGATCCTGGACGAGGACGTGTTTGAGGTGAGCAGGGGGCCGGCTGCCCCCTGACGCTGCCCGGACGGAGCCGCTGCGGCTGCTGTCGGCAGGCCTGTCTCCTGCGTCGGGGACAGCTGGCATGCTGCCGTGGCTTCTGCTGGTCTGAGGTCTCTGCTGCCGTCCTCAGGGGCGTTTGTGGCCCGTGGGGATGGAGCGGCCCTGTGAGGACAGTGGGGGCCACCCTCATCCAAGGGGACCGATATCTGCCTTCTGGGGCCCACTTGGGCAGGACTCTGGTCTTCCGACATCTGAGGGCCATTGGGGTGGATGGGGGGGTCGGAGCTCGGCCAGCAAGTGGGGGTGTCGGAAGGGCAGGCGCGGCTGCGATTTGGGGCTGTTCTAAGTCAGTGGGGCGCGCAGTGCCCAGCCTGGGGCTTGGATCTTCTAGGAAAGCCTCAGGAGCTGGACAGTGTGGGGGGGGCCCCACCGCAGAGACCCCCGGGGGGCCCGTGCTCCTCTCCTTCACCCACTCGAGCTCAGCATCAGACAGCATGGGGGACTCACTCCCGCTGCTGGGGGAGGCAGCTGCCACCGGAGCCCAGTGCTCCCTGGTGTTGGGGTGCATCGGAGCGGGGCGCCTGTGAACGGTCAGACCTCTCGGGCCCACCTGCCGAGGGGCTGCGGCAGGCCCTGGAACCTGCATTCGGACGGCACGTCGGTGACTCCTCTGCTGGCCTCTGGCTGTTACACACCACGCCGTGGATACACGCCACTCTGTGGAAGGGCTGGAGTGTGTTTGGAGACCACCAGGCGGGGCGGCCCCCGAGGCCCCCCAGCTGTGGGATCCCAGATATCAGACAGGATGTCTTTGCTCCCCAAGTCTTCCAGGGCCCACATGCTCAGCCGAGTTTGAGTGACTGCGTTCCAGTGGCGCTGCTGGGGACTCTGGGTGGGAGAGGATGCGGGCCGACCCCCGCCCCGGTCCTGCTTTAGCCGTGCTGACGGCCGTGCAGACTCCAGTGTCCCTGGAGGCTCGTGTTTCTCCAGGTCGCGATGGGGCTGGGGGCCAGCTGCGACCTGGGGGGTGGGCTGGCCTGTGTGCGGTCCCCGGGGACCCAGGCCCCTCTCCCACGGGCCGGGGTGTCTCTGCCCCCCCCTCCATCCCACCCGGAAGGTGGGGTCGCGGACACGGCAGCTTTGTACGGATGCGGTCCGCCTGGCGCTGCCTTCCTCGGACGGATGCAGCACCCGAGAGCGTCAGCAGGCTGTCCTTGCTACCAACCCAGCGTGGAGCGGGTGGCAGAGGGGCTGGAGCCCGGCGTGGGTAACCAGGAGCGGTCAGAGCCACCGCCTGTGCGTGGAGCCGGCTGAAGGCTGGGGGGCCGGTCTGTGGCTCCTGCTGAGCCCATTGGCCCTCGGGTGGAGCGTGCTTCCTGGGACGCCCAGGCCCATGGGGCGGCAGGGCGGGCTGCGCCCGGATCCCACCGGCTCCACTAAATTTTGTCAGTTACGGCACCGCACCCTGACCACGCGCCTGACCGGAGACTGGGGATGAGCTGCAGGCAGCGGGGCGGCTTCGCGGCTCTCCGGGGAGCCTGGGGGTCGCACGGGGTGGGTCGGAGCTTTGCTGGTGGAGGTGAAGCAGGTGGCACTGGTGAGCCTGGGGATGCTCATTTGTAAAATGTGGGGACTGGTGATGACGCCCCAGAGGTGGTGGGGCGCTTGCCGGGGCTCACCCAGGAGGCTCGGGCCCCTGCCAGGGCCACTGCCGCCACCGCCCATCCTGCCGTCGGCGGAGGTTCTATGGAGGCGGGAGGTGCGCCGAGGTGGGCGGCGCGGGGCAGGTGTGACTGAATCGGCCGTGCGGTAGCTTTTCCTCGCCATGCAGGCCCCGGTGACTCCTAGGGCCTCATGGGCGTGCACTGTGACTTTTACTGGAAAGGGATAGGATAGAGCTTTATTGATCTTTAAAAATTTAGGATCCTAAAAAAATTCTGCTTCCTCGATGTTCTCAGGGAGCCAGAAAGGCCGTTTCTCCTGGGCCCAAAAGCACACGGGACCCACCGTGCCAGGAGGCGCCCTGCTGGCCTGAGATGCAGCCCCATCTGCCAGCGGGGACTGTCACGGTGCCCCTCCCGACTGGGAGTGTGTGGCCCGCAGCTGATGTCCTGTGGCCGTCCCCACTGTCACCGTTAGGGAAGGGAAGCTATTCATTGTTTCCCGAAAGAAGTGGGTCTCCCACTGAACCACTTCTCCACTGGCCTCTCACTCGGAGGCTGGGCACCGCCGGGCAGGAGTCCGCCCCAGATGCTGGAGGGCCCCTGTGTCCGGTCCCGGAGTCGGTTTGCACGAGAACGGGGGCCCTGCCAGGGAGAGATGTTTGCCGGCCACACGCTGTTCGCGCTCCAAGGGACAAGTGTCTGTGGCCCCAGGCCCCCTGGCTGTCCTTCGACCCGCCTCTGCCCGTGGGGACCGGTGGAACCCGTGACGCCTGGTGGCCTTAGCCCATTCTGTTTTCAGTCTTCTCTCCTTCACGGGGCAACGGGGTAAAGCTGGGTGGGGTGGCCTCCTATTCCCAGCCGCCCTTCACCTTGCAGCAGGTGACAGAGTTTTTATTTCTTTCGATATGAAAGAGGTTTAGCTCCCTCTTTACCCACGCCACTTCTAGAGCGGACTCTCCAAAAGGAGGGGCCGGCGCCCCGGAAACTGCCTCTCCCCCTGGAGAAGCAGCCACACTCCCCCCCCCCCCCGGAAGGGGACTCCCTCGTTAAGAGTGGGCTGGTCCCCCAGCCCCGTCCTCCCGGGAATTTGGTGGAGGGCCGTCCCTGGGCCCCTGACACTGAGCTTTGTGCTGGGCGCTGTCCCAGACAGGAATCGCCACACTCTGGAGTCTGTCGGGGACCCCGGGGTGGTCCCCAGGGTGTGGGGGGCCGCACAGAGGCCACCTCTGTTGGGAGTGAAGCACCGTCGGGGGGCAGAGCCAGGCAGGGAGGCCAGCAAGGCCCACGGCGCCTTCCTCCAGGGCAGCGCCCAGCGTTGGCCAGACGGCACCGGGGCCTCCTGGGTGCGGGGCCGAAGCAGCATCTGCATCCTTTGCTTCCTTGGCCTCCCCAGATGTGGTGTGACCCTGGCGTGACTCTGGCTCTGACCGGGTCACCCTGCGGTCCAGGGGACATTGGACATTCCAGTCCCTTCCAAAGCCACCACCTCGCTGTTCCTGGTGATTTGTGTCCCGTGTCCTGCCCCTCCTCCTGGACGTGGCTGTGCTCCGGCCTGTCGAGCAGCAAGGGTCCTGGGGCGTGGCCCCAACCCGCGGGGAGCAGGTGCTGGGCGGGCTGGCGGGCCCAGTCAAGAGGGAGCCCTTCCTCAGACCCCTCATCAGAGGGGCCCGAGGCCCCCCGGGCAGGGCGGGTCTTGTTTCTGTCAGGGTTCTGGAATGAGTACCGTGTCTCTGGAGACAGCCGGCCTGCCAGGGAGTGAGTCAGTGCTCAGTGTGAGGGGGCAGGGATGCGTTCCTCGGTGGCTGAGCCGGGTGGGAGGCCAGTCCGGGTCGGCGCTGGCCAGCGGGGTCCGCAACAGCACATCACGTGTGTGCTCAGCCCCTCGCCAGCCCTCCCGCCCACCAGGGAGGGTGAGTAACGCGCCGAAGGTCGCCCAGCAAAACTGCAGCAAGGCGGGAGGCTGGACCCCAGACCCGCCACTGCCGGAGCCAGACGGCCCTGCCCTGACGTCGTGATGGACTTCGGGTGTGACGGTCACAGCAGCCCCTGGTCTCTGTCCACCTGACCACGGGGACCGGGTCCTCAGAAACCCGGTCAGGACCTTTCCTGGCCAGTGTGCATCCGTTGTCATAGCGCTGACGGTGTCCTGCCCTGCGGGGTGTGTGGAGACAGGAACCTTCTAGGAACAGCCGGCACCAGCTGTCTGCAGGGACTGTGGCCTTCCCTACGTGACCAGTGACCTCACAGTCCCTCAGCCTGGACTTCTGTCTGGTGCAGGTGGCGGCAGCCTGCTGGCTGCGGGCCCGAGACCAGCTGGGCATCGGGAGGGTGCGGCTGCTCAGCAGGGGCCGTTGGGCGCGTGTGACACAGGGACACGGTGCCGTCTCCAGTGGATGTTTGTGCCAAGGGCACATCCCCCTGGACTCTCGCCTCGGGGGCCGGGGTGGGTGGCCAGCTCTGAGGACACGCCAGTGCCGGCCTGGGTGGCGCTGGGCGCTCACGGTCCATGTGCGGCCCAGCAGCTGGGGCGGCTGCTTCTACCCGGGGGGCCCGGCGAGGAGGGGGCCAGAGACACGCCACGAAGTCCCCAGGCCCAGCCTCTCCTGTGGCCTGGCCCAGACGGGCTGACGGGATGCCACAAGCCCGGTCCTGTGGAATGACATCACCGCGGACTTCCCGGTGTGTGGGTCCCTTGGGAGGATCAGTGCTCGGGGCTGCAGGAGGGGAGTGTCCCTGTGTGGGGACCTGAAACGCTGCAGTGACTCTGGAGGGAGGGGCGGAAGTGGGGACGGCTGTCAGGAGGGGTGGAGGGTGGGCAGCTGTCCTGGAGGAGTGGCCTGAAGCTCCAGACATTGTCCCCAGGTCTCACCAGCAGGAGGGGCGGGGGCTGTGGGCAGCTCTGGCAGTGCCCGGCCCCCGCTCACCATGCACAAGGCCTTGACCAGCCTAGGAAAACGGGGCTGCTGGCTGGTGGTGAGGACGCAGGAGCGGACCCCTGACCGAGCCCTCAGCTCTGGCCCACGCTGTGGGCACATGGGTCGCCTGACCACACTGTTGGGGGGGAGTTGGTTATTATTAGAATCCCAGTGACAGTAGCAATGACCCTTCCTGTCACTAGTTCCTCTGCTTCACAGATGGGGAGATTCGGGGGGTCGTTGAGCCCAGTCGGGAGGGGAGCAGCTGGAGTTCAGCCTCCCTTGCAAAGGGCCTGCTCACGGGTCGCAGCCCCAGTGTGTTGGGGGGGAAGCTGAGACCCCTCCGAGGAGGGGCCGTCCCAGGCTGTGGGGATTGCACCATCCCGGGAGCCCTCTCGTGGCCTTGGGAGAAAGTCTGAGGTGGGCGCAGGGTGCCCACCCCCCGAGCCTGTGTCCCGGGGCTGGAGGGCGGCCCAGCTGAGTTTGGCAGCGCCCTCGCCGGCGGTCTTCAGTGCCCCTGCTGCGAGTCTTGCTGTGAGAACATGGAAAATCCCCCTCAGATGCTCGCTCCCGCCCACGCCGTGCTGGCTTCGTGTGGAAGTTCTCAGCCCTGGGAAGGCCAGGCGCCTGGGGCCTCCGCCCGCCAAGGAGCCTGCCCGGCCTGGCCGCTGCCGGCTCAGACACCCGAGGCCTGGGGGCAGGGGTGGGAGATGGGCCGCGAGGACCCCTCTGGTGGCTGTGGGTCGGCAGAAAGACCCCAAGTCAGGTCCGACTGTCAGGGACACCGAGTGCCGGCCCTGGCCGGCAGGAGCGAACCAGGACGGTCTCCTGGCTGAGGCTGTGTTCTGGAACCTCGGAAGTGAACGTAGTCCGGGCAGATGTGAGTGTCCGCACAGGGTCCCCCCAGTCAGCCGTGTGAGAGCCGGACAGGGGGGTGCAGCGTTTCCTGCGGGAAGGACTCGGGGGCCGGAGAGTCAGCCCGAGAGAGACCACGGGGTGGCGCAGTGCCGCGTTCAGGACGGATGACCGGTGACCGAGGGTCTGGACCTCGCCCGGCCGAGGCCGAGTGTCGGCGCTGGGTCTGAGCCTCAGACCGGGTGGGCGGGACGGCGCCTTGGTGCCCAAGGCTGCAGGATCCCGCCCAGGGGGCAGGATGAGGGGGCAGCAGAGTGAACCTGGTGAACGGAACGTTCGTGGGGGTGAACGTGCAGCACCCACCCCCCCACCCGGGCCCAGCTCTGAGGCCACCCCCTCCGGAACGCCCTCCCGGGCCGCCCCGGGCAGTCAGCCGCTCACTCGGGCCGCCTCCGGAGGAAGCACCAGGAGGCCGAGACTTGGGGCTGGGAACACAGGTCGTTTGTCTTTGTGTCCATGAGCCTCGTCGTGGATGGGCTACAAATGCTGGCGAGTGGGCGAGGGGACGAGCGGTCAAAGCCGTGATGTGGGGGAGGCTGCTGAGTCCGCGTCAGGGATCGAGGGCTGTAGCTGGTGATGACTGGGGTGGAGGTGGTGGTGGTGACGGTGGTGATGGCTGCTGTTCATTTGGCCCCGCCGTGTTTGGGGCCCGGGGGCAGCAGTGCCGCGCAGACCCTCACCCTCGGTCCTGGGGACGCTGCTGTGAGGTGGATCTTGTCCTCCTCCTGTCGAGCCAGCCAGGGAGGCCCGGACAGAGGCGGCGACACACTCAGGCCCCCGAGGTGGGCAGGGGAGGCCCCTAGCGCCCGGGCCACTGGTGGTCCGTGCCTCGCCTCTGTCTGTGCTCGCGCGGAGGTCCCCGTGTCTTCCTCTGGGGAGCTCGTCACAAAGCATGTGTCCCCGCGGGCCTTCCAAGAGGGCTCCTCACTCAGCCCTGGTTTGTGCGTCTGTGACATAGGACGAGGGGAAGCTGGCCCTGGCTCTGTCCCGGAGCGGCTGTGGGGATGCACGGGACTTGTCCGTGTGGCACACAGAAGGGGACAAGGGCAGGGGATGAGGGACAGTGAGGCTGTGCTGGGCAGTGTCCCTGAGAAGGCCCTCCGGTTGGGGCTGCAGGGGACCGGGGTCTGTACCGACAGCCCCAGCACTGGGCGGGGCCCCTGCTGTCGCCCCAGCACCTCCAAGGGCAGCAGCCCGGCTGGCCAGAGGTGGAGCCGCCCACCAGTGTCCTGCAGACGCCCAGGGACAGGGCTCCCCTGCGGTTCCCACTCAGGAGAGGGTCACCCAGAGCAGAGGCACACACCAGTCCTGTGCTCGCGCACACACACACACGGGCATGTGCGCAGACAGGTGCGTGTGTCCCTACACACATGCATGGGCATGCACACACTGATATATACACACATGTGCACACTGACATGTGTAAACACACAGGCACACACATGCACACATACACATTCACGTAAATACAAACCAAACACCCTCAGACCCTGCAAGTGGGGGATGGGCTTGCAAGTTGGGGTGCAAGGCTGCCTCTGGTGGGGGGGCAACAGTCTTTCCAAGGTCGAGGCCAGGCTGCGGGAGGGCTTGGGGGGGTCAGTGCAGCCCACCTGACAGGCGGCCTGGAGCAGAGCAGCCCCGGGCGCCCTCAGGAAGGTCCAGGACCGTGCTCACCAGAGACGCCAACCCGTGGCCGGCCTCACGGAGCTGGCACCAGAGGCCACAGGCCCAGGCAGCCCACCCTCGCTGTGGGTGGTCCCCACACTTGCAGCTGGGCACTTGGGGCCATGCCTCGGGAGGCGACCTGAAGACGCTCCTGCGAGTGTCAGAGCCTCAGTTGCTGGCTTTCCAGGTGAAAGGCAGCAGTGCCAGGTCAGGGCCAGCGAGGGGCGTGCTGGCCCCCGGTTGCTGGGTGGTGGCCACAGCTCTGAGTGCAGGGGGCTGGGCTCGTGAGAGGTCAAGTCCAGGGGCTCATGAGAGGTCAAGTGCAGGGAGCTTGAATGGTGCGCGGTCGGGGTTCGAAGCGTCACCGGGTCAGGGTGTGTCTCTGGGCCTGGCCCCCGCAAGCGTGGGGGACACGGGGGCCCGAGGCCTCCAGAGGCTGCGTGGGTGGCTCCAGACTTGGGGACGGTTGGGACAGACAGTCTGGCATGTGCCCCCTTGCTTCAGACAGAAATCTGTTGGCTCTGATCTGATGTTTTGGAGGAACTGAAGGATTTCCTGAGGTCTCCCCGGGGACGGAAGGGGGGGCACTTTCCAGGGGGCAGCCCGGGGCTCAACACGGGAGGTGGGAGCTCGGGCCGGGGCTGCAAGGGCCCTTGTCAGTCCGCCTGCTTGTTCAAATGGCCAGAGCGTGTGGCTCCTGAGCACCGTGCCTCAGTTTCCCCCTCTCCACAGTGGGGTGGGGCAGTGGCTAGATCCCCACCCTCTCTGAGATAAGCATTCAAAAAAAAAGGGGGGGGCCTTTTTTCGGTGTGAAAACGCACCCAGAGATTTGTGGGAAGAACGATTTTAAACACGTACCAACCTTTTCAGGGAAGGGGGACCCCGGAAACGAAGGGGCTTCACGCCCCCTGGGGAGCTGTAGCCCACAGAGCTGTCTGTGTGGGGCCTGGGGGTTCGGAGCTCGGGGCTCATCATTCGGGGCTTTCAAACCCGAGAGTCGGGGGGCACATACGTGGAACCCTGCCTCAGGGGCCGGGGGTCCACAGGCCTATGCTGGACTCAAGGACAGTCACCCGTTCTGCCGACGGGTCACCCCCACTTCACCCCAGATTTCCCACAGAGCCTTTGGGGAGTGGGCTGTCTGGGGACCCACGCTTCGTGACTTTGGGGGCAGGCCACCTCTGCTCCTTCCTGCATCTCTCTCTGCTTTCCAGGCGCAGGGTGGACGGGTGGCCGGTGGATGGGTGGGCAGAACACCCCAGCTTCGGAGGTTTCGGGGGCAGCGGCTCCGGAGGGGAAGGCTTCTCCTCTGCGACTCCAGGCTACCGACCTGGGTGCCTCGCGGGTCCTGCGTGCGGCCTGTTCACGGGCTTTCCTCCGTCCCCAGGGCGACATCCAGCAGCTGCTCTTCGTCCCCGACCCCCGGGCGGCCTACGACCAGTGCGAGCACTACAGCCCCGACTGTGACACGGCCGCCCCGGACACCCCGCAGTCCCAGGACCCCGGCCCGGACGAATACGTGAGTGGGCCCGCCAGGCTCCCTCGGGGCGGGGGCGGGAGGACGCAGCGCCCGTGGCAGCCCCGTGTTGAATCCCCGGGGGCGAGAATTGGGGCCGAGCCACAGAGGACGTTTGTCAGTGAGCCTCCCCCCTGAGCTGCAGGTGACTTCTAGGTGAGGACACGAGGTGTCTCTGTCCCTGGCCTGAGACCAGACGGAGCTGAGTCTGGGGGGGGGGGCTGCCCAGAGCCTGTTGCATGACGGTGGGGGGGGGGCTCTGATGGCCATCTGCACAGAGTGGCAGGCCCTCTGACCCCCCAAGTCCATGCGAGGCGCTGCCCGAGCCCCACACCCTAGGAGTGTGCCCTGGGCTTCATCCCCTGCCCGGGGCCCGCTGTGTGGTCTGGGGTCGGCCGTTCTTGTCCTCCTGCCCGCACGGAGTGGCACCCGGGTTCCTGAGCTGCTGTCCTCTTTGTGTCCTCATGTGCTGGTTTCCCCCTAGTACCCGGAAGGCGAGGGCGAGGGTGAGGGCGAGACTTACTACTACGAGTACCCCTACTACGAGGACCCAGACAGCCCCAGCAGGGAGCCCACTACCACCCAGAAGCCAGTGGAAGCCGCCAAGGAGACCACGGAGGTCCCCGAGGTCCGCGGGCGGGCCCCCGGGTGGGACATGGGGGATGGGCGGGAGCTGCGGGGACAGCGGGCTTCTGCAACACCGCCCCTCTCCGCCCGGCTCGCAGGAGCTGACCCCGTCCCCCACGGCGGCCCTTCCGGTGCCCGCCACCAGAGAGGGGGCCGGGAAGGAGGAGGACCCCGGCATAGGGGACTACGACTACGGGCCCATCGAGGACTACTACACGCCGCCCCCTTACGAGGACATCGGCTATGCCGAGGGCATCGACGACCCCGACCAGGCCCCCGACCACGGCGCGGGGGCGGAGGTCCCCACCAGCACCACGGTCGGCGCCTCCAACGCCTCCAATGTAATTCCTGTCCCTCTGAGTGGGCGGGGCGGGGGAGGACCGCCAGGTGGGGGCGCTCCTCCGTTCTCCACCTGTCCCCTCCTCGGGTGTCCTGGGGAGCCCTGTCCCCAGGGCTGCCAAGCAGGGTTGGGGTCTCTGACCCACCGAGTGGGTCTGGGCACTGCAAAGGGGCAGAGCGAGCCCCATGCCCCGGTCAGGTGGCAGTGGGTGAGGATGGTGCTGCAGCCCGTGCCCCTGTGTGCGGCCTGGGCGGGGTCGGGCGGGGTCCGGCGGGAGGTGCGAGGCCAGCCCTACAGGGAGCGATGGGGGCTTCCCCATCGGGTGGACCTGGCCTATGTCCCTGCCAGTCACTGACCACATGGCGCTGGTGTGCCCGCCCCCTGGCTTGTCACCCAGGTTCCGGATTAGGAAGGAATTCGGCGACACAGAGTGGAAGCTTAAAATAGCCAAATCCTCGTTGGCCACAGAGTGGACCCGTGGGGTTCTGACGGGACCAGGCCCTCTGCCAGTGGGCGTGGGATGAGGGACACTGTTGTCCCCAGACCCTGAGGCCCGTGGTGGAGGCCTGACGTCCCCGACACCCCTGGGCGCAGCCCCAGTCAGCTGAGGCGTCTCGGCAGGTGGGCGGGTGCCAGTTTCCTCGTGGTGACAGTGAAAATGTGCGAACAGACTGCCAGGGACCCCAGAAACTCGCTGTCCCACAAGTTGGACTCCAGGCTCCAGGGAGGCCGCCATCCCTGGGTCCCTGAGGCTGTGGGCCTTCCGCCCCGGTGACCCTGTTCCCTCTTGCTCCCAGCCGGCTCCACCCCCTGGGGAGGGGAAGGACGACGCGGACGGGGAGTTCACCGAAGAAACCATCAAGAACCTGGACGAGAGCTACTACGACTCCTACTACGACCCCACCGTCTCCCCGTCCGAGATCGGGCCGGGCATGCCCGCCAACCAGGACACCATCTTCGAAGGGGTGAGGGGCGGGGCGCGCACAGGATGGCGGGGCTCCTTCCGCGGCGGCGAGCTGCCCTGCTGCGCAGGCAGAGTCACCGGCTCGCTGCCACCCTCTCATCCTCCCTCCGTCTGCATTTCTCACCCCCAGATCGAAGGGCCGCGGGGCGAGAAGGGGCAAAAGGGAGAACCCGCCATCATCGAACCGGTGAGGACACTTGCTTCTTCTCTCTCGGAAGTGGGTGGGAGCGGGTTGTCACCATGCAGGGGGGCATAGCCAGACTCGTGGGACCCCGGTGCCCTGGCCCTGGGTCGCTTCCAGGAGCCCCGTGACCCTGGGGACCGCACACACGCTCATTGCTGAGACGGGCAGGGAGTGTTCCCCACGTGGGTGCAGGCGGTGGCCGGTGGGTTTCGAGGTGTTGGGACTCTACCCTGAGGGAGGTAGAGCCCCTCTGAAGGGCGTAGAGGGCTGGGCTTTGGGCACTGCAGATGCGGGGGGCAGCGGGGGGGGGGCCCACCTCACGCTCTGCCCCCAAGGCCTGCGGTGCACCTGGAGCTGCGTGTGCAACCTGTCGGGACACTGCAGGCCGTGGCACACCGAAGTCCTGGCTGAGCACAACCCAGCCGTGCCTCGGGGCGGGGTCACCACATCTCCCCGCGTGGGGCCTTGGGGAGTGGGCAGTCCCGGTGCCCCTCATGGGGCAGGGGGTGTTGGTAGGGCGCCCTCAGCCCTGGGGTGTCCTCTGACCTCAGGGAGCTTGGTCTGGCTGGTGGCAGTAGGGTGCCCCTTTGGCCTCAGAGTGGCTTGGTTGGGGCCGCCACCCCCTACGCCTGTGGCAAGGGGCCCGTGACCATCTGGGTGGGCGGGTCCCCCATGCTGCACGTGCTGGGCGTGGGGTGGGCTGGGAGGGGAGTGGGAGGGGCCGGTGGCCGAGGCCCACCCCGCCACGTCCTCCAAGTGCTGAAGGGAGTGTGCCAGCTCCGGCCACGAGGCCGGTCAGGAGGCCAGGGCCGGGCGAGACTGTGGCCAGCACCCAGTTGCTGCCAGCGGGGCTCCCGGAGCCCGTCTGACCGTGGGCTGCGGGGCAGGGAGACCCAGTGGCCTCTACCCTCCTGGGGAGCTGGGGGCTCTTTCAGAACCTTGACCAATGGACCCCCAGAGAGGCCTGGAGCCCGTGACCAGGTACCATCTCAGGATGGCACCCCCGACGGGAAGAGCACCCTCACTGGGCCTGTTCCCAGCCAGGGAAGCACCCGAGGGGCCAGGGCCGTCTCGTGTGGCTCTGCAGCCCCCCACCCCCAGGCCTGTCCGGGGTCGGGGACCGCCACACCCGCAGGGCTGCGGGCTCTGGACATACATCTCTTCCTCGGGCTGGGAAGCCTCCTTTCCGGTGCTTTCTCTGGGTTTGAGGAAGATGGGGCTTGTTTGAGGGGTTGGGTGTGGGGGCAGGGGAAGGGTGCAGAGGTGCCCCGGGGGCCCCAAGGCCAGGTGGCCCCTTGCTCAGCCACAAGAAAAGTCCTGACACCAAGTGTCGACAGCCCACTGGGTGCAGCCCAGCCTGGGGACCGTCACAGAAGAACGGGGTGCCAGGAACCACCCCTGTCCCTCCTCCACGGTCGGAGTGGGCTCATCTCATTGGGGCACAGGGCCCAGCGGTGACGTCTCCCCAGATGGTCTCGGTCCCCTGGTGGACCTGCTGGTGACGTGGGGTGCCTTGTGGGGTGCTCCAGGGAAAGGGGCGTTTTGCCCGTGGAGTCTGGGTCTGGGCCTCTCTCTCTGGGGGGGCTGGGCTGCACCTCCGTCTGGATAAGCTTCCTGTTTGCTCACGGGGCCTGTAAAGAGAGCCCTGGGTCCCCGCACCCGGGTGGGGGGGGGCGGGCCGAGACAACAGGGAGCTCATCCGTAGGAAGCCCTTTCCGTCCTCACGGGGGAGCCTGGCCATCTGGGGTGGGCAGCGAAGGCTTCCCTCTCCTCTGGCCCGAGCTCTGCCCCCAGCCCAGTTGGAGGGCCCGTGGGCCCCTGGCCACGTCCCTGAGGGACCGTGTAAACAGTTGGAGTTTCTCAACCTGGGGCATCGCCAGCTGTCCTCAGTCTCGGCTGCCTTAAACAGATGGCCGGGTCCTGGGAGAGGCTACGTGGCCTCACCGCCGCCCGCGCAGGCCTCCCGGCCCGTGGAGGTTGGGGTGGCTGTTTCCTGTCCCCCCACCTGCCCCAGCGACCTCCCTCTGGGGGACGTGACTCACGGTTGACGGATCTCTTGGAACCAGCGCCTCCTCCCTGTCATCTCAGGGACTCGCCGCTGTCCCCATTCAGATCCGGCACCTCTGTGACTTGTCAGCAACACCAAGGGCTCCTTTAAAGGGCAGGAATCCCCCGGCCCAGAGCATCCTGGGCAGTCAGCACTGGGCTTCTGGCTGCCTGGGGACCTCGGGGACCAGGATGCCCCAGATCGGTGGCTCCCTCCCCGGGAGCGTCTGTCAAGAGGCACGCAAGTCCCCACGCCTGTCATCCCCTGTGCTCGGAAACACGGTGGTTTTCCTGTGTGCTGTTCGCACGGGGGCGGACCTCCGTGAAGTTTCGAGAGGCAGGCTGGCTGCTGTCCCCAGCAGACCTGTGAATCGGAGTCTGCACCCTGGTGGCCTGTGGACAGGGCTGGCACGCTACAGCAGGGCCCCCCTCTGTCGTCCTCACCGCCCTGGTCGGTGGTGGCCCTGGGGGTGCACCCCTGGCTGGCTTTGCCTGGGAGAGTGCAGGCACCCGCTGCTGGGCTCGCTGATGCCGTGGTGTCCAGCGTCCCCCCCAGGAGACCGCCGCCCCCCCCCCCGAGAGCCCCGGCGCCCCAAGCACGGCAGCTGGCACGCGTGGGAAGACAGCTGGGCCCCGGACCCCGCAGCCGTGTTTTCTCTCCTAATCCCGGCTCAGGCTCTGAGCCTGCCCAGCTGCCTGCATCCCGGGAGGAGCTGGCACGCAGGCTCTCGGAGTTGTTTGCACAAGCCCTGTGTGCATCTCGGGACAAATATTTCTCCGAGTGCGCATCTGTGTAAACACAGCGTCCATCCCCGCAGTGACCGTGGAGCCCTGGTGGGGAGGGGTGGGGTGTGGAGGGGCCCCCGCTGGGGCTGACCCTGTGCCCTGCTGGGCCCGACTCCTTGCTCCCAGGAAGTCACACCAGGTTGCTCAGGGCACAGACCCTTTCGCAGACAAGTCCAGGGCGTGATGGTGGTGCACGCCCCAGGAGAAGCTGCTGTGCTTCCTGGGGCCAGGGCGGGAGCAGCAGGAGGGCCCAGGGCCAGGACGTCTGGCGCCCCCATGCCATCTCGGCCACCACGAGGACCAGCAGGGAGGAGGGCATCACCGTGCCACCGGGTCCCAGGAAGACCAGACGGCACCCTGGCTGCGTCTGCAGCCAGCAGGTCCCAGAGAGGCGAGGGCCCTTCGTCCGTGCAGGGACATGGAGGGGCCAGCCCTGGCGTTGCCTGGGCAGGGGAGCAGGCCAGCCTGGGAGGGGACCGGAAGCAGAGGCCTGAGAGTGGGCAGCCAGCCGGACTCCCTCTGTCCCCTCTTCAGTGAGGAGCCGACACCCACGGTCCCCTCTGCTGCCCACACTCCCTCTTGGGGGCAGGCGATTTTGTCCCCATTTTGGGGTAAATATGGTGAGGACGGTGGGGCCAGGGCAGGGTGGGCAGCTGGAGACAGCAGCGGCCGGTGTCACCCTGGGCCGCTGATGGGTGGCAGGGCAGCATTCGCCACTGGAGGGGAGTCTGGGGCTGGAGGCTCCAGGGTGGCCTGTCTGAGCAGTGACAGCCCCCCGGGCCAGGCCTGGGGCCCCTCCTCCCTCGGGTAGCCATCGCCCAGGGCCTGCGCAGCCTCTACCCCCCAGGGAGGCGGCGGACCCTCCCCGGGCCCAGGCTCTGGGTCCCTGCTCTACTCTCCGTAAGGGGCTCACGGAGCTGCTCCTGAGGGGCCCATGGGACTGTCCTGGGCTTGCTGCTGTTCCTGCAGTGCTCGGAGGACAGTCACTGTGGCCGCACCCCACCCTCCTTGTGCCCCCCCATCCTGGCCTGGGGCCTGCAGACCCCTGCTGGGACGGTGGAGGGGGGCCCGGACTCAGATGCTGTCTCCCTCTTTTGCAGGGCATGCTCTTGGAGGGGCCCCCCGGCCCTGAAGGCCCCGCAGTGAGTGTCCTTTTCTGGTTGCATGATGTGCGGGGGGGCCCTCGGGGGTGGGCTTTCAGGAACACCCCCTAACACCTGTGGGCGGAAGAGAGGGTGCCCCTGCTCTTTGCAGACACCCCGGGGTGCAGCTGGGCGGGAAGGGCTCTCTCCTGCGGCTGCATCTTGAACACTGTTCCGATTTTACTTTTCATTCTAGGGTCTCCCGGGACCTCCAGGAACGATGGGTCCCACTGGCCAAGTGGGTGACCCCGGAGAAAGGGTAAGGCACCCCGTGCTCCACAGGCTCATCCGTGTGCCCCCCGCTCTGGGACGGGCGCTGTCCTCACCTGTGCGGACCACAGCCGCGCCGCCACCTCCTTCTGCAGGTGGCCCGGCCCCGCCCGCGCTCACCCCGCCCCTCGCCGCATCCAGTCCCTCAGGTGTTCAGGGAGGCCGACTGGGGCCTGCCCTGCTCTGGGGGCGGTGACCCCATACAAGTTAGACCAGCGGGGTGGGTCCCACAGGGGCTGCCAGCGGCCGGCTCCCAGCGCGCGCCCCGCAGCCCTGTGTCCGAGTAACAGTGACAATGGCAGCCGCCGCATGGACCCTCCCTCCCTCCAGCTCCCCCTCCGTCCCCCTCCTCCTTGGCAGCCGAGCCACGACACAGGGGAGCTTGCTCTGGAGCAGATGGCACACCCCAGCGTCTGCCTGGCCGGAGGGACGCCCCTCAGGGTCCCTGCCCCAGAGATGAGGGCCGGACGCAGGACGTGGCAGTTTCATCCTGACACCTAGTGGGCCTGCGGGGTACTGCAGCCTGGCGGTACCTGTCCGGCAGGGTTTCTTCCTTTTTCTTTGGTTCTGTGCTTCCCGTTGTCTGAGGAATGTTGGCGACTGTGGCTCGGATGAGAGCTGGTTGTGGCAAGGCTGCGGACCAGGGGTCCTGGGCACGCCTGTGTCCCAGTGGGCGGGCCCGGCGCACGGCCTGTGGATGGCTGGGTCTGGTGGTGTGGAAGGGCCGGCGGCAGGGGTGGGTCTCGGGTGTCTGGGCGACGTGGCGGGGCCTGCGGATGGAGCAGCTGGGTCCTGGGTGAGCAGTGGGACAGGGGCAGGTTCCCCTCGTTCTGTGTGGCCAGGGAACCTCAGCCTGGAGGGGCCTTGAACAGGATTCCCTGCCACTGTCTCCCTACGTCCAGAGGCTTTGGGGGCCCAGAGTAGCTGGGTCTCGCCTTGTGGCAGGGACTCAGCCGGCCGCCAGGACCCTCGTAGACGTGCCCCTGGCACCGTGGGAGTTCCAGACAAGCCAGTGGGGGCCCCGGCCTCCCCGTCTCGTGACTAGAACTCACAGTGGAGGCTGCAGCCTCAGACCCGGTGTGCTCCGAAGGTCTGCGTGAGGTGGGGGACGGCCACGTCCCCCCCCAGAGTGTCACCAGGTGGACCCAGGAGTGTGGCCGAGCACACATGTCAGGGAGAGGGGACGGCACGCACAGTAGGTGACAGACAGTCCTCTCCCGGGAGCAGGCCAGGGCGCCGTGCTGTGTCGTGTGCCTGGGTGTTGACTGACCTCTTGGTCCCAGCATTGCCCCAGGTGTCTGTCCATCTGTCCACAAGCACAGGTGTCCCACTAGGTTTCCACAGGGCCGGGCACAGGTCTGGGACTGAGGCTGTGGGTGCTTGTGGCCCAAGGGAAGACTCATGGAGTCGCACCCACCCCCTTGGTCCTGGCCTTTCGACTGAACTGGCTCCAGCCGGTGGCGGTGGCCCTGTGGTCACCCCGCAGCCCGACCTGCCGCTCCGGGTGCACGGGCCCGTCCTCCCTGTGGGCGCCCAAGTGCTCAGGGCGTCTCGGCAGAGGGAGCGGGAGGAAGAGGCCGGCGTGAGGGCCCCCGAGGATGGACTCTGTGGGCCCGGGGCTGCCCCCGGGTCCCTGCCGGCTCCCGGTGCCCCCTGGCACGCCCGCAGGAGTGCGCTCTTCACAGACGCCACGTGGACGGCACCCGTCCCCGGGGGACACCGACCCGTAGTTTTAAATTGAGGGTTTCATTCGGGGTTGACCCCGAGGCAGAAAGCTCAGTGGTGAGCGGTCATCTGCATAGGTTTCCAAGACGAGAGCTGGGCGGCAGAACGCGTTCCAGATTTCTTTTAAAACAAGTTTAAAAAGAAAAATCTGAGAACTTTTTCCGAGATGGTGGACAAGGACCGTGGGCCCGGACCGATCAGCAGTGAAGACAAGAGCGACCCTATGACCCCGCCGCCCCCTTCTGGGCCGTCCCCGAGAAGGGGCCTGGACGCCGGCGCGGCAGCAGGTGCATCCCGAACCCCGGGGCGGCCCCGGTGTGCACCGGCGCAGGGCAGGTCACACCGCAGGTGAGCCGTCCCGCGAAGGAAACTGGACGGCCACACATGGAGTGAGGCCAAGCTCGGAGGTCAACTCTGGGACACTGGTCTCATGCAAAGGGGGACCGCCTCCCGAGCCACATCCTGTCCCCCGTGGGTCAGGTGTGTGGGCTCCCGGCTTCCTCTGCACGGACAGGCCGAGACCTCCGGGGACCTCCGGGGCAGGAGCGGACCCTCACTGTGTCTGAGCCCGTGTGACGTGGCACCTCACTAGGACAGGGGTGGCAGCCCTCCAGGAAAGAGCAGGTGTGCGGGCCCAGAGGGCTCCACTCCCGGAGTTCCAGGACAGCCACCCCGGTCCTCCGTCTCCTTGGCCGGGAATCGATCTCGTTTCCTGGCTCCGGGGCGGTGCGTGCACACTGTCCTCTGTGCGGAGGACGGGAACCCACGCCCGAGTTCCCCTGGAGAATGGCAGGCGGGACTGTGCATTGGGTCGGTGCGGTGAGCTCCGGGCTACGTGCAAAACAAACTCCACTGGCCTCAGGCTTGTGGGGCGTCGCCCGCGGGAGTGAGAAGCTGAGCGAGGAGCCCTTTGCCGGAGACACTGTCTCACGGGGAAGCGCTGTGTTCGTTCAGCCCTGGGCTGACCGGAGTCAGCTGGAGAGCCCGCCCAGGAGGGGTGTCTGTCTGGGGCCCGCCTCGGAGCCGGGGCAGCCGGACGTGCGGAGTCACCGCGCGGTCCCTTCGCTCTGCCTCCCTGTGTCTCTCCGAGCAGCGGACACTTCACACTGTGTCCGTCTGAGCCGTGACGCGTGGGTCAGTGGGGCGGGATGAGTGGCCCGAACTGACAGTGGACAGGAGCCAGGCCTGCAGCAGCCCGGGGGGCACGCAGCCCTCGAAGGAATGTCCTGGAGGGGTGGGCGCCCCCGCGCTCCATCCCTGCCCACCCCCGGGGTGTCGACTCTGCCCCTGGATGGCAGCCCCCACCTTTCCTTCCGTCTGGGCTCCTCTGGGTCCACCTGGACCCCCTCCTTCCTCACCCCGCCCCCTCGGGAGCCTTTCCTTATCGTGATGCCACAGCGATGCCGTCATTTTCTGGGGTGGGTTCCGGAACATTCTAGTCCACGAGGTCCTGCACTCCTTTGTGCGTGTCCAGTGTATTACTGGCCGGGCTGTGGCTCCCAAGCTCCTCCTCCTGGCCCAGCCGGCTCTGTCCCTCTGCGCACTGACCAGGCTCTCCGGCCCCTCTGTCCACAGGGTCCCCCTGGACGCCCGGGTCTCCCTGGGGCTGACGGGCTGCCTGGCCCCCCTGGAACCATGCTCATGCTCCCCGTGAGTAACCCCAGGTGTGGGGGCGGTGGCCACTGGGCGGTGGGGCCCTGGGCTGTTTCCAAGGGGAACGATCTCCTGGCCACAGACTCACTGCACCCCGGGCCCGAGTGCACGTGCCAGGCGGCGGGGCCGTCCCCTTCACGGGAACCCCCAGCCCTGGAGAGAGAACGCGTGGTCGGTGTGGATGTCAGTGTTCTGACTGATGTGCATTTCCTGTGAGCCCGCTCTGTCTGTCTGTCTGTCTGTCTGATGCCCAGGGCGCTGGGCACAGCGCAGTGTCCCCTGGCCTGGAGCCTGGAGCTGCCCTCACCAGGCCTCCTCCGTGCGGGCGCGGGCGCGGGCCCTCGGCCCTTCCTTGCAGTAACTAGCGGCCGCGGGGGCTCAGGATGAGAGGCCGCAGACGCCAGGAAGGGCTCCCTGGACGGGGGGGGGGGGTCCCCTGAGGCTGCAGGGCTGGAATCGGCGGGGGAGGCTGGGGCAGCCCTGTGGGGCGTGGTAGGCGGCGTGCACCACGTGGGGGGGGGGGAAGCTGCCCAACCAGACCCTCCCGGGCTCTGTGGGCACCCACGTCGGTGCGCCCCTGGTGACCCTCGTCTTACACCCCCAGTTCCGGTTCGGAGGGGGAGGCGATGCTGGCTCCAAAGGCCCCATGGTCTCAGCCCAGGAGTCCCAAGCTCAAGCCATTCTGCAGCAGGCGCGGGTGAGTGGGGTCCGGGTCCTGGGGGGGGCACTGGGGGGCAGCAGGCGTGGGTGAGTGGTCCCCGAGACGGCCGGGCTGACCTAGACACCCCTGAGAGCCCCCGTGGGCCCCAAAGCACCTGGCGTGGCCTGGGCCCAGGGAACCTCTGTCCTCCCACTGCTCCGCTGTGCACATCAGCCGACAAGTGAGCTGAGCCCCTGACTGACACGGCCCCGAGGGTCGATGGCCCTCGATGTGTGAGATGCCCGCCCCGGGCTGGGGCACGTCGGTGACTTTGGCGGAGCGCCCGTACTGGGGCTTTGCAAGAAGTCGCTAAATCAGCCTCCGTTTGGCAGTATTTGTGTGGCTCGCAGCCAGCTGAGCGGCACCAGCAATGGAGTGTGGAGTGACTGCAGGACAGTTAGAGCAGCGAGTTGTCATAGCGGGACAAACCGCCCGCGAGGTGCCACATAGCGTGTAACAGACCCCGCCACCAGATGCATCAACTGGGCTGCCCGCTGGCGTGTTAGTCTGAGTGCATTTTAATAGAAGCCAGGTGGGCGACGGCTTGGACGGTTTTATAGCCCGGGTTTCCAAAGGGAAGTGGCCTCTTGCAGTGGGGGTGACACAGCCACATGCAGGGACCGCAGCAGGTGCTTTAGGAATGCAGGTGGACTGTGCCGTGGCAGGTGCAGCCGCCCTGGGGATGGGAAGGCGGGACAGGGCCTCCTGGGTGGGCAAGGGCTCTTTGCAGGTGTCGGTGGCTGCAGCTCCCAGGGCTGCCGCTTCTGGGACTGGTTTAGTTCACCAACAGCAGCAGGGCTCCCCGGCCACTGGGGGCGCTAGACGTGCCTCTCAGGATACAGTGTTACTCAGGATACAATGTTGCTCAGTTCCACAGTCCTGTGAAACCTACACCCAGCCTGCCCACCAGGGAGGCTGCTTTGCAAGCTCACCCCTCAGGGCAAAGGGCTGGGGGGCCAGTGGAAAGGTCAGCACAAGGCTCTGAACACCCCAAGCGGGTGGGGCGCCCCTCACCAAAGCAGGAGGTGTCACCCACCTGTTTGCCACCCCCGCCTCTGTTCCTGTCCTGGGTCGCGCTGAGAGCCCCGGAGGAGCAGAGGGGCGGGCTCTGGACTGCATGGGACCCCCTGCAGCGGCCGCCCCTGGCCCGGCTCCCCTCCCGTCAGCACCGGCCGTCTGTCAGCCTGTCCTGTGTTTCTTGCAGCTGGCGTTGAGGGGCCCAGCCGGCCCGATGGGTCTGACCGGGAGACCCGGCCCCATGGTGAGTCACTGGCAGCGGGAGGGGGACATGTGGTGAGGGACAGGGCGCCCCCCGATTTCCTTCCCTTTAGTCTCCCCACTCCATTCAGAGAGGGGAGGACTCGCTCTAAGCTGCCATTCACTGTCATCCCATCACTGGCACTGGGCACCTTGGGGGTGGGGGGCCCTGGGCAGGTGGGGCCTGCCTTGGCCTGGGGGCGGGGAAGCCCCCCACGCCTGCACTGGCTGCGACTGTGCCCTGTGACGCAGGGGCTGGGAGACTTCCTTTCCGGGTGTCGACGTGGGGGTCAGACCAGGTGCCGGCCCTCCTGCCCGGCCTGCCGCAAAGCTGGGTGCCTGGTGTGCTGGGCACAGGGCCCACAGATGGGACCCTCAGGGACGGGGGGTCCCTTGCAGTTTACAAGGGGACGGAGGATCTGAAGGCCCGGTGTCCCCACTGCCATTCCCCAGGAGCAGTCGGAGCCCTGACCCCCCCGCTGCCCACCCTCCCCCACCCAGTGAGGCCCAGGGCTGCCCTCCTCCTCCGGTGTCTTGCCTTGTGACAGGCCCAGAGGATGTCCACTCACTGTCCCGAGCCACGGGCTGTGACCTCATGGTCACATCCATCTTGGAGAGGGAGACACATGTTACCGTGAGCTTTGTGGCTCTTGTGTCCCCGACTGTCCAGAATTTTGTTTGAAAGTAGGAAGGGATCCAAACAGTGAGCCCTTTCCCTGTCGTGAGGGTCCCATCTGAGGTGGGCGGGTCCGAGGGTCCCTCTGGGGAGCCCGGCCGGCAGTCCCGAGTAGTTTCCTCGTCCCCCGCCCCAGCCACCCGCAGCCTCGCCCCACGAGCGGCCCTTAACCAGCCGTGTCTCCCTAGGGTCCTCCCGGCACCGGAGGCTTGAAGGGCGAGTCGGGAGACATGGGTCCTCAGGTACGTGGGCCCCTCACCTCTGCTCTTTGCAGGGGCGTCTCTGTGCTCGGGGGGTTGTAACTGGGGGTGGCGGCACCCCAAATGCTGCATTTCTTCGGGGCCGTCAGTGGCCCTCGCTCCGGGTAGCGGGTCTCGTGCCCTGTCCCAGGGGCGCCCTGGAGCCGGCAGCCGGGAAGACGAGCCACGGGCTGGGTGGACAGGCGTGGGGCAAGATTTTGCTTTTGTTGAGACTCGGACGCGCACTGACCCTTTGCCCTCTGACCCCGGACAGGGCCCGAGAGGTGTGCAGGGCCCGCCCGGGCCGGCGGGCAAGCCTGGGAGAAGGGTGAGTGTTTCTCGGGTGGTGACCGGCCGGGGCCGGCCTGGGGTCTGCCCCTGACGTGACGCGGGGGCAGGAAGGCAGCTGCTGCCCCTGTCAAAGGCACGTCTGTCTCCAAGGCCGGGCGCCCTGGCCTGGGGTGGCGAGCTGAGCCCGTGGGCGCTGTCTCCTGGGACTCAGCAGCCTCTGCCGCCCCGGCCTCCGTCCTGGGCACGTTAATTTAGTTTAATAAACAGTTTTAATCAAAGCAGTTCCCCAGGCCCTTCGGGAGAAGCACCAGAGGCAGCATTATCGGTGGGCTGTTTCCGCCTCGTTTCTGCGCAGTGGCCTCGGTGAGGGGTCCGGCTGGCGCCCAGCTCCCCCGCCGTGCTGGCCACCCAGGTTCTGTTTGCGGCTCAGTGGACGGGCCCAGGTGGCTTCTGCGGATGGCGGCAACTGAGAGAGGGTCCGCAGTTGTCCATCGGTCAAGTTCACGGACAGCGTCCAGACGAGCTAGGGGAGTCCCAGTTGACCACAGGGTGCTCTCACCCGTGTGTCTTTCCACCGGTGGGCGTTCCTAGTGCACAGAAAGAGTTTATTCTCGTTTGTATTTGTTCGGGGCTGAACCTCTTCGAGGTGCGGTGTCTGCGTACGCGGCCAGTTCCTTTCTGCTTTCAGGGCGCGCACGGCGAGGAGGAGGGATTCCTGAGCAGTTAGGGATCCTCCCAGCCCGGAGCTGATTGCTGTTAGTGAGGGGGGTGGCTGAGGAGGCCGCCTGCGGGGCCACGGGTCCCGCAGGCACCAGGCCGGGGCTGGACCATCCTGAACAGGCCAGCGGGGCCGGAATTGGGGTCCTCGGGAGAGAATGGGGTGGTTCACTTTGGATCCGGTTCTGCGGAGGGTTTTTATTTCCTTGTGCTTTGCTGTGTGTCCCTAGACACTCACCCATGTTTTGCTGTGTGTAACGTGCAGTTTTTTGCCCAACATTTTAAGGAAAAGTAAGGGTGCATGTTACACGTGGGCAGCGCTAAAACACGGGTGTGTGCATTATACGTGGCAAAATGCGGTGGTGCCACGTTTCGCTGGCCCAGGTTTCTCAGTCCAGGCGAAGCTGAGAAGGGAAAAGAGTGAGGACGGTTCGCCCTGGATTCGCCCTGGGACGGCTGCAGGGCTGCACTGCAGCGCCGGGGCCGTGGGTCCGCCCCGCGTGGGAGCAGGGCCTGTGTCCCAGAGACCCACCAGAGAAGAAACGACGGCGGGGGCGGGGCCGGGGGTCCCCAGTGACCCTGCTCCTGTGAGTGATGGAGGCATCTGGACATTCTGCCAATGCTGTGGCATCGTGAGAACTTTCCGGACCAGTGTCCCTTGGTGTCCGAGTGGGCAGTTCGGAGAAGCAGCTCCCCACTGCCCCCCCCCCCCACCTGGCGTCCTGTCTGCACCTCACCCAGTGCTTGGGCCCCTCTCCTGTGGTGACTGTCCTTCCCGGCAGCCCCGGGGCTTTAAGACGGGGTGGGGTGTGGAGCACGACCCAGCTCCTGTGGCCCCCACGGGTCCCCGGCCCCCCCTCTCAGTGCCGCCCGTCCTGTCTCCTCTGGGGTCTGAGACACGGGACGGCTGCTCTGCAGACCGTGTCTCTGCCGGTCACACGTCCCTGGGTTACAGCCGCCTTTGCTCAGTGCACACGGACCGTGGGGGCGCGGGAAGCCACTGATCTGGGCCGGCCGTGGCCCTCTGTTGGCTGACAGTTGTCATCAGCAAGTGGCCTCCCAGCTGAGTCCCTGGCCCTGTTGAGGGGACCTCGAGCTTGCCAGGCCCACGCCACCCCTCCAGTGCTTGTGGGGTGGTTACAGGGGACTCCGGTGGGTCCGTGTCCTGCCCGGCAGCCCTGTGGCCAGGCAGGAGGGACCGTGGGCTTGACCTTGGCTGTGTTCCCAGCTGGAAGCAACAGCCGTGGGAGTGGCCGTGGACGGAGTGTCTTGCTTACGGCCCGGACCTGCCTTTGGGTGGCCGTGTGGCCTCAGTGGGACAAGCCAGCCCCCGGCCTCAGTTCCCCCTTACGGACTCGGGCCCACAGCAGGCACTCACTTGCCCTCACCTGTAACCCGAGTTCCGCGCGGTGGAAGGAGCCGTGGCCGCCTGTCGGGCCACCCTCCCTCCTGGGCTGCCAGGCCTCGGGCCCCTCAGTCTCTCTCCTCCAGCTGAGGCTCACCTGCCGCCTCACGCCGCCGTCACAGACACAGAGGGGCAGGTGGCACACCCACCGGTGGTTTGGGGTGGCGAGGCCCAGAAAGGCCGGAGTCACGTGGGAGGTGCCCTCAGCCCCGGACGCCGGACCGGGCCACACAGGGCTGGCGCCGTCTCCCCGGTCCCCCGGGAGGCTGCCGCTTTGTGCCGACGCAGTGCCCGCCTGTGTTCCAGGGGCGGCCCGGCAGTGACGGAGCGCGAGGGATGCCCGGGCAGACGGGCCCCAAGGTAGGCAGCTGCCGTGGCCCTCGGGGGTCCCGGCCACTCTCACCGCTGTCCTCATGTCGGTGACGTGGAGACAAGCCGGTTGTAATGACGAATGTGGCTGTGATGACAAGTCCCGACGTCATGACACTTGCACCCACCTGGGGGTGGGGCCCGAGGGGGGTGGCCCTGTTGGGGTCACTCCGTCATGCTGGCAGGAAGTCAGGTAGCGGGTGAACGTCAAGGGCTCGTGCGACAGCTTCAGGTAGTGGAGTGGGGTGCACAAGGGGACGACTTGGGGACGAGGGCCCGCTCTCCTCTGCCCCTTTGCTGGTGTCTGGGGGGGAGGCAGGGATGTGGCCCCCAGGTGGGAGGAGGGAAGGGGAGGGGTGGCTGGTGCCACTCTGGGCGGGTCCGGGGCCCAGGTGCACAGACACTGCCCGGACGGCGTAGGGGGGAGGGTGGCCGGCACTGTGTGGTCCCTGAGCCACCCTCTGTCCTCCTCACAGGGTGACCGTGGCTTCGATGGCCTGGCGGGACTGCCGGGAGAGAAGGGACACAGGGTAAGTGCCGCCCTTGGGAGAGGCCCCGGTGGACCTTGGGCAGCGCAGGGTTTTCGGGGAGACCCTTCCGGACGGCCTCGGGCTTCCTGGGCGGCCGGGGAAGGAGCCCCTCGGGGTGGGCGTGGGACTGGAAATAAATGCGAGGGACTGCAAGGGACAGAAAGTCAGCCCGAAGGAAGTGGCCCCCTCCCCCAGCAGCTGACGGAGAGGCCATGGGGCCCGTGGCCGGAGGGCGGGCGGGGCGGGGAGCGCGCCTTCCGGAAATCCAACTTGTGCAGAGCGGCCTTGACTGCCTCGGGCCCCGTGGATGCCATGTGGGAAGGTGGGGCCGGGCCAGTGGCCACAGCTGCTGAAGAGGGTGGGGGTGCACCCCCCCCACAGTCAGCCTCACTCTGCCCCTGTTGGAGTGTCTCCACGTGACTGGTGCAGGCGGCTCGTGGGGTTTTTCTTCCTTTGACACAGATGACGCCTCTTATGTTCAGACACGTTCTGGATGTGAAGGGACACGCACATGCACACACAGTCCACACACCTGATACCACACACATGTATGCACATACAAAGTACACATGTGCTTGTACCCACATACATCCTCACAAGGTGTGCCCACACATGTGCGTGCCCACACACACTTGTCCGTGAGGTTTAGCAGTCATGTTCTCTGCTGCACTAGAAAATAGTTGTTGCGACTTAGCCAAAGCTGCATGACCCACGCCACCCCCAGCCACGGGGGACACGCAGGGAGATAGCACTGAGGCCGGCCTGTCTGCCTCTCCGGCCGACGAGCTCATGTTGAGCAGCAGCCCTGCGGGAAGCCTGAGGCAGCAGCGGCGGAGGGGCCGGCACCAGCCCCCAGGGTGCCCACAGGCCAGGGTGGTGGCCTTCTCTGGGGAGCGGTGTGGGGCGGGGGCGGTCGGGTACAGCTCAGCTCCTGCCATGGCCACCGGGGGCCTGTGTGCCTGAGGCCTTGCCAGGTGCCTGGTCTGGCACAGCTGCCCAGACACCGTTTCCCCCGGTGACCGTCCTTATGGCCGGCGCACTCCCAGGGGGTCTCCTGTGGATCCGGGAAAGCCTGCAGTGGGTCCGGGTTAGAGAAAGACCACGGGGGGACTTGGGACAGGCACACGGGACCGGCTCTGGGGCGCTAATCCTGCTCTGCTCTCTGGTGATTTCCTAGGGCGACCCTGGCCCTTCTGGCCCGCCGGGCCCTCCGGGAGATGATGGAGAAAGGGTACGTATCCCGTGCGTCCAGCTGCATCTGCCCGCCTGCCCTTCGGAGTTTGGCAGGAGAACCGCGTGTGGCCTGCTGGTGGCCATGACGTTGGTGTGTGGAGGGCGGGGCCTCAAGGATGAAGGCCCGGGCGTGTGTAGACTGGTTGCCTGTCCCTGGTTGCAGAACAAGCACCTCTCGCTCCCCGGGCAGGCGCCCCCATGGCCACTGCGGGGAGGAGCGTGAGCGAGGTGCTGAGAAACAGCAGCGCCTGGCCTGGGGCCTGAGCGGCCCAGGTGTGGGGCGGGGCAGGCGGGGCAGCTGCTGCCTGGGCGGGGCAGCTGCTGGGTTGGATGGGCTCCGTGCCCCGGGGCCTCCTCCTGGGGCTGCAGGCCACCTGTGGTCCTCAGACCCCGCGGCCGAGAAGCACACAGCGGGGACTGGACCCCCGCCCTCCGCACGCCCCGCTCACTCTGGGGGTCTAGTAGTTGTCGGTGCATTTGCAGAAGAAGGCGTGGCAGCCCCGGCACTCGGGCGGGAGCGTTGCGTCCAGGCCCGGCCGTGACTCCGCCCTCCCCAGCCCCTCCTGGCCTGTGTGGGGGGAGGGAGGGGCGGGGCCCCCTCTGGGTGTCCGTGCTGCCTGGTCCAGGGCGTGTGTTCTGTGTGCGTGCATGTGTGTGCGCACACACACGTGTGGTGAAGGGCAGAGGAGGGCGCAGCGCGGTGATGGCGTGGGGAGGGGAGGCCGGTGTCCACCAGCCGCTGCTGACCGTGCACCAGTCCCGCCGAGGCAGCGCCCACTTCCAGAGCCGGGCTGGACTTGGGTGGCTGTGCGGCCGTGTTCAGGACCCTGCCGGAGACGCTGGGTTCCCACGGGGCTGGGCCAGGGGGCCCGGTGATTCTCCCCAGGTCCCTCCCCACCCAGTTTCTGTCATTCACGGTCCCGCCTTCCACCTGCTGGCCTGCCTGTCCATCCGTCCGTCTGTCCATCCACCCATCCATCCATCTGTGTGTCTGTCATCAATCTGTCTCATTTCTATCGCTCGCTCGCTCCACTGTGCATGTTTGTCTCTGGACCTACAGCCTGTGGTCCTTCCCGCCCGCTGTCCCCTCCTTGGCGCTGTGGTCTGTGAGCCCCGAGCCATGTCCCAGCACCCCGAACCTCACGGTCGCCCGCAGCTTTCTGGGAATGAGGACTCCGGGCCTTCCCGATGGGCATGGGACTCGCAGCCCCGGCGGAGGGTGCTGACCAGCCCGTGGGAGGGGATGTCCCCTGGCACCCAGGCATCAGAGCCTGTCCCTAAAATCCCGCCCTTTCCCCTCCACAGGGTGACGACGGAGAAGTTGGGCCCAGAGGGCTGCCCGGGGAACCCGTAAGTCCACTAACTGGGGGCGTGGGGGGCTTTGTGACTTCACCGTGGGGACAGGTGTCATAAGGGGCCGCCTCTGGGCAGAATTGGGGATCGGCTTAGAGCAGCGAGAGCGAGGGGCTCAGCCGGGACTCAGAAACAAATCTGGGGGTGCCCCTGAGGGGACGAGGAGGAGCCAGGGGGAGCTGGGGGGGCGACGCTAAGGTGTCCATCTGAGCCTTCCAGGGGAGGCAGCTCAGGGCCCCGAAGGTGGTGGTGGGCGTCCAGGGACCTGAATTGTCCAGAGTCGGCCACGTTTTCTGAAAAGGCGCCCCCTTCGCCTGCCCCCGGCCGGGCACCGGAAAGCTCTGCTCCCAGAGCTGATTGCTGTTTCCGGCCCCGCCAACGTCCTGAGCAACAAAAGGACGGTAATTACTCCTCCCTCACTGGTACTTTGGAGCGTCTGGCTTCTTTTATCGATGTCCGTGGGGCCGTCCGCCTCTGGCGGTGCTAATTGAGGAGAAATATTGCCAGTGCCGTGCGGAGGAGAGTGGGGGCTGGTGCTCACACGCTCATTTGGGACTAAATTATACCCTCACTGTCTGATTAGCCACGGAGGAGGATTCATCAACACTGCCCGCTCTCTAGCACACATTTGAGCCATACCTTCTAGGTCATTAACTTCCAAAAAACACTCACAGGACTAGGCATTAAAGCAGCGAAGGCACCGCTGAGGTGCAGGGCACCTGGCCAGGGTTCTCACCACTGCGCCTGAGAACGTTCATCCTTCCAAGTCCCTGAGCCTTGGGGACAGGCTCCCTGACTCCCCGGTAGGGGGGTGGGGGCAAGGGACACAGGGTGGGCTCCCGTGGCCGCCAGGGACCCTGCAGTGTCACCAATGGGCTCTCAGGTCCATCCTGGGGCTCGTTCCCACCCGAGCACCCCACCGCCCGGGAGGGGGCTGCGCTCGGGCACAGCGGCCACCCCGAGAGGCCTGAGCCCAGGCTTCCTCTCATGCATCTGGTCATGACGTCCCCACCGGGCCCTAGTTCCTCTGTCCACCCTGACCCCGTGGGGTGACACAGTCACATGGCATTGCCAGGGGAGGGCCCAGGGCGCTGGCAAGGAGGACTGGAGGAGCCCACGCCCCAGGCCGCACGGAGTAGCTGTGCCCTGGTGGGGGGCTTGTGGGCCCGCCTGCCTGGCGAGTGGGAAGGCCCCCTTTCCCTCCGGTGCCTCCCGACCCCTCGTCTGAGCCCCCAGCCATTCCAGGGACCCCCGTGGACAGGTGGGCTGGGGCCGTGGAGCCGGGTGGGAGGGTCTGTGGGCCGCACTCCTGGGACAGCATGGAGACTGCGTGGCAGCAGGGACCCCAGACACAGTGGGGGCTGAGCGTGGTCTCGGGACCTCACCCTTCCTTGCTCTTTTCTCTTTCAGGGGCCACGTGGTCTGCTGGGGCCGAAGGGTCCCCCGGGCCCTCCCGGACCTCCTGTAAGTCCTGTTACCTGTTTTCTTGTCTGTCTCCGTTGCTGCCCTTGAGACCCGGGGCCACCTGTGGCTCACGGCACTGACTGACCGCTGGGGACACTCGCCCAGCGCCCCCGGGAGGGGCCCGCGGGTGCTGAGGCTCACCTGAGAAAGCCGCCTTGCGGCCCGTGCGGGTTTGGGGGTGGGGGCCCCGGACCCACGGGCTCTCCCGCTGTCCCCTCACCCACACGGCACGGGTGCTACAGAGAGTAACCCAGACACCACGTTGCCTCCCTGCTTGAAAGCACTTCCAGCAGCTTCTGGAAAGTTCTGGAAGGAAGTAGAAGTTCGTGGCTCTCGTGGGGGTCTGTGCGGATGGGTGTCTTCCCGGAGCCAGGCGTGGCCTGTGCACCGGCCTCAGCCCCTGGGCCCTGCTTCCTCAGAACTCGGGCCTGCCCCCAGGCAGGGAGGGGCCTGGCGGTTCCCTTGACCCCTCGCTGACCACGGCTTTGGAATTTATTTGGGGTCAAGCCCCTCCCCTTCCCCAAAGGTCGCGACACATTGTGGGCAGGGACCGGGGTGTCCTCCCGAGCATTACTTCTTCAGCATTTAGTCCCTTCTCTGACCTCACGCAGGGTGTGACGGGGATGGATGGCCAGCCGGGCCCGAAAGGGAATGTGGTAAGTCTTGGGGTCCCCACTGCCCAGCCTCACAGTAGGGGTGCTCCCAGTAGGTTTGTCATTGTGGAGACCAGTGGGGGCCGCGGGAGGAGAAGCGGCCCTGGGGCTGCAGGGGCGCCCGCCGGCACGTCAGCCCACCGAGGAGGGGCAGTGCCCTGCCTCGCAGCCCCCGCGGGCCCCGTGTCGGTTCTGAGGGTCCTGGCAGACTGAGCGTGGCAGGGTGGTTCGGGGACTTTCTGCCCAGGGGAGTATCTCCCACTCAGTCCCTTCACGAGCTTTCCTGGGGGCGGTTGGGGTGCGTTTGCAAAAACGGGGCGCTCAGGGCCCAGGGCGAGAGCCCTGCGGGTGGTGGTCCGGTTCTGCGCGGGGCCGCCTGCCTGCGCCCGCGGGGCAGCCTCCGTGTGTGGTGGGTGCGTCGGGCAGCGGAGCAGTTTCAGAGGACGGGGGGCCAAGATGGGGGGCCCAGGCCGCGATGAAGGAGGTGCGGTCTCCCCTGCCCGCTTTCCAGAGCCTCATCAGTGCCTTCGCTTTCATTTCCTGTAGGGCCCCCAGGGGGAGCCCGGCCCCCCAGGACAGCAGGGCAATCCCGGTGCCCAGGTGAGTGAGCCGGGGGCGGGCTTCTGGGCAGTGGGCCGCAACTGGCCTGGCCCAAAGCAGCCTCGGCCCGGAGGTGGCCTAGAACGCGGGGGCGGTGTCCAGACGCGAGCGCGGGGAACGGTGGGCGATGGCAGGGAGGGGTTCGGAGCCAACCGGTTCCTGACCTTTCCACCCTGCCCTTCCCCACTAGGGTCTTCCCGGCCCCCAGGGAGCCATCGGTCCCCCGGGAGAGAAGGTAGGTGGCCTGAGCTGGGCGTAGGGGCACCACTGCCCGCCTGTGGGGTGCGCTGCAGGCCAGGAGGGGCGCTGGGCATTGGCGGCTTGGGATGTGAGCCATTATCCTCCTCAGACTGTGGGGGCCACTCAGCTCGGAGCACTGAGCACTGGGGCCAAGCGGGGGTCTGGACCTGTGTCGTTCACTGATTGACAAATTTACTCACGCGCTCAATCACTCGTTCACCCCTTCATTAATTTAGTCATTCACTCGCTCACTCATTCTCCAGCTGTGGGCAGGGTTGCCCGACTTGGGGAGAGGAGCGCACAGGGTACCGGGTTGCGTTCGCACTACCTGTGCTCCTCCGAAAGCAGATTTCACTGGGCGCCCTGTTCGTCATTTGATCTGCCCTGGCTGAACGTGGCAGCTCTGAACACGCCCTTGGCCCCTGAGTTGGGTGCTGGGGGCAGAGCACCTGGGTGGGGTGAGCAGAGCGACCGCTCAGGGGTGGGTCTCAGTGCGGCACGACCCCCGGGGGGTTGTTCAGACAGCTTGATGGGCCTGGGGTCCCCCCTTCACCTGGCCGGTCCTCGCTTCACCTGGCCAGGACATTTGTTCCCATCGCAAACCCCGAGGCCCCGGAAACTGCACCTCGCTGGTGCTCCAGGTGCTGGCAGTCTCTATGCAGTGTGGGCGGAGCACCTCGGAGCATCCTTTTCAGCAAATGTTCCTTGAGGAGCAACTTGGACAAGTGACCCCGGGGGCGTGCAGAGTAGACGGGGAGCCCGGGGCACCCGCTCACGGGGTCTGGTTTGTTCCAGGGCCCCCTGGGAAAACCAGGCCTCCCAGGAATGCCCGGCGCTGACGGACCCCCGGTGAGTACCCCTGCACCCGGCCCCAGGGCCACCCCAGGGAAGGGGCTGGAACCCAGGCTCTGGGGCCAGCGACATGCCTGTGGCCCTGCTGTGGCGAAGACCCCCTGAGAGCTGGGGCCAGAGCTCAGGGGTGGTTCCAGAACGTGCTTCCACGCAGGAGTGGCAGTGGTGCAAACAGGAGCATCAGTCACTGTCTAGGGTGCGCGGGCTGGGCTGCAGTGTGGCCACGTGTGCTAGTGTGCGAAGGGAAGGCTGGCGTGTTTCCAGGGCTCCCAGGCCGGGAAGGGAGGGGGCGGAGCAGCGCATTTGCCGCGTGGGAGCCCACAGCTGTGCAGCCAAACCGGGCGCCTTCCAGAAATAGCGAGTTAGTGACAGATCCGATCTGTGCGGGGGTGCAGGCGGGGGGGGGGGCAGCGCCCGGAGCCTGGGGCGGGGCGGTGGTTCCTCTGCCCCCTCCCGCCTCCGAGTTCTCTTTCAGTGGCGGGTTTGGGGAGTTGGGGTTTTTTTGGAGTATTCGGTCGGTGATGCGTGGAGAGCCTGCTTCTGAGAGTCAGACTTGCCAAATTAATTACTTCAGACACGGGCACTTTATTGTTTTAATAATAACGCCATTAAAAACCGAGCAAGGAAGTTGAACCACATTGGTAATTCCCTGGTGACTGTGGAGTGCATGGCCACGGGGTTCCGTGTGCACGGGGCGGCGTCACTGGTCCCATCTGGACCTGGACCAGCAGGTCCCAACTGCTTCCGTCCCCGCGGGAGCCACCACAGGGGCTTCTGGGAGTTTGGATATAAAGTCAAGAATATTTTGCAATATGTTATTTACGTCCTTTCCATTGACACTTAATTGCATTTTCTAATTATAAAGTAGCACATTTTGTGCGGGGGAGAAATTAAGGAAATAAATGAAATGACAACCAAGCGGAAGCCCCCCTGACCCCGTGTCCCCGGGGGCTGGACCGGGAGGGCGGTGGAGGTGAGGCCTGCCAGCCGAGTCGTCTGTTCACTGCCTGCGACCTTCCACGTCAGCGGGGCGTTTTCTGCGCTGTGTCTGTGCGGCAGCCGGCCTGTGGCTCTGCAGGAAGGACACCCAAACCACCCCCCACCCCGACCTTACTGCACCGAGACCCCCGGCCCATGTGGAAACCTGCCACACCCTCTCAGACTCTTCGGGGAAGCGGGGGCCTTCAGGACGCCCCTTTCCGGGGTGGGGGGCCGCAGGCTGCCCCTCGTGGACTCCACGTCTCTTCCCAAAACAACAGCACAGCTTTATTTTTTTTTTTTCATTTTTTGGCTTTTCAACCACCGTAGACATTCACTGTTGTGCTGGTTCCCGGCGCACAGCACGATGGTTCGACATTCACATGATTCTCAGAGCGCCCCCCAACATCCACGGCCCCCCGGCCCCCGCGTAGTCGTCACAGCGCCGGTCCCCGAGCTGGATGCTCTGTCTCTGACTGTCCTGTCACGGCCAGTCTGCCCTTCCCACTCCCGTCACCTTTTCCACCGGCTGCCTGGCCCCCAACCCTCCGGCCACCGTCAGTCCGCCCTCTGAGTCCCTGTTTCCTTCGTCAGCCTATTTCGTTACTCGGATTCCGCGCACAGGTGCGCTCACTCGGTGCTTGTCTTTCTCTGGCTGATTTCGCTGAGCACCTTGCCCTCGGGACTGTCTGCCGGCACGTAGAGTTTGAATAGCGGGCGCCTGCTGGCCTGCGAGCCCTGCGCTGATGCAGCAGCCGGAGGTGCTTAATGCAAAGGACAAGGGGACCTCCACAGGCAGCCCGGGCACAACCGGCATGGGGTGCGGACTCAGGAAAATATTTAAAATACCCTCCTTCCCAGAGTAGTGCATGGCCACTCGGCTCAGAGAGAGGTCCTGCCCCACTCTGCCCCCAGCCCAGGTTGGTCGCATTTTGGCTTCAGCTTCGGCTTAGGAAAGAGAAGGTTGGTTAACCCCTGCTCGTGGTCCACCCGAGGCACGGGAGCCAGTACGGACAGCCATGCACCTTGGCTGGCTGGTTCGGGGGACCAGGAGGGAGCTACCCTCAAAGGGGCCTTCCAGAGCCCGTGAGGTGCAGTCCCGGCGGCGCCACGTTACAGGGAAACTGCCACGCAGGCCCATCTGCCAGCGTGTGTGCGGCGAGGGGAGCGGGGGCCCACCTCCCAGGAAGCCTCCGCACCGTGAGAGGGGTGCTTCGGAAGGACTTTCATTTTCTTTTGCAGTCGCCTAATCATGTACAAAGAGCCTGTGTTGCTTTTTTAATCAGAAAAGTGTCCAATAGAAATACTCTCAGCTTCACTAGCTTTCCGTGACGAAGGCGATGCTCTTTGCGGAATGGTGGGGGCAGGCACACCAGTACAGAGGAAGGGGTGCCGGCCGGGCTTTCGTCTTGGGGAGTCCACCCGCCTCCTTCTGGCAGGTTTCTTTCCAGTCCTTTCTGTTCGAGCCTTTGTGATAAGTGAGTTGGTGCCACCAGGCTCCCCAGGGACCACCCCCCCAGCACACACAAAGGACCTCAGTGCCCTCCCGCGTGCTGTGACATCAGGATCTGCTGTGCCCAGTGGCATTGAGTCCAGGAAAACAGGAAGTAGAAAGAGCCCGTGCACTGGCCTCTCTCCACTGCCCCGACATGGGCAGCCGGGTCTGCACACGGCAAGCACCCCGACCACTGGGCCAGAGCAGGGTGCCCAGGGGCCTGGCCCTGCTTCGTGACCTTGCTTGGCTTCAGATTCGTTTTGCTGGGTGACCTTGAGCCAGTGCCTTTGTCATACTGTCCGCGCTGACCCGCAGTTCGGGGCGGCCCCCCTCCATGGTCAACTTTGGCCGTCACCAGGGCCTGGCATGATACCCCCGGTGTAAGGGACGCAGCTGAGGGTCGGGGGCTGTGGGACTCCCTTGGGCCGAGTGGCTGGGAGGGACCGAGCCGGGCTCAGTGGCCGTCGTCCTGACTTTGAGCATTGCCTGCTTTTGTTGGGGGGCGGGAAGGAGCGGGCGGCACCCCGGCTGCTGATGGGGCCGCCGCAGGGGAGGCATACGTCCGTGGGGCACCGACTGATACAGGCCTCTCTTTCCCGACAGGGCCATCCCGGCAAAGAAGGCCCCCCTGGAGAAAAAGGAACCCAGGTGGGTGCAGCCTTGGTCCGGACCCTCCAGCCCTTCCCGCAGGACAGGCCTCGGGGCTGTGGGCCCCCCTCTGCTCCAGGACGCTCCCCGAAGACGTGACGAGCTGGTGCAGCCCTGTCCCCGATGGCTCTGACGTGGGGCCATTCCCCACGGACCCGGGTCCTCCCGTCCCTTTGGGTCCTGGGCCCTGCCCCACCCTTGGTTTCTGCACAGGGGGTTGTGGGTGCAACCTGACCTTGACCAAGCAGAAACTGGCGGCCGTGCGTGGTTGTCAGCAAGGCCCTTCCCTGGGTGGCCAGTCCTGTCCCCTCTCCCAGCCGGGAGCTGACCCGTCCCGCTCCGAGGCCCCTCGGCCAGCAGAGCATTCCTTTAACGGCAACACGGTCCTTCCGAGTGTCAGCACTTGCCCAGCCCGGCCTGCCCGGAGCTTGGTCATGCCGTCCCCCCTGGGAAGGGGCAGGAGCTCCTGCTGCAGCTCGGGGCTGGGTGCAGACGCCCGTGGGGCCCGCCCGGTGTCTCCTCTGGGGCCTGTCTGCACGCGGCAAGAGGGGGCTTCGCTGGTGGAAGGCAAGCTTCCCGCTGGTGGGCGAGGACCCGGAGGGGACTGCACGTAGCAGGCCCCCCACCCACTGAGAAGCCGCTAATGGAGTTTACCCTTTGGTTTCAGGGTCCGCCTGGCCCCCAGGGCCCCATCGGCTACCCCGGGCCTCGAGGAGTGAAGGTGAGGCTCCTGCCGCTGCGGGTCTGCCTGGCGGGGCGCGCCCGGACTGGAGCAGGACCTGGCCCTCCCAGGCTGCTGGAGGGACGCCGGGTCCGGTCCCTGGGCCTGAGCAGGGCGGGCAGATGAGCAGCTGGAACCAGGAAGGGCGGAACTCGGATGGCAGGATGGTGCCTCCTGCTGATTTTCTTTTTTAAGATTTTGTCTATTTTTAGAGAGAGGTAGAGGGAGTGAGAAAGAGAGAACGAAACATCAACGTGTGGTTGCCTCCCACACACCCCCTCCCTGGGGACCTGTCCCGAAACCCAGGCATGTGCCCTGACCGGGGATTGAACCGGCGACCTTTTGGATTGCAGGCCGGTGCTCAATCCGCTGAGCCACCCGAGCCAGGGCCCTGCTGCTTTTATTGTCTTCCTTGGCCCAGCTTCCTGCTGCTCCCTGCGGCCCCTCGCCGACCACGGGACCACGGGGCTGCGGGCCAGAGCCCGGCGTTCTCTCCTGGGGGCGGGTCAGCTGGGCTGGGCCGTTCCCTCGGCCACACTGGGCAGGCCCAGGCGGGGGCACGTCTATGGGAGATGTCTGCTCATTCACGCCCGTGTTTCTGCCGCCGAGAGGCTCCAGGAACCGTGTTACTCGGGCGCACGGCGCCAACAACGCCCTGAATGCGGATTCTGCCAGGCCTGTGTTTGCTCAGAGCCACAGTCTCCACTGGGGCCCGCTCTTGGCACTCGCTGGGCACGTGCGGCTGGAGAGGCAGGTGCCCGGGGGCGGGGCGTGCTCCGGGAAGGGCTTCTCCACCCAGGACGGGCCTGTGCCCCGCCTCTGCGGCTTTGAGAAAGCGGGCAGGGAAGCTTCCCTTCAAATGGCTTAACTGGACGTGCAGGCAAGTACATAAGGATGTACATTTGAAAAGACGGTTTAGCAAGAGGGGCCGGCACACCGTGCGCTCCTCGGCACCCCCACCGCAGAGTTCAGGTGCTCTGTCCTTTCCTTTTTTAACACTTTATTTATTTATTTTTAGAGAGGGTAAGGGAGGGAGAAAGAGAGGGAGAGAAACATCAACGTGTGGTTGCTTCTTGCGCGCCCTCTACTGGGGACCTGGCTGCAACCCAGGCGTGTGCCCTGACTGGGAACTGAACCTGCGACCCTTTTGATTGGCAGGCCGTCACTCAGCCACTGAGCCACACCAGCAGGCGCCAGGGGTTCTCGCCTTTCAAGCCCTTGTGCATGGCTGCCCGGTGGGGCAGAGGACCTCAGTTTTCTGAGTTGCCCCCAAATGAGCCTAAAATCATTGCCACCCTCAGCACCTAGACCCAGGCTTGCTTATTCCAACCCTGTGTCCATCCCGGAGCCCAGGTGGCCTGACTTCCATTTCCCAGGAAGTGAGCCGCTACAGAGAGCCCCCGCCTCCATGGGAGTGGGCGGGGGTGGGGGGTGGGGGCGGCCAGGCTCCTCTGTGCCCGGGCGTCACCCCATGCCCAGGGCACTCCGTGAGGTGGTGATTCAGAAGAAACGCCCCCTGTGTGAGTTCGGTGTCTGTTCACCTCACGTGTGCTCATGGCAGAGCGGACCCTCTGCCGGTTGCCCACATGGCAGACCCCCGGAGCTGCTTCTGCCAAGGGCAAGGTGCCTGCTGCAGGGCTCAGGTGGAGGGCGCTCTTGGCTTGTCTCGGATTCCAGCGCTCTCCCGCGTGAGCAGTCGGGCAGGCTCGGAGCCCGGGCGTGGAAGGGAAGGGGTGTTGGGTGGTGTGTGGATTGGAGACACAGACTCCTGCCCTTCCGTGCACTCGGGATGCGGCAACCAGGCAGCCGGCCTGGGCGGGCGTGGGGGCAGAGTGGTGGCCCTGAGACCCACGGCCCTCGGGCGGGGGTGGGGAGGGGCGAGCTGCACAGAGTCCCGCCTGCTTCCTGAGAAAGGGGCCCCTCCTGTCCTGCGACATCTCTGACCTTTAGACACCTTCCCCTGCCCCGTCTTGCCTTTGTCCGAGGGGCATCCTTCTGAACTTGAGGGGCTACAGAGTCCCAGCCACCCCGCACTGAGCCTGCAGTGGTGGTGCCCCGGGGTGGGCTGCCGGGAGACCATGGCTGCGCACTTGTCCCGTCCCGAGAGCCCCGTCCCTGGGCTCTCCCATCCACTAGGTGGCGCTGGCGCCCCAGCATGGGCCACTGGGGCCATCGTGGGTGTGCTGCTCCCGGGGTTCTCAGCCTGGGGGACACCTGGGGGCACTTCTGACTCTTAAGCTTTGGGAGGTTCTATCATCGAACAGGTAGAGGCCAGGGGCACTCACTGCACTGTACCCCTCATTGGGGGACAGCGCACAGGGCAGCCCCTGATGAGGAACGACCCAGCCCCGGAGTCGGCAATGCTGGCGCTGAGGGACCCTGCCCGGCCAGTCCCCTCGCCCTGGCCTCTGACGTGGGCCAGAAAACGGCAGAACTTTGGGTCAGGGGGGCCCTAGGGAGGGATTCTCCGTCCTGTGCTGTTGTTTGCAGAAGGGCGTGGCCAGGAGGAGCCCTCCCGGCAGCAAGGTGGGAGCAGATGCCGGAGGCCCACAATCCAGGGCCTCAGGGTGGCTGCACACCCCTCCTCCTTCCGGAAGCTTTTGTCGCCGGGGCTGACAGAGCCCAGGGCGCTGGTGGGGTCCACAGGGGCCCCCTGCATAGGTCAGGCTCCGCTCAGGGTCTATTTGTCTGTCTGTCCCTCTGGGTCCATCCCTCTCTGCGGAAAGAAGCTCAGAACTGCACAGTCGCTCACAGTTCTGGCCACTAGAGGGCGGCCAGCGGCCCGGGCCTCCAGGAGGTGGCCCACCCTCCCGGCTGCAGCATCAGCCGGAGGACGGAATGGCGAGGCTGGCCTCTCTCTGGGACCCCGTGTCAGCAGGCGGCTGTCAGCATCTGTCCCCTGCTGGGAGGTCGGAGCGGGGCGGCCACTTAACCCCACCGGGGGCTGAGCCTCCGGGCCCAGGGGAGGCGCTGGCACTGAGTCGGAGGAAAGAGGACACGTCCTGCCCTCACGGTTCTGGTTCAGCACAGAGCCTGCGTGTGCCCTGAGCTGATGGCACTAATGGCGATCGTTGTCGGGGTAACTTGTGTTGCCACGTGTCAACAATGACGAGGGTGAAAGTCATCGGAGGGCCCGTCGCTCCTGTGTCCTGAGTGCTACGCCTGCCGCGCACAGTCCCCGAGCTTTGGAGGGGTCCCCTCCCACCAGCACTCACGGGGCGTGGTTGTCGTCACCCCGACTTCCCTGCTGAGGGAGCCGAGGCTCACAGGAGCCGGGAGGTTGTCCGAGGCTGCCGAGCGGGGGCCCGGGGGGTTGGGGGGCCGGGGCTCAGGCCTCACGTCTGTGCTCTGCAAGCCCCAGAGAGACAGGAGGCCCTCGGTGGCCGGTCCAGAGTCGCCGGCACATGGGTGTGGGGCCGGGAGGCCGCCCGCCAGCCCTCCGAGCCTTTCCTACTGAGGTCAGGGTGCGGGAGGCTCCCGAGTCGGGGGCTGGGCACGCAGCTCACCTTGGCATTGGGGGCTGGGGCCCAGGCTCAGGAGGGCTCCTCATCGTGAGTGCTCACCCCCCTTTTTGTCTGTGTAGGGGGCGGACGGCATCCGGGGTCTGAAGGGCACCAAGGGCGAGAAGGTGAGTGTCCATCCCTCCCGGCCCCCTCCCTGCCCACACCCACCCCACAGTGGCCCTGCCCGGCCCTGCACCGGACTCCTAGGCATCAGCTCTCCAGCACCAGCTGGCGCGGGTGTCGCCCCTGAGTACTGAGGGGACTGATGCCACCCTGGGAGTCACACCATTTGCAAAGGGACAACAGCAAGTGGAGGAGGACAGGCCCTTGGAGCCATGGGTGTGCCCCCCGCTGGTCCAGGTCTGGCGCTTTGCACCCCTGCCCAAGGCCACGTCTCTGGCCGGGGGCAGCCCACAGCCCCCCACTCTTCTGCAGGGGCCAGCAGACACCCCACGCTCCCCTTCTGGGCGGGCGGCCTCTCAGGGCAGCCGGCAGGCGGGTCCACTCAGTTGTTAGACGTCTTCCCGGCAGCCTTCCGGCCACAGCAGAGGTGGGGGGGGGGTACCAGGCCTTAGGCTGCGTCAGGCAAGCTCCCCGCCCACAGCATCCACCGTTCCTGTCCCAAGGTGGCTCGTCCGGTGCCACACTGGGTCGGTCTGCACACCAGGGCTTTCGCGAGTCACCCTGCCCGGTCTCAGTTCTCAGTGGGCTGCTCTGTGGAAGAAGCCCACCGCCGCCCCCCCCCGCAACACACACAGTCTCTCAGCCCCCTCCAGAGCCCCGCTGAGCCTGGCAAAGCCCTGAGCGCAGCTTCCAAACACGTCGCCCCCGTCCTGGGAGACGCGGGGAGTGGGGAACCGGGGCCCCACCCACCCCCACCCACCCCCACCCACCCCACGGACGCTGCTCTTCCCACAGAGCCCACTGGCTGCGGTCGAGCATGTTCCCCACCAGCAGGCACTGTCCCTGCTGCTGTCCCAGGACTGTGCACAGGCTCCAGTCCCTGCATCCCCCTGCCATTGGTCCCAGGACCTTTGTCCGGCTGCAGGTGGCTTCCAGAGCTCTGGCTCGGCCACGTTTGTCCCTTAGCCAGAGACAGGGCTGCTTGAGAGGCTGCGGGTCAGGTGGCATGGGCACACCTCTTGGCCAGGACAGCTAGGGCTCCGTCCCTAGGGGCCCTGGAAGGTGGGGGCGGGGAGAGGCCACACCTCTGGGCTTCCGCGTCCTTGTGGCCGCTGCCACACCGGGCGGGGCACCGAGGGTGAGGCCTGCGGGCCTGGCGGCCGGCTGGGCACAACCAGTCCTGTCCCGTCTCAGTCCTGCCCCCGGTCCTCTTCCCAACGTGTCCTGCACAGCCTGGAGGCTCTGGGCTTGGGGATGGGAGCCGCGTGCCCAGTGGGAGAGCCATCGGGAGGCGGGTTCTCCGTCTCGACCGAGGCCCACTTTCTCTCTTTCTCATCCGCATCCAGGGGGAAGACGGCTTTCCCGGCTTTAAAGGAGACATGGGCATCAAGGGGGACCGGGTGAGTGTTCCGGGAAGGGGGGGCTGGGGCGTTCGGGGCCACAGGCCGGGGACTGCCGGGAGCCCAGAGGCCTGGCTCTCCGTCCCCTCCTTACCTGGCACTAACCTCCTGGTCACTTGGGGGCAACGTGTGGTCACCCCCTCTCTGCCCTGTGTCTTGGCCCCACCCTGGTGGTCAGTGGGGACGGTACCCTGGGTTGTAGGGCAGTTGGTGTGGTGCCTGGGAGAGAGGAAGCTGAGAAGCGCCCCTGTCCAACCTCGGAGCACCGTGGCCCCCAAACATGTCCCGGTGGTGTTTTAGGGTGAGGCCCCCCACAGCCCCGTGTTCTGCGGCCCCACGCTGGGCTCCGGAGCACCGGCGACAGCCCAGAGTTCCTGGCGAGTGAGCCGTCTGGGCCCAGAGGAAGCGCGTGGTTCTGGAGGGCAGGACGCTCGGTGACAGGTACCGGCAGACAGTCGCTGGCTGTGTCGCCCGGCAAACAAGTTCAGGGCGATGACGCGGTGACCTGAAGGAGGTCTCGGGGAGCTGGCCGGCTGCCTGCCCTGAGGGGAGCGCTGTGCGATTTCCCTTCGGGCTTCAAAGCGAGCAGGAGGGAAGGAGGTTCAGGCCCGGTGGCGGCCATGCCAGCTCCCCCACGGAACACTCCAGAACCAGAGCCGTGCCCTCGGCGCTCTGTCCGGGACCTGAAAGGCACCGGTGATCTGACCCTCCCTCTGCAGGAGGGCAGACGAGAGAGGGTCCATTGCCCAGTCACGTCCCGGTTGTGTAGCCACTGAGGACAGCTGTTTTAGAACATTCTCCGTGGGGGCGGGACCCCGACTCCCCCTATCCAAGGGGATCGCCATCTCTCTGGCAACTCAGTGCGTGTGTTTGGGGTCCATACTAGGAGGGTCCCATTTTCAAAAGCCTGCCGCCCCATGAGCCGGCGTCTTGTTGGGAAGGGTGGGGACGGGGCCCTGGAGCTGGGACACCAGGGACGAGCGTTGTCAGGTTGGCTTCTCCCACAGAGGACCGTCTGCCCAGGCCCAGGCACCCCCTCCTGTTCAGGGAACACGTGACGGGTGTCTTTGTTGAACGAGGAAAATGGGACACTTCCAAGGGGAAGGGCGTTTTCAGCCCCCCGCCAGAGCTGGGCTCCCTGTTCGCTGTCCTGTAGCTGGTCCTGGAGACCAGTGGCCAGAGGAGGGGCCAGCAGGCCCGGAGGTTAGGGCGGGCCCTCAGGCCGGACCGGGGCTCTGCTGGGGGCCTCACCAGGCCCCCAGGCTGCCCGCCTGTAATCCGGGGCAGCGGGATGAGACCCCTTTTTCTCTGGGAGGCCTCGTGGGGTTTGCTGTGGGCTGATCTGCACACAGGAAGCTGCCCAGCCCGGGGTCACCGTCCACTGCGGTGCCTCCTGGGGTTTCAGGAAGGGAAGGCTCCCTCCTCCCCGGAATGGGGAAAGCTGCATTTCAGGGCTCTCGTTGCTAAACGAAGTTATTTTGGCCAAGAGGCACTCTTTTTCCAGAAGGTGGGAGGGTACTCGGGGAGTGGCAGTGTGTGGTCTGGACCCTGGACCAGTGGCCGGCCGGCTCTGTGCGGACAGGATGCAGCATGGCCCCTCGGCGGAGCCCTGTGGTTCCCTGCACGAGGAGGCCACATCTGCTCGCTGGGGCCCGAAGGCTGAGCCGGCCACGAGGCCCTTAAAGGAGGCCTGGGATGCTGCCCTCACTCCCCGAGCAGTGGTGACCGTGGACACCGCGGGGTCTCCCTTACCTTCTCTTCTCTGCCTTGCAGGGGGAGATCGGCCCACCTGGTCCCAGAGGGGAAGATGGCCCCGAAGGCCCTAAGGGTCGTGGAGGTCCAAATGGCGACCCCGGTCCTCTGGGACCCTCTGGGGAGAAGGTATGTGACCCAGGGCGCTCGGTCCCTTCCTGGGGACACACCGTTCCCAGTGGCCCTTGGCGTCCAGGCCGGCGACCTGGTCAGGCTGAGCCCCTGTGCCTGGGGCGCGGTGGTTCCTGACATGGCCACCTGTCCCCTGTACGTCATCCTGACACTCACTCCTGCCACTGCCAGGTCCCCCCCCCCGCAATTTGTTGACAGATGAGCCTCTCTCTTCTCCTGAGTGTGGCCCCTCAGAGCACCTTGCCGGCCCCCTGGAAGGGCTCCTCCTCTGGGTGCTGCGGGGCCCGGGGTCTGAGCCCATCAGCTGCCCCTGTGGACGTGCTCTCCGGGTGCAAAGCCCTGCGCCTGCGCACCTCCTGCGCCCCCGCCCCAATGAGATGCACCCCTGAGTGGCCCCATCCTGCCCGTCTTGTCCCAGGACCAGAACTGCTTCATGGCAGAGTAAAGTCTCGACCTGATTCGGCCTGTGCCTCGGGCCACTTTGGCTTCCGAGGTGGTGGTGGGGGCAGGGAGGGACCACTCAGAAGGGCAGGCAGGGCCTCGGGGTGTGACCATGTCTGTGGGACTGAGAAATGTGTGCGGCCATGTCACTCGGCTCCTCTTCTCTCTGCAGGGGAAACTCGGAGTCCCAGGGCTACCCGGCTACCCAGGAAGACAAGGGCCAAAGGTAACTTTCCATGGGACGCTCCAGCCCCTCCCCGCCCTGTGCCCTGTCCCCTGTCCCCTGTCCCCCAGCTGTCTCTCAGGTCTGCCCTCTGAGAGACCTCCTTTCACGGGGCAGCTAGTCGAGCCTCTCAGAGAAAGGGGCCGCTGCCTGGGCCCTGGGCCGCCCTGAGGTTCTCAGGGCCTGTGGCCTGTTCAGGGTCGTGGTCGCGGGGTTCCCCACGTGCAAGACTCGTGGCCAAACCCCTCCCAGCTCTGCCCTCCCGGGGATTCGAAGGCCGTTTTCCGTAACTGGGAGAGGAAGCCTTTGTCACACAGAGTCCGCTTTGGAGAAACAGCCTGTCAGGCTTTGGAAACCCTTTAAACACTGCTTTCTTTTTAAAACCTCACTTTTTATTGTTCATGGTTCTTCCTTAAAAGTGACCATGTGGCCGCACCAGACGTGTAAGTGACCTCGAAGGAGGGTCGTGCCGTGTCTCAGGCCTGCCCCTGTGGCTCTGCTGTCCTCCGTGACCACGTGTGGCCTCGGCTCAGTCCTGGCTATGGGGGTGGGGCTGGCGACCTTGTGTTTCCATTCTGGTCACAGACATGCCCACCTCAGTCCGTGGAAGCCCATGTCCCTGCTCGGGGTGCAGATCACCCCCACGGTGCAGGGGACAGTTCGCCAAGAGGCAGGAGCTTGTTCAGTGTCCGACGGTGGGACGCTGACCACATTGTGCCGCGGCCGCCCACAGCGGTGGCACCGCCGTGTCCCGATGCAGGGGCTATGGACACGCTTTCTCTTTGGGGAGGGGAGGAGAAGAGTCTGGGAGAGGAGGGGCCATAGAGGTCAAGTTCAGGCAGTGTTTTGGACGGGCTGGGCGGCCTCGGCAGCCAAGGGGGCAGGGATGAGACGCAGCCTGGCCCTCGTGCACAGCCACCGGGCTCCGAGCAGGGCCGTCGGGAGCCTGCACCCCAGGTTTCCTCGGGTGTCTCCTGTCTGATGGCAGGAGGGTGCATGTTCGGGTCAGGATTTCAAGTCACTGGGAAGGTAGAGGCCCCTGGGGCTGGGTGCACCCCCACAGGCGGGCACGGCGCCAGGCATGGCCCGTGCCCAGCTGGTGGCGGGATTGCGGGCCTTGGAATCCCGTCTGCCCACGTGCACCACACGGGAAAGGGGGGTGTGGTCGGGGCTCCGTTTCAGTCGTTAGATCTGGGGTCTTTGGGATGCAGAGGGTCTGCTCGTGAAGTGGGTGATGGATGGTGGACAGGTGGTGGGTGGATGGTGGTGGGTGGTGGTGGATGGGGGGTAAAGGAGGCCATATTGGAGGCCATGCCCTGTAACAGGCCCCCCCACCCCCCCAGCAGACCCCCCCCAGCCCAGCGCTCACGAGACTCCCCCATCTCCTCTTTCAGGGCTCTATTGGATTTCCTGGATTTCCCGGCGCCAACGGCGAGAAGGGCGGCAGGGTAAGGACGGCCCGGCCGAGGTGGTGGCGAGTTCTGCCGCCCTCTCTCCGAGCACCGACCTCCAGTGGGCGGTGGCTGGTGGGGCCCGCACTCTAAGCAAGATGACTCCGCCCAGTGGGGGGCGTGGGGGGGCACAGGGCAAGGATGGTGGCCAACCCGGCCTCTGCTGTCTCCTCGGTGACTTGACCTCCGGCTAATTTTAAAAGGAAGGAAGAGAGAGTTTTCTGTTGCTCACTGTGCAGCCAGAGCTGCTGTCCGAGTTCCAGAGGCTCCCCTCGGGTCACTCGAGCGCTGCCCCTGCCGGGCTCCCCCGAGGTGCCACGCACTCCGTTCCCTTTGTCGTCACCCTGAGTGAGCAGCCCAGGGTCAGAGGGTCAGTGCCCAGCGGCACTGGGGCGGGGCCCGGGACTCACCACCGCCGTGGAGCTGGGCGAGGTCTTGCCCCTGACGGAAGGTGCCAGGCCACATTCAAAATGCCCTTCCCAGAGTCCCAGAGGGGCCTCCTGCAGTTTGGGTGGGGACCGTGGGGAAGGCTGAGGAACAGGAGCCTGCGGCCTGGGTGCTGGAGCCCGACTGCCACCCAGCTGGCCACCGTGGCCCCAGGGAGTGGACTCAGGTTGGAGCAGATGCCCCCTGCGCCCAGTGTCTCTACGGCTCAGTCTCCAGGGAATAGCTGGCCGGTGGCCGGGGGCCAAACCCAAGTCCCGGGTCACACAAACCTGCTGCCCCCTCCCCACACCAGACGCCCCATGGGTGGAGCCGGTGGCTGCGATGGGGACGCCTGTTGGCCCCGTCCTGGCTTTGAGAGGCACGGGTCCTGGGGTGAGTGACAGCAGGTTCACCAGGAAAAACACCAGGGGCCCGAGTGCCCCTCCGCAGCTGGCGTGACGTGAGCTGCGCGGCCACCCATCACTGCGCAGGCCCCAGCGGCCCTGCCTGGGGAGAGCCACCCCGTCTCGTCCCCTCCAGCCACCAGGACGCTCCTCTCCCCTGTGGTGGCTTCTCGCCAGGAGCAAGGCTGCCTCCGGGACCCTGTGAGGATCGGGCGGGAGCCCCCAGGCAGAGTGTGAAGGAAGCTGGATCATGGCGCCTTGTCCAGCGATGTCAGTCGCTGGGACCCAAACTCTCTGGTTTGGGTTTGTTTACAGAGAGGACGGGGCACAGGGTGTCACTGGGGAGCACGGGCGGGGTCGTGGCTGAGACCCTCTGGCGCCCGAGCCTCACACTCAGGGGGCACAGGTCGGAACCGAGGGCCGTTTGTGCTGCCTCTTCACACCGCGCTGGGCCACAGTGGCGCCGGCTAAGGGCGGAGGACGCGAGCCGCGCACGGGCAGATGCCAGGGACTCACAGCTGGTCACAGGGTCCCGGCTGGTGGAGCCCATCGGGAGGACGCGGCTGCCTCTTCAACTGTGCAGACGTTTTTCTGAAGCCGAAAGCTCTGGCGTCACTAAAAAGCAGCGTAATCACCTCGTAATCACAAACAGTCTTACTCAGTTTTCTTTTAAAAGATTTTTAAAGACTTTGTTTATTTTTAGAGAGGGGGGAAGGAAGGAGAAAGAAAGGGAGAGAGAAATATCAATGTGTAGCTGCCTCTAGTACGCCCCCAACTGGGGACCCAGACCACAGCCCAGGCATGCGCCCTGAGTGGGAATCAAACCGGCGACCCACCGGTTCCCAGGCCAACACTCAATCCACTGAGCCACACCAGCCGGGGCTTGATTTCTTCCAAAATGAGAGACTAGCAAGTGGGTTGGTTCCAGGTACAAGTGGATGGGAGGTGGTGAGAGGAGACAGCAGGGCCACGAGCAAGCAGCCCCTCCTGCAGCTCAGCCCTCAGAAACCGGGAAAGAGTCCCGGAGAAGGACCCGGGAGGTGGTGGACATGGGGCCGGTCAGCCCGCCGCCTCCCGGGGCCGCGGGTCTGTGGCCGATCGGCCCTGGCGCTGCTTCAGAAGGGGACGAAGCCTCTGTTCGGTTCTGTGGTTGGAAACTCGAGTTGACAACAAGGGAGCCTCAGGCCTTTTAGGAGAGAAGCGGATGACCCCTGGATACAGGATTCGTGCGCCAAATTGCCAGTGTGCTGGTCTGCGGCGCCTGTTGAAAATTTAATGGCTAATATTCTTACTGTAGCAAAAGTAAATTATGTATGAAGCGGTTGACTTTCCTCTCTGTTCTTGCAATAATGACTCCCCACTCCTGGCGGGAGCGCAGGGAGGAGGGAGGTGGGGGGTGGGGACAGACGCTTCCAGGGGAGAAACCAGATAAGGGCCGTGAGCATCCATCAGACCACAGGGAGAAAATTGGATTTCAGCAAAGCCTCGTGCATGCTGAGGGCGCCCTGAACCCCCCTCCCTGAAACTCTCCAACTGAAAAAACATAAAAGGTGAAGTGGGGTCCTTCCTGGTTTCTGATTTCAAGGTGTCTCTCCATGAACCAGGAGAGGCCACCATGCAGGCAGTGACAGGCGGTGACTGACCAACGTCCTCCTTTTCTGATTCTAGGGCACGCCAGGGAAGCCGGGACCGCGGGGGCAGCGAGGCCCAACGGTAAAACCCCTTTGGGTCCGGAGGCGGTACAGAAACTCGGGCAGGCTGCAGGGGGCGGCCCCGGGCGCCGGGAAGGCGGTCTCCGGGAGTCTGGGGGGCGTGAGCTGACCTTCCTCTTTCCCTTCTGACCAGGGCCCGAGGGGTGAAAGAGGCCCCCGGGGCATCACCGGGAAGCCCGGCCCCAAGGTATGTTTCCACCGCCCCTGCTACCCACAGGGAGTGACCGAGGGCCATCGGGCCTTCCGCCTGTGAGACAAGGAAGACGGAAGCGTTCTCGGGGAATTTAAGGGGGAGCTGGTCACCTCCAGCGGCCTGTGGGCGGGCTGGGTCAGACCGAGTGGTGGGCTGAGGTGAGGCCGGGGCAGGACCGGGCCCCAGGAGGCCAGGCCAGCTCGGACAAATGCCCCATCCAGTTCTGGGGGGGAGGCCTCAGTTCTTCCCTTGAAAAATGGGTTTGAAGGCTGCTGAGACCTTTGCCAGAAATCTAGAAATTCTTGCCACCGTGGGTGAGCACCTGAGCCACATCTGCCCCCAACGAGAGGCAGGACACCAGCTCCCGACTGTCAGTGTGGAAGGGACCTCAGCCGTGCAGGGCCCGTCCTGCCCTGGACATAGTCCCAGAGCGAGTTCCCGCCACAGAGATGGGCCTCCCGTTTGGCTGAGGCCCTGGCCTGGCGCCTCACTACCCGAACATACCCACCTGGAGGCCACAGTGCATCCGTCCGTGCCGAGCATGGGGACAGACAGCAGGGCACGGGACAGTGTGGCCAGAGTCTCCGTCAGAAATGGTGACAGTGACAACAAGCAGCTTTCCTCCCTGTCCCCCTCCATCTAGGGCAACTCTGGAGGGGACGGCCCGGCCGGCCCTCCGGGTGAGCGGGTAAGCGCCACGGCCCTTCCTGCGGGGCGGGCCAGGGAGAGGGACCCTGCCCAAGGGGGGAGGTCTCCCCAAGTCCGGAGGGGGAGTGGTGGCAGCTGTGCTGGAAGTCAGGTCTTGTCTTGGGGGGTGGCCCCTGGACTGGGGGTGTGGGGGTGGCCGGGACACTGGGTCCTCCACGCCATGTGGCCCGAGGGCCTGTGCCCTGTGGCCTGTGGCCTGGCTGTCCAAACCCCTGACCGACCCTCCTCCTGTGCTCTGGTGAGGAAGGCGCTGATGCCCTGGGCCTGGGCCTGCGCTCAGAGGGGGACTCTGGAGGATGGGGCGAGGGGCTGCTCTCAAACTGGCCGTTCTCTGTCCCTAGGGACCCAACGGACCCCAAGGTCCCACCGGATTTCCTGGACCCAAGGGCCCCCCTGTAAGTAGCATGTTTTCCTGGCTTGGCTCCCCTGATGTCAGGCTTTTCTGGAGATGCCCATCAGGCCCTCCCGCACTGGGGCACCAGTGCGCTCTGGGAAGCCGGACCCCCCTCCCCTTCGGACGGCCGTGTTCTCCAGCTGCGTCCCTCGTGAGGGTCCTGGGGCTGCGGTCGCAAAGCAGCACAGCCGGTCACTCGGCACGAGGGAGGGTTCCCTCTCACAGTCGGAGGCCAGAGGGCCGACACCCAGGCCCGGCAGGGCTGGCTTCTCCCGGGGCCCCGCGGGACTCCGTGCCACGCCCCTGTCCCAGCTGCTGGCCGTCCTCAGCCTGCAGACACACCACCCTGACCTCTGCCTCTGTGTCTTCATGTGGCCTCTCGGGGCCACCTTCTCATGCAGACACCAGTCACCGGGCGTAGGGCCCCCATCTTGACTGGATGACACAAGCAAACACCCTCTTTCCATGTGAGGCCGCCCCTGCAGGCCCTGGGGTCAGGGACAGCAGTCCCAGTCCCAACAGGCGTGGCGTGTGTCTCTGACACCCCTGTGGAGGGAGGGGACATCAACCAAGGGGCGGTTTTGCCAGCGGGTGCACCTGAGGGCAGTGGTCCGGAGGGAGCCGAGTTCCGCCTTGGGTGGACCCGGGCCCGTCCTCTGGCGCCCCCTGCTGGCTGGACCTCAGGGAGCCGGTGACAGCTCCCTGCCTCAGTTTCTCCCCCTGGGCCATGAGGGTGACCGGGTGCGCGGCTCCTATTGGTGCTTTGTCGCCAGGAACGATGGGCTGGTTACCTCAGAAATGAAGCGGCGGTTTTGCTCCCCGGGCAGCGTTAGGTCCCCAGGGCACGAGCTTGTCAGGACGGAAGGAAACTCTGTCCCTTTGCTTCCTCCCCAGGGCCCCCCAGGCAAGGACGGGCTCCCGGGACACCCCGGACAGAGAGGCGAGACCGTGAGTACTGGTGGTGCGAAGGGGGACCAGCCTCGCTGCCCTGCTGGCCTGGGGGGGCGGCCTATCTGGGGGGGGGGCCCTGCAGGCCCCAGCCAGCACACATGACATCTCCGTGTGGATGGCAGGTGCTGGCTTCCAGGGTCACATGTAAGCACGTTACAACACACACACACAACACCACGGGCACCCTGGGACGCGTGTGGCCAACCTCCCCTCCTTCCAAGTGACCTGGAGCACAGCTCCTGGAGCGGCACTTTTCCAACGGCAAATCGGGGGGAGGTGCCCCCATTTCTGGCCCAGTCGTGCAGTGACTTCAGGCTGTGAAAGTGTCCATGAAGGGGTGGGGACCCGGCACCAGTCCCGGCCGCGTCTGGCCGGCTCCTTATATCTCAAGGTTGGTGGCAGGTGCCCGGCGCGCTCCTTGTCCTGCCTCTGTTGTGGTGAGGACAGGTGGCCCGGCGGGCCAGACCGGGGCACCAGACACCCTCCTGCCTGGCGTCTTGGCCGTTGCAGCTGACCTCTGACCTTGCCCTCGCCTTTAGCAGTGGCCATGGCGGGCTTCGGCACCTGGTTAAAGGAGTGTGACATTCCTAGTTTTTAGACAAAGCGTTTGTCGGAAGTGTGATCATGCCCTTGCCCTTGAGCAGCATGGGATCTGGTCCAGCCTCACACTGTTGTGCACATGTCCCGGGGGTGGGGGTGGGCACACCTGGGACCTGGAGGCTCCAGGCTGAGACCGTCCTGGACTCACTGGCCTGGCCACCTCCTTATAACTGCGTCACCGGCGATTTGGCCTCCACGGCCATGGTCCCCGGGTCAAAGGTCTCTGCAGCTTCTCACAGAAGCAGCAGCCCCCCCCACCCACCAGTGAGATTTCAATGTCGTATTTAATATATTCTCTGGTGCCGGCTTAAAAAAATTCCCTTTGTCTCTTTGGCTCACTGTGATGGAAGGTCATTTAATTACACTTCCCCGTGTCCTGCTGCGTGGCACCTGGTGGCTGCCTCGTGGAGATTTCTTTGCTCCATTGTCTGTAGAAAAAAAATTAAAGCGTTGGCCTGGGCTGTGCCCAGGTTTCTCCAGAGCTGTTCTGGGGAGACAGAGGGAGGTTGGCACGGCCCCGGCTTTTCTCTGACTTAATCGGAACGAGGCTGGCAGGGCGGCTGAGCCGCTTGTCCTTGCCGGGAAGTAAGCAAGGTATTTCCGGCTGCCTCTGCTGCGCCGGCCACCCCACAGACGGAGGACAGCCCTCTCCAAAGCCAGCCCGGACTGACGTCTCCTCCTCGGAGTCCAGCCCCGCTGTCCAGAAAGGCCCTCAGGGTGCTGGCTCCGTCCACCCTCTAGAACAGAAGCAGTCCAGGTCGTCCCTTCTCCTGAGCCCAGGGCCCATTCCTCAGCTGGAGCGAACCCCACCCTCAGCAGCCACAGGTGGTCCCAGGCCACGGCCCACACAGAGGGGCCTTCTTCCCCTTCCCCCAGAGGCATTGAGCCCCCCCCCCAGGTTTCCGTCCCGGTAAATGCAGAGGATGCTGCTCCAGAAGTGCACCAGGCCGCCCGGAGTGGCCAGGGCCTGCGCAGGGGCCTCGTCTCCCGCCGCCCGCCCTCGGGTCCAGCGAGGTCCGTAAAGCAGCCGCCTCCCTCTGCAGACTCTGACTGGTGTCTGGGCGTCCCCGCCGCGGCCAAGGCGGGTGGGCGGGCACAGCCGGCACCGGCAGTGGCGTGGGCGGTTACGTAGGCACCGTGCATGGAGCAGAGAGGACACTGTGGAGACGCGCGCAGGCGCCTGCTGTGAGACTGCCCGGTTGCACCGGTGGCGCTGGGGACAGAGGCAGTCAGTCTCCTCCGAGTCGCTTCTGAGCCCCCAGGTCCAGCTCCGGCCGCCACCACTGGTGCCGCACCCGCCCAGATGCGTGGAGTGACGCTCTGAAGAAGAGCCACGCTGGGACCACCTCTCCGCACAAAAGAGCAGCTGCGGGAAGTGGCCAGTGGGGCCGACGTGCTGGCCCGGTCACCTCTGGGGCTGAGCGCAGATTCGGTGGAACTAGGGAAACCGGCCCATCCCCCATGAAGTCTGGGACGTCAGGGGGTGGGGGCCGCTACAGCGGCGGCTCAGCATGGCCCCCTCTCTTCACAGGGTTTCCAAGGCAAGACCGGCCCCCCAGGTCCGCCCGGCGTGGTCGGCCCTCAGGTGAGATGCAGCCTCCCTGGGTCTCTGGGGTGCACACTGTGGGGGGGGCACAGCTCAGGTGTCGGTGCCCCCAGGACTCGGAAGGTGTCGGTGCTGCTCATGGAGATGGAAGCCTTGTGGTGCCCGTCCACGTGCTCCCCGTGGGCGGGGGCGGGGCCAGGTCAGCTCTGCCCGTGCCCTTGCTGTTGCCCACAGTGCCCACTGGCCTGCGGCTCTCACAGCTCTGGGGTCCTTCAAGGGTGGTTTGCAGCCAGGACCAGCGCTTAGCCCAAGGGGTGGGGCCAGTCACCCTGTCTTCTGGAGCTCACAGTTCACGTTCCTTGCCACCCTCCTTTCCCTGTGACACCCGGGAAATGCAGGACCAGGGCGTGGCACCACCTCCTCCGGCCGGTTGGCTCTGATCTTTTCCTTCCCAGACTTGCACGAGAATGGGAAGACTGGCAAAGCCACGTGAGGGCGTGGGCCTGCCGTGGGTCCTCAGCCTCCTCTGCCACGGCTGTCCCCTAGGGTCAGGAACAGAGGGTGACTGCCCCGTGCATCCCCTGATGTGTGGCTGACGCCAATTTCCCCGCAGGGTCCCACAGGAGAAACTGGTCCCATGGGCGAGCGTGGCCACCCCGGGCCCCCCGGGCCCCCAGGTGAACAGGGGCTCCCAGGCCTTACCGGGAAAGAAGGGACAAAGGTGAGTCACACGGACCGTCCACGCCAGACCAGAGGTTCCCTAGGGGGCCCTTTGGTCTGTTTCCCGCTGCTGTTCGCCGGCGGACACGCAATTTCTCAGGCAGGAGCTCCTTACGCCAGCCCACTGCCCGGGCCGTGAACTTGGCTGCACTTCTGCCTAATTTGAAAGAGGACTCGAGGGGACCCACCACAGGGCTGGGCGTGAAGGGTCTGGGCTCAAACCCTCCTTGGCCTTCTGCCCCGGGCCACGTCCTGTCCCCAGCTGTCCCATCTGCTCCCGGAAACATGTGAAACGCTCTGACACCTCGTGCATCTGTGTTGACTAGAAGGGATGCGTTTCTGCTCCCCCCCCCCGCCCCCGACCCTCAGGGGGCTGCTCCTCCAGCCTGGGCCCTGTGGGTGGTCCCAGTTCCTGTGCCTTAGCTCGGAAATGAGCCCCCTTCCCTCTCAGTCTCTCGGTGAGAGACACGGGAACACACGCTCTCCAACCTCTCATTCGGCCACACGCAGGGGAGTGAACTGAACAGGGAAGTGAGGTGGGGCCGATAAAGACGGTGGAAACGTTAAGGCACACACGTGTGCGTGTGTTTATATGTATATGTGAAGGCACACGTGCTCGAAAAATAGACGTGTGTGTGCGTAGCGTGTATGAACAGACCACAGGCACAGGTACAGGTGTGGGTCCCAGGCCGGCGGAGGCCCCTCTGAGTGCGGAGAGGGGGCCCCGGAGGAAACACTATAGGGGCCCGGCTTTAATGCAGCTTCACGAAGGCACGGGCTCGGGTGGCGCACCCTTCAGAAAGCCCGGCCTGGGGCCTGCACGGAGGGTCCCCAGTGCTGGGTGGGTTCAGGGCAGGGCTTCCGGCCCTGTGGCTATGGGTTCCCCTTCCAGGGACCCCAAACCCCTGGGAAGGCAGACGCGGGCCGGAGCATCGGGGGAGGCACAGGCGGAGTCGGTCCCCAGGACCCCGCACAGAGGCCTGACAGCCGGCCCCCCAGGCCTGTGTGTGGGCGCCGTTCAGGGCGCAGCGCTGCACCAGCGAGTCAGTCCAGTCAGAGGTCAGACTCCTTTCAAGCCGAGCGGCCGGGAAGCCCGCACGGGCCCCGTAGTTCTAGTTTTGGGAACTGTTCAGAAACCAGCCTGTGGCTTTGATTTCAGGGGGACCCAGGCCCCGTCGGCCTCCCTGGGAAAGACGGCCCACCAGGACTCCGCGGCTTCCCTGGGGACCGAGGGCTCCCTGGCCCAGTGGTGAGTGAGGGGCCAGGAGGGGGTGGGGTGGACACTGCCCAGCCCGGGCCTCTCCCGGAGGCGCCCCTGACCGCACTCTTGTTGCTTTGCAGGGAGCAGTCGGACTGAAAGGCAGTGAGGGCCCCCCCGGCCCGCCAGGCCCCGCGGTGAGTGGCGTTGCTCTCTATCCAGCTCAGAACGTACTGGGCGGGGGGATGGGGGTCCCACTGTGGGTCCTTGGAAGGCCGTGGTGGAGCGGTGGGCTTGGGAGGGGTGTGGACAGTGTGTCCTGAGCTGGCAGTGGGGTGAGGAAGGCCCTGGGAGCAGGCTGTGTGAGGGGCGGTGGAGGACTGGGCAGTTCGAGGGGAGGGCTGAGGGCCCCGCCGGGCCTGCGACGGGCACAGAGCAGCTGACCCACTTCGTGAGGCTGGGCTGGGGGTGGCCGTGACCCCCGTTGCCTCTGAGGGTGGGCTCTCCCCATGCCTGGGGCTGCCCAGGTGGGAGGGCCACCCCCAGGGCCGCGGGTCAGTCTGCCTGTGGACTAAACGGTCCCTCAGAATGCAGACCCTCCGATGCCGGCGGGACCGGGAGTGTCGGCAGAGGGCCCAAGGGGCCGCGTGGGCTCCAGGCTGAGGGCCGGCGGTGTGGCCCATGGGAGCCCGGTCCCTGCCGCTCTGATATGAACCTCTCTCCCCTTCCCAGGGGTCTCCGGGGGAGCGAGGTCCGGCCGGTGCTGCGGGGCCCATTGGAATTCCAGGGAGACCAGGGCCCCAGGGACCTCCGGGGCCCGCCGGGGAGAAAGGAGCGCCTGTGAGTACCTCACGGGATGGGGGTTCCCCGGCCCCCCACCATGGGTGTTTCCCTGGGGCTTTGCAGGAGGTGGGAGGGGTGAAGTTTGAGACAGCCCCCGGGAATGAATGTGTGTTCCCGACTGAGGCCCAGGGGGCGGGTCCCCCAGGTTGGCCAGGGGCCTCCTCGAGTCTCTGGGGCCGGGGAGCACCCCGGGCAAGGGTCTGCCCGTCACCCCTGCCATGTGCACCCTGGCACGTGCAGACGCAGGGAGGGGCTGGGGACGTGCGTCCAGACATGGCCTCGGCCTCCGTCTGGTCCAGGCTCTGGTGCCACTCCGTGTGCGCCACCCCTTCCTGCTCTGCGGCGGAGTGAGGACTGCGTGGGGGTCGGTCTGGTTAGGAAAGTGGGGGTTCCTTGCACGGTTTGCTCCAAGAGGCTCATGGGTGGAGAGGGGGCCCGGCCGCCTCCCCCGGTGAGAGCTGCCCACTGAAACCACGTGGGGACTCCTGGGCCACTGGGGATCTGCTCGTGCGTGGTTGGCAGTTGGAGGGCACCTGCTTGTCTCTGGTGAGGCCCCAGGGGACCCTGGTCCGGCTGACTCCGTCGGAAGCCCGGCGCCTGGTGGGCCTTTGGCACACACAGCTCCCACAGTGCAGTTGGAAGTGGCTTGGCTCACTGTCTGAAGAGAGTGAATATTTGAGCTGAGGTCCCTTGAGAAGGACCGTGTCCACAGAAAGCTCGTCATTCCCCAGAGCAGCTGCAGAGAGGAGAAGGGTCGTGGGAAAGGTCAGGTGTCTCCCAGCGAGGCTGCCTGACCAGGGGTGCAGGGCGGAGGGCCCCCCCGCACTGGGGCCTGGCATTGCGGGCTCGGTGCGGCGGGAGCGGAGGGCGGCAGGGCTCCTGGGGGGAAGCACCGTGCGGTAGAGGCCGTTGAGTCGTGACCCTGCATGAGTGGCCCCTGTCTCGTTCCGTGTGCCTGCTGGAGGGAAGTGGTGGCCAGCCCAGGTGCGAGCATTGCAGCCCCTGAGTGTGACCCGCTGAGTAGCAGGAGGGGGCGGAGCGAGAGCGCAGTGAGGGGCTTGACAAGGAGCCGCCTCCGGGAGGGCGAGTCGGGGCTGTGAGGGAAGGAAGGCAGGTGCGCGGCGGGCGTGTGTGTGACGTGTGGGTGTGCACGTGAGAATGCATGTGCACGCATGAGTGGGTGCACATGACTGCATGTGGGCATGTGAGGATGTGTGTGCACAGGGTGTGTGCATGAGCCTGCGTGTGCGTGAGTGTGTGCGCACAACTATGCAGTGTGTGTGTGTGAGAGAGAAACTGCATGCAGGTGTGTGTGATGTACGCGGACCAGCATATGCGCGTGCGAGGTGTGTGCGTGCCGTGTTTGCCGGCGGTGTCTGCAGAGGACGGGGCGGTGACGGTGAGGAGGCTGGGACTCCGCCCTCCCGGCCTCCAGGCTCAGGGGGCCCAGAACACAGCTCAGAAGTCTGCTTGTCAGGGGTGAATCCTGGCTCTTCCGCCTGCACCTTGGCGTCCCCTCTGCAAACGCAGCCCTTCCGTGGCTGGGTGTGGGTGGGGTGCACTGAGTGGGGTGGGCTCTGAGGGTCTGGCTGGTGTCCTCAGGACAGTGGACACAGCCACTCCCTGGAAACTGCCAGCCGCCTGCCCGAGGGCCCCTCTCTGGGGGTGCGCTGTGTTTGACCACAGGTCTCCGCTGTAGGGCGAGAAAGGGCCACAAGGCCCCGCTGGCCGAGATGGTCTCCAAGGCCCCGTGGGGCTCCCTGGTCCGGCCGGCCCTGTGGGGCCCCCTGGAGAAGACGGAGACAAGGTAAGGAGAGCCGGGCGGCCACTTCAAACGAGGGGTGTGGGCGACGTGGGGCCCCGGGCGCCCCCTGCACAGGGCCGACGGTGTAAACGGTGGTAGTGAGGCCCCTGCTGTCCGTGAGACACCGTAACCGGTGCTGCAGCTGCCCGACGATGGGCCCCGGGGAGCTTAGGGACTGCCTCCCTCTTGCGTGGGGTTCGTGTGGAGCCGGCAGAGCCGGGGAGGAGCTCCCGCTCCCCCGAATCCATCCACCTCCTGAACCCGCCTCCGTGAGTTTGGCTCAACTTCGGTTTTTAAGCGTCCCCGTGGCCATCAAGCCCTCTCACTGGGGACCCCTGGTGGCCCCTGTGGCCGCTGCTCTGTGGGGCTTTATTCAGTAAAGACACTGGACCCAGCTCTGCTGCTGACCAGGCCACTTCCAGTGAGGGTGGCCAAGTGCTCTCTGGCCTCGCCAGTGGCATTTCCGACGCTGTCACTTTGTGGCAGACGACGGCAGGCCTCTGAGGGGGGAGCCGGCCCTGCGCCGAAGGGGCTGGGGGGGGGGCTGCGGTCACTCCTCTGGGTGCTCAGTAACCGCCGCATCTGCCATTGTCGGCCGGCCGGACGGGCCGAGCAAACAGTTTCGCTGCGATTTCAATCCACTCGAGTTCTGTGTCACATCCGGTGGAGGCTTCGTCCCCTTTCGCTGTCGTATTAAAAAGGAAACCGAACTGATGGGAGCATTTCCTCCCGGGGAATCTGCAGAGCCCCCCGGAGAGGCCGGCCCACTTACTCGAAAAACGAGTTCCCGGGAGCAGGCGCGGTCCAGGTGGCGTGGTGGGGGCTGACGGTCTCCCACATCTTCCCGCAGGGAGAGATCGGGGAGCCGGGGCAGAAGGGCAGCAAAGGGGACAAAGGAGAACAGGTAAGGACCATGCGGGGCTGCGGGTGGCGGGGCTGTCGCGGCACAGGGCCATGCACTCGGGGCAGGACGAGCAGTCTGCCCACGTCCGTCACCGTGACTGGCGGAGCAACGCTCACAGCTGAGAGCAGATGGGACAGCTGACGTCTTCGGTTCCGGTCGTGACCCCGTGCGTGCGTGTGCACAGATGTGACACGCCGTGTGCCCATCCACCTGGGCATGGACCCCTTGCTGGCCCAGGAACAGGGAGCAATGGTGGGTTCTGGGAAGTGGAGGAAACCGAGGCTTTAGTGCCAGAACCGGGGGCTCCGCACAGAGGTGGCAGCGGGACCCGACGCCTCCCCTCACCCCGTTTTCTCATCTGTTAAACGCTGGTGTGTTTTCGCACAAACCCTGTCCAGGGTCACCAGCTCCCCAGGCAGCAGGTGGTCCTATCCCTGCTGGCACCTCCGCCTGGGCCGGGCGGCTCCTGAGGACAGCGTGCTCTGCCCGCTTGCTCCCCTGCCCCCCACACTCCCTGTGCTGGCAGTGAGGGTGTTTGGGGACACGCCCAGGGACAGGGAGTCACTGTGTCCGGTCCCGGCTCAGCCACGGGTGAGCTGCGTGCTCCTGGTCCGCGACGGTAGCCCGGGGCCCCGATGGCCCAAGTTGTGGGAGCTGCGCTGAGGCCCGGCGGCCTCCAGCAGGACTTCCATGGGCTGGACTTCTGAGCACCACCAGCTCCAGAGCTGCAGGACGGCCACCTGTGGGGACTGAGCCCGGGACGCCGGTCCCCTGTGCTGCCCAGCCCCTCTCCCTGGGCCTTCGCTGGGACTCAGTGAGCAACTGTGCCCGCCTCTCCCCGCAGGGTCCGCCTGGGCCGACGGGTCCTCAGGGCCCCATCGGGCAGCCAGGCCCCTCGGTGAGTATCTTCGGCCGGGGACAAGCATGCAGCCCCCCACCCCCGGAGCTGGCGGGCACCGGGGACTGGTCCTCACCCCTGTGCCATGGTCTCCCTGCAGGGAGCTGACGGAGAGCCGGGGCCTCGGGGCCAGCAGGGCCTTTTCGGGCAGAAAGGTGACGAGGGTCCCAGAGGTTTTCCCGGGCCCCCTGGACCCGTGGGGCTGCAGGTAAGTGTGGAGTTTGTGTGGTGGCTGGTGTCCGCCTCAGGTGGCCCCCCCGTCCTTGCCGTGCCCCCTTCCGTCTGTGAGAGAGTGAGGACACTGCAGGCCCCCAGCTCCCCACGCGTCGGCAGCGCCGCCAGTGCCTAGCCCCAGGTGCACCCACGCTGGCTTCTCATCTGTGGCGTTTGTTTCCACGGTGACAGGAGAAACATCGGAACCACTGATAAATTGTAGGAAAGGCGACAAAAACGGCTTCTGCACAAACCGCCTAGAGACGGCAGCCGTGCGCACTTGGGCGCATTCCCTGTCCCTCCTCGCCAGTGCGTGGAGTCCCGCGCCCGTGTGCACACACACACGCGCACACACACGTGCACACCCATGGCCGTTGGGTTTTTGCGGATTCCCATCCTGTCCTGTGGGTGGGGGGTTCCGACTCTGCTCTTCCCACCTGCCTCCCGTCTTGCGTTGTGTCAAACGTCACGGAACGTTCTTGGCCCGCGGCGGCAGTTGTGTTTCTCTGCTGAAGTGTGATATTCGGTCGCTGCACAGCACTGTGGCGGCCGCAGCGGGCCCCTCGGGCCGTGGTCCCTTGGGGCGCTGCAGAGGCACCCTTGCCCTCCATCTTCCCGCATCTCCTCGGGCTGATTCCGAGACCCAGGGTCCCAGGGTGCCGTCCTGTTGGCGATGGGCTTAGAGGCATCTTTAAGAGGCTCCTGACGCTTACGGCGGGCGGTGCCAGGAGCCCCAGAGACACCCACGTGTGCTGGCCGGGGCCGCGCCGCCCTGCTCACCCCGGCCCCTCCTGTCCTCAGGGCCTGCCAGGACCCCCGGGAGAGAAGGGCGAGACAGGAGACGTGGGTCAGATGGTAAGTGCCCCGGGGACCTGGCCATGGCGGCCAATGTCTGTTTCTGTAAAAATCTGCATTTCTCTGTGTTCAATGGCGCTTCTTCTCCTAGGGCCCGCCAGGTCCCCCCGGCCCCCGCGGGCCCTCTGGAGCACCAGGTGCGGACGGGCCCCAAGGTCCCCCCGGTGGAATAGGCAATCCTGGCGCAGTGGGAGAGAAGGTGACCTGCACCCCGTAACGTCATCACGTCTGATGCGTGTGCACGTGTGTGTGTGTGTGTGAGAGAGAGAGAGGAACCCAGGGCGGGGGTGTTGTGCGTCCAGCTGGTCCATGGAGAGGTGCAGGTGCCCTGCCTGGCTGTCTCTGTCCGATGCGGTTTGACAGTTAGAGGGTCCGGGCAGTGGGCCTGGGGCTGTGACCTCTTGCCTGTGGCAGCTTCGCAAACAGTGACCCACCAGCAGAGGCCATGGCTGCAGGGTTCGCCCGAGAGGGGGACCTGTGTATCCCGCGGAGTCTGTGGACCCTGGTCCGCACTGCTGGCCCTGGGGCTGATGGGCGCGCCTGCTCGTGTGCGCACACCTGTGTATGCCCACCTCTGCGCACGTGTGGACAGAGGGCGTAACAGTGCCCACATCCAGCCCCACTGCACGCTCAGGAGATCTTGAGGCCCCTAAAGTGCTCACCCTCGCTCCTGGGGCCCAGAGGAAAAAATGGTGCTTCTGTCCATTTGCATTCCCTGGACACCATTTCCAGAACTTTCAGATGCCATTCCATTGAGGAAAGTGCTCCATTTCCTACACCTGCAAACCAGCCACCGGGCTGCCCCTGCTCACGCCCGTCTTTCTCTCAGAGCCCCCCACCCCCCACGTAGGGCCCAACCCCGGGACACCTGCCACCCCCCCACCTGGCCCGGCTGTCTTTGCCCAGTTGGCCCCCATGGGCAGCGCCCCGTGCCCCAGCCTCTCCTCGCTGTTCTGCAGAGCTCACTTGGGGGCCACCAGGTGCCCCAATGTACTCTGCTCGGCCTTGTCCCTGACCGTGACCACCAGGGTCTTCACGGGCCTCCCCTCCCCTCCCGGGGGCCCTCAGAGGACAGCGGTCACAGTCTTGTCCCAGCCCCTCCCTGGTGCCAGACCTCTGGGGGGCTGTGACTCGTTCTTGTCCTTCCCTGACCACTCCGCTCCCTCCTCAGGGTGAGCCCGGCGAGGCTGGTGAGCCCGGTCTTCCTGGAGAAGGCGGCCCCCTGGTGAGTACGGGGCTCAGTGGCGGGGCTGGTGGGGGGCCCATGCACAAACAGGGGCCCGCATCCTCTGGTGGCTGCTGCATGGGGCGCTGCAGAGAGGGAGCATGTGTATGTGCACATGTGTGCCGTGTGTGCCCCTGACGTGTGCATGTTTTATGGGGAGTATGTGTTTGCATGTGCACGTGTGCACACGAAAATGTCAGCAGCGGGCAGCTGCGGCCACAGCTGCAGGCGGCTCTGCCGTCCGTGGGGTCCAGGCCCTTCTGTAGACGCCACAATGTCTGGTGGCCGTCCCCTCACCAGCCCAGGCTAGGTCACCCTGACCCCCGCAGGGGGTCACACATGGAGTACTCCAGGCCTGCCCATGCGGGTTCTGGGAAGTGGCTGGTGGATGAAGGTCCCCTGGGTGTCAGGCGACTCCCTCCACCTGCGAACCCCAGGGAGAGCGTCCCTACAGGGTCCGTGATGCCCGCTGCCCCGTCCCGGGGCCCGTCTGTCCCATCTAGAGGCAGTCTAGGCCTCAGAGGACCCTGGAAAACCAGGGGGTCCCCCAGCTGCCCGGTGGTGCCAGCAGGGCTGGGCTGTCATGGGGAGCCCAGGCGGCTGCTGAGACCCACGCTCCCAGCACCGGCCCACCGCTGGGCCCCGATGACCCGGGAGAGGGCTGCGGTCCTCCCGTGTGATACCACCCAGGGGCGCCCCTTGGGCCAGCGCCCCGGGGAAGCTGTGTGGTCGGCCCTGGGCACACAGGCACCAATCTTCCCCACAGGGACCCAAAGGAGAAAGGGGAGAGAAGGGCGAGGCGGGCCCTTCTGGTGCTGCCGGACCCCCTGGACCCAAAGGCCCCCCCGGAGACGACGGTCCCAAGGGCAGTCCCGTGAGTAGCCCTCCACAGCACCCGGAGGTGGGTGGGGGCCGCACTTAGACTGCCCTCACTCACCTGCGGGTGCAGAGCTTCCCGACCACCACGCGCCCTGGGGAGGCGCCCAATTTAGAGGTTGGCGCCCGGCTGCTCAGCGGGCACAGGTGGCTGGGCTCCGTGCCCACCCCCTCCCTGCAGCTGCCACGGCCCCGAGCCCCAGAATGGGAGGTGTGGCCTCCGGAGCTCAGGAGGCCGGGTCCCGCCTGCCCCCTTCCGGGTGCGACGCCTGGCTCGGTCGGGCGCTGTCCCAGCAGGGGATCTCGGGCTGCTGAGAGCCCCGTGGGCTCAGCTCTGGGAACGTCCGGGGGGTAGTTGGCAGGGAGGCAGCCTTTACACAGCGGCAGCTGGGCCATGTGCTGAGGGCCGGACCGGCCTCTCGTTTTGTTTTAGGGCCCCGTTGGTTTTCCTGGAGATCCCGGACCACCTGGAGAGCCCGGCCCCGCGGTAGGTGCTGCCGAGCCTTTGCCACCCCCATTGCTTCCTTCTCTCTCTGGGGCGCGGCGCCCGCACGGCACCACGTTCCGGCAGTCAGCTGGGCAGACGCGCCTCTCTCTGGAGCGTGCTGCGTCCCCGCCCCACCGGGAGGGACTGGGGCTTAGCGTGCAGACTGGGTGCTGTCCAGGGCACTGAAGGGACTTGACTTTGTCCCCACAGGGCCAGGATGGTCCCCCTGGTGACAAAGGGGACGACGGCGAGCCCGGGCAGACGGTGAGTCGGGCCTGGACTCTGGGGTCGGGGAGGGTGGTGGTGCCCTCTGGGGAGCTGCCCCCACTTTGCCCATGTCTAAGGAGAACCCAGACCCCGTCCCCGGTGACGTCGGTCCTGGACTGAGACGGGGCCCAGGCTCCCTCTGAGGGTCTATCCAAAGCAGGGGCCCTGATCCCAGCGGGAAAATCGCGCCCCCGCCAGAACTGCCGGGCATGGAGGTCGAAGCCGAGACCGGCAAGGCCAGGTCACCTGGGACCTGGTGTACCGGCTCCAGGGGACGAGGGGTCAGGGTCGGGCGGCAGGGTGGGGTTGACAGAAACTCAGTGGGTGGCGGTCCCAGCCTCCATCTGGGGCAGGTCCGCCCACCTGCACCCCGCAGACCAGTCCCTGAAACCTGCCTTCTTCCTCTGCCTCCAGGGCTCCCCGGGCCCCACTGGTGAGCCCGGCCCATCGGGGCCTCCGGGAAAGAGGGTAAATGACTCTGCAGACCCGGCCTCTCCTGCCGACTCGCTGCATGCAGCCTGCCTCCCCACCCCAACCCCCCGCCCCTGGCACAGTCCTGGGAAATGGCTCTGCGTGACGTGCGGGCCCCCTTGGCCCCCTGCCCCTTCAGCAAGGTTCTGACCTGCTGGGTCGACGCACCCGCACCTTTCCGGGGAAGCCGAGTGCCGACCTCACCGGAGTGGCCCCCGTGGGGGAGAACCACCCACAGAGCTGGAAATGCCTTTCCCTCCCCGGGGGCCAGGACGCCCCAAAGTCGAACGTGCCGCACGGTGTTTCTTTGCCCGTGGAGTGACCAGCCTTTGCTGGTGTCACAAAGCCCTGAGCTGCCGTGCGAGACCAAGTAGAGGTGGCTCCCCCGAAACTCACGGCCGCCAGGCGCCCCCCCCGACCACACACCGTCCGTCCCAGAGGCCTTTGCCTGCCTGGAGTCCTTCCGGCTCGTTCTCAGGGCATGACCCAGGCCCAGCCTCCACGAGGCTCCCCGCCCAGGCCTGACCCCGCAGACCCGGTGCTCCCCGCTCGGCTTCCGCAGCCAACTCACCGTGTGCGTTTCTCTCACCGACCCAGGGTCCCCCCGGGCCTGCTGGCCCCGAAGGCAGACAGGGGGAGAAAGGAGCCAAGGTAATGTGCTCTCGGCCCGGCCATAATGGCGCGCACAGAGCTTCCTCAGAGAGCCGCTGCCTGCGGGCGACTTGGGTGGGAGGTGGGGACAGGGTTGACTGAGGGAAAGGCAGCAGTCAACCGGGAGCTGCAGCCCAGGAGGCCTGGCTGCCCCTGCAAACCTGGGCTAGACCATCAGTCTTTTCCAGATTGGAAGTGGCTCGTGGGTGGCCTCGGTCACTAGGGTGCCAGTCTGTCCCCCACCAGCCCACGGGAGGGGGAGCGGGTACTGCTGCCAGGAAGGCCGGGGTGCCGTGTGACGTCGGGCTGGCGTTTGCCCCCCACGCCTCTGCTGTCTCACCTGTGGGGCAAGGTGACGACGGTGCCCAAGGCAGGGGGGTTCTGAGAGGGCAGAGTGCCGGGACGCCTGTGCAGCGAGCTTGCAGCCGGGCACCCGGAGGACTTGGGGGCCGTCCCCAGGACTCTGGTGTGCTATCAGCCTCCTCCTGGAAATACCCTGTCACAGCTGGACTGTGGTGGCCGTCGCCAGCCCTGAGTCTGCTCAGGAAATGGTGGCTGTGTCCATGCACGCTCAGGGCCACTGTAACCGATGCGGTGGCCACGAAGGCCGTCGTTGGCACGGTCACCGGGGGTCAGGGAGCCTGCTGGTGCAGAGGATTAGCAGGACAGAGATGGCTGGGCCACTGCCACTGGAATGTGGGAAAGGGGGCCAGCCCCCAAGGTATCTGGGGGTGTTTGGGGGTGTCTGGGGCTCTTGCCAAGGCTCCTGAAGTTCCCGAGCAGCATTCAGGGCTGGGGGGCCAGGGCGTCAGCACGTGGGACCCACTCTGTTCTCCTCGTCGCCCTGCAGGGAGAAGCTGGCTTGGAAGGCCCTCCTGGGAAGACTGGCCCCATCGGCCCCCAGGGGGCCCCTGGGAAACCCGGGCCTGACGGCCTGCGAGGGATCCCCGGCCCTGTGGTGAGTGAGCGGGGCGGCCGGGGAGGGAGGCAGGGGGGCACGGGGACAGCGGGCTCATGCGCAGGGCCGGCTGTGTTGCAGGGTGAACAAGGCCTCCCGGGATCCCCAGGCCCCGACGGCCCCCCTGGCCCCATGGTGAGTGACGTCCCGAGGAGCCCCGGCGGCAAGGGCGGGGGGCTGGGCAAGAGTCTGACCCCACCCCTCCCCCACAGGGTCCTCCAGGACTCCCTGGCCTCAAAGGGGACTCTGGCCCCAAAGGGGAGAAGGTGAGTAGCACCGACGCCGCTGCTCCACGACTCGGCCCCTTCGCGCCCCGTGGCTTCAGGTGTCCCCGTGTTCGTCGGGGCCCAGGCTGCACCGCGGTGACAGTCGAAGGGCGTCCAGGCCCCGAGAGGAGCCGCTCGCTGTGTCGTGGGGTCTCCGATCCTGCCCACGGGGACGGGAGCCTGCCAGGGGAGGGGGGGAGGTGTCATCTCTCACGGGGCGGATCGTCCTTGGAAGCGCGAGGCCCACCGACAGGCCCAGTAACTGTGCAGAAGGAAGGCGGCGCGGGGTGTCTCTCTGTCCACTCTGACGCCCAGCCCGCCCCCAGCGCACCGAGAGCGGGAGGACCCCCCAGGACTGTCTGGGGGCTCGCAGGAAGCAAACTGTTCCCGTGACCACGTGCGGAGGGCTTTTCTTTGAAACAGACCAGGACAACCATAATCCCTGCAGTGTCTGGGCCTCTCCCCCGCGGGCCCACGGACCCCGGCCCTGTGCCGGTACCAGCGGAAAGGACAGAGGGCGCGTCTCAGGGACCGTTGTCACTCAGGAGCCCTCATCCCTGGGGCCTGCATCTGTGACTGCCTCTCAGGGTTCCATGTCAGACCAGCCGTGTGTCCCCCAACCCGCCCTTTCCGTTCCAGGAGGATGTCGGTGCCTCGGTGGCACCTGCGACGTGGCGTGCTGCCCCGCATGGCGGGATGCGAGGCTCTGCCACGGCCGCCGCCCTTCACATCTCTGTTTCCCACAGGGTCACCCCGGCCTGATCGGACTCATCGGGCCCCCCGGGGAGCAGGGCGAAAAGGGGGACCGCGGCCTCCCCGGCCCGCAGGGCTCCTCCGGCCCTAAGGGCGAACAGGTATGTGGCGTGGTGGCCCCAGAGAAGCTCCGTGTGGGCAGCCCTCTGCCCACAGGCCGGGCACTAGAGCCAGGACCGGGGCCACTCCAGGTCCCTCCGGTCCCAGTGGAAAGCGCCGGCTTCCCCAGTCACGGGGAGCCGGACGGTCTGCAGTGCGGCCCGGCCCCGACCGCGTTCCCCACCCGAGGACCGCAGGCCTCATCCCTGCCCGTCAGCCACAGGGCGCACGCAGGCACCCGAGCTGTTCCCAGCCTGACCCGGACGGGGACGGACAGGAGGGGACGGAGACCGCAGGGCAGGGAACAGAGTGGAACCGTCCTCGGGCCGAGCGAGGTCGTGGGTAGCACCCTCAGGGACCCCGGCTCATCTGCCACCATTCTCCCCGGGGCCTTGACCATCTTCCCACCGTCCCGTGTCCCAGGCCATGGTGGCACTCTCAGACGAGGGCCACCTAGAGGTCCTGACAGTGAGAAAGGGGTCCGGGGTGCCCGCCACCGAAGGGAAGCCCCCGTCTGTGCCTTCAGCCCACGTGGTCCCCGGCAGCGACGCTGAGGGAGGGGCCGGCGGAGGGTCTCTGTGGTCTCCCGGCCACCCACGGCCTCTCCCCCCCAAACCCCCCGCGTCCATCTCCATCCCCGACCCCCAGTCCCCCTGCCTGCTCCTCGGACGTAGGGAGGGAAGCCCCGGGCTTCGCCTCGGGGTGGCTCTCCAGAGGGCTCTGTCTCAAACTGGGCCACCAGAAGAGACGTCTTCAAGCGCCCTCACCGTCCCTCGGCCCTGTCGAGGCCAGGGGTCCCTTCCAGCCGGCCCGGGCGGCAGTGCCCGGGAACGGTCAGCCTCCTAGCCGAGCGCGGGCCCCGTACGGCGGGCGTCTCTCCACACGGGGCAGCCAGCCCTGCGTTGGAGGGCAGCTGTTAGGGGGACGTGGCTGGGGACTGCGAAGTGGCCGTGTGGACAGGAATGTCAACGGTCCCTCCTTGTACGACAGTAACTGGGTTTCCGCTCCTTCACAGGGCGTCTCTGGTCCTTCCGGCCCGCTCGGCCCCCCAGGCCCTCCCGGCATGCCGGTGTGTATGGGGGGGGCTGGGTGCTGCTGGGGGAGCGGGGGGGCAGCGTGGGCCTCCCTTCGGCAGGGGACCCTAGAGCAGTGTGAGGCTGGGGGGCAGGGCCCCGGGAGGGCTTGCCTGTTCGCTCTGCATGGGGCTCCAACGGACAGAAGCCAGGAGGCAGGGTCCTGGGCCCTGGTGTCCGGCGAGGGAGGCTGGGCAGACGGCCCCCATCTCTGGGTGGTCAGCGAACGTGGACTTTCCCCTGCGGGCGTGTTGGGGCAGTGAGCCTCCCGTCACCCCAAGCACGGCCAGCCCGGACCACACACGAGGAGTGGGGGCCCTGCCTCTAGCCCCCGCCCAGGCCCCCCATGTTGTGGGGAGACCCAGCGCTGTATCATCTTCCCCATGGCCACCCGGGCCCGGGTCCATGTGGCCTGGGCACCCCTGGGCGACCCGAAACTGCCTCCCGGCTGCCCCCAGGGCTGGAGGGCTTCACGTCGGGGCCGGAGGCCGGCACAGCCTCTCTGCCCTCCGACTCTGGCTGCCGGAATGGGACTGCCCGGCCGGGGAGGTTTTGGGGGTCGGGGGCCGACCTATGGCGGATGGGGCCTTCCCTGCCCCATATGGGCGCACACCAGCGCACCCCGGCCCCTCCCCACCTCCCCAGTTAAGCAAGTGCAAGTGTGGACCCCTGGGAAGAGGGACACGGGCTCGAGGAGGGGCAGTGACCAGGCCCAGCGTGCGGGGTCCTGGGCCGAAGGCAGGCGCCCAAGCTGAGGGGCTCTGCCGCTGACCTCCGCCCTGCTCCCCACAGGGTCCTCCTGGTCCGAAAGGTGCGAAAGGATCCTCGGTGAGTGGGGGGCCACCTGCTGTCTGGGGGAGGGGGTGCCCCTCGGACGACCCCCGCCCCGACTCCCCTCCTTCCCCGATTCCTCTGGGTCGGCGGGTCCCTCCAGCGTCCCCTCTCGCTGAACTCATCGTCCGCCTGTCGTCTCGGACCCAGGGCTTGGGCTCTTGCTCCCACCTCCCAGAAAGGGCCTTGTCCCCCTGAGACCCCATCTCGGGGCTACGAGGGGAGCGGGAAGCCGGCACGGTCCCCGGCACATTGGACTTGTCCCTCTGACTTCTGCAGACAGGCTGCCAGGGACCCTTCAGCACCTGAGGGGGACTGTGGTCGCAGCAGGCCCGGTGGTCAGAGTCGTTCTCTTTTCTCCCCCCACAGGGTCCCACTGGCCCGAAGGGCGAGGCTGGCCACCCCGGTCCCCCCGGCCCGCCGGTGAGCAGCCTCGGAAGCCTGGGGAGCGGGGGTGGGGCCTCCCGACGCCGAGGGCATCGTGGGGGAGCCGTGTGCGGTTCCCTTTCCAAAGCCTGACAGAGCCCGTGGCCAGCGCTTTGGCGGGTGCTGCCCTCGGGAGGGAGCGGAGGGACGTGTCACCCCCGGGAGCTCCGCCGGGAAGCGTGCTGGCCGGAGAGGGAGGAGAGGGAGGGAAGAGAGAGGGAGAAGCACTTCTGTGAGTGCACGCGTGCCTGAGTGTGCGCTGCACGTGTGTGGGGCAGGCCGTGCTGGACGGGGCCCCCTGGGCAGTGGTGGGTGCTGGGGGCCACTGCCCTGCAGCAGGGCAGCTGGACAGCTGGACTCCTGTCCTTGTCCTTGGCTGGGCCTCATGACGCAGCCTCAGGACATGGGGCTTCACCAGCATTAGTGCAGCCCCACTGCGTGCAGCCCCACTGCGTGCAGCCCCACTGCGTGCAGCCTGAGTCGGTGGCGGAGGCAGGAGGAGGTCTGGGGGCTGTGAGTCCAGCTGAGGGCAGACGTGGGGACACTGGGCCAGGCCGCAGGTGCCTGGATGCGGTCAGGGCACAGCGCTCGGTGCAGGCCAGGCCCGGCAGTGGGCGTGGGTGCGGAACACTCCGGAGGCGGGGCAGGGAAGAGAGGCCTGCTGAGAGGGGCGGCTGGGTGCAGCGACGGCTCCCGATCCCCTCGCACCCACAGGGCCCCCCGGGCGAGGTCATCCAGCCCCTGCCGATCCAGGCATCCAGGGCGCGGCGGAACATTGACGCCAGCCAGCTGATGGACGACGCGGAGGGCGAGAGTTACGTGGACTACGCGGACGGCATGGAGGAGATCTTCGGCTCGCTCAACTCCCTGAAGCTGGAGATCGAGCAGATGAAGCGGCCCCTGGGCACCCGGGAGAACCCCGCCCGCACCTGCAAGGACCTGCAGCTCTGTCACCCCGACTTCCCTGACGGTAGGGACCCTCCTGGCCCTCGCCCAGCCTCAGCGTTCCTCTCCGCGCGGTGGGGGTGCCCGGTGTCTGCCCCGTAACCTGACGGGGGCCTCACACCGAGGGAGGAGACTGGGTCCCGGGAGGCCAGGCCGGGGGGCCCCACGGCCAGTCCCGGTGTGGCATCAGCGTCGCCCACAGGCCCTGCCCCGAGGCCGTGTCCCCATCTGTCCCGTGGGAGTGTTTACACGCCAGAGGACAGGGCGGAGACAGACGGGGCATGAGTGGGGCGGGCCGGGCACGGGCCAGCCCCGTGGTCAGAGCTGGCCGCTGCTGTCACCGTCCGACGCAGGGTCGGTGTCCGTACCAGCACCGGCGTTCGTGCGGGTTCTAGGCGGGTACCTGGGAGTGTGCCCTCAAGCTCCAGAGCGTTGTGAGCCCGCAAACCTCTCCTGTGCTCACTGTGGGAGACCACACGCTGCCACCCGCCAGAGACATCGTGGCCTGGCCTGCTGTCTCCCCGGGAAGCCGGCGGCCCTCCTACAGCACCAGCAGCCCCGCGGTCTGGGCAGCTCTGACCCTAGCTGCGTGAACTCCCGAGTTCCCGGGAGCACCTCCGTGTTTCCGTCCACCGCTGGGGGGCCCCCCACCTCCCCCGTTAACAAGCGTGTGCCCCATGGACCCACGTCCAGCTGTGTTCTTGGGGCTGGGGCTGCCCACGTGTCTTTGGGGACCCAGTCAGAAGAGCAGAACACGCCCCACAAGCCCCAGGAAGGCTGTGCTGGTGACACCTGAGCCTGGTGTGTTAGCCGCTGACCTGAAACGGCAGCTGCTTCTGCAGCTATCAGGGCGCAGGCCTCACGCCCCCTCCCCCACGACACAGGTGAATACTGGGTGGACCCGAACCAAGGTTGCTCCAGGGACTCCTTCAAAGTCTACTGCAACCTCACGGCCGGAGGCGCCACCTGCGTGTTCCCAGACAAGAAGTCCGAGGGGGTGAGTGTCCACCCGCCGGCGCCCCCTTCGGGGAGGGGCCGGCTGCAAACCCGAGGCTCTGCCTGTGCAAGGAGCCCGGGGACGCCCCAGGAGAGTTGTCAGCAGTGGGGCCGGATCACGCAGCCCAGGTTACGGCCGTGCGCGGGCGCTGGCTGGGCATGTCCCCTCCACCCCGGTGCCGGGCTTCCGACCACGGCGGGCCAGCTCCCTCCTAAAGCGAGGCCCTTGCTGTGACCTCAGACCCCCCTGGAGCCCATGAGAGGACTTGGGGGCAGAAGTGGCCCCGATGCGTCCCTGAGCAGCTGGTGTTTGCCTGAATTCTCCTGTCATTTACTTTTGTGGCCGTGCCTCTCTCCCTCCCCGCCTGTCCCCATGCCCCAGGTGCCATCAGAACTCAACTTGGCTCAGCAAAGAACTCCCGTTAGCAAGGTTCCAACCCCCTGTGGTTTTGTGGGTGTCAATTTAAGTGACCTCAGGTCTTTCAAAAACTTCCCCTCGGTGGCGGGAGTTGATGTGTGTGGGCAGTATGAACGTGTGTGTGAGTGCCTGTGCACAGGTGGTGTGTGTGCACAGACGTGTGTATGTGGCACGTGTACACGCACAGGCATGTGGGCGGTGTGTGTGCAGACAGGCATGTGGATGGTGTGCGTGTACAGACGGTGGCCATGACAGACATGTGGTGCTTGCTGTCAGGCATGAGTCGGAGGCAGGGCCCACCATGCCCAGGACAGGTGAAGGGGACCTGCTTTCTAACAGGCAAGGCCAGGGAGTTGTTGACCACAGTGCCTCTGTGTCTGCCTGGACAAACCCTGTTCTGTCAGTCCCTCTTGGTGGCCGGGTCCCGGAGCCCGTGTCTGCAGTGAGCACTCAGGCTCCAGCCAGCAGGGCGGGCAGCCTGCCGTTCTGGCTTCCCAGCGGCCTCAGGCCCAGGCAGTGTCCTCTGCAGAGGGAGCAGCCTGTCCCCTGGGCCTGGGCCCATCCCTAAATCCCCCTGTAGCCAGGGGAGCTCGCTAGAGCAGAGGCTCCGCTGGAGCAGGGACAGCCTGAGGGCCTCTTTCATGTGTGTGCTGCGCCCACCCAGTCCCACCAGCGGAGCCCTGGGGCTGGAGAGGATCTGAGCTCAGGACCTTCCACCTGCCGAAGGCCCGGGAGGAGGGGCAGGCCCAAAGGATGCTGCTTCTCGTCTGTTATGTCACTGTCCTCTGCAGACGGCCTAGCTGCCAGACACTAGCCACCCTGACCGGGAGCCCTAGCTGGGCGTGAAGCAGGCAGATGGCGGGCCGGGATCCGAGTGACCCCACGGCCCCGCCTCCCCTGCACACACACCCACCAGCCCGGTGTCTGCGGGCTGGCGGCCTGGGCTCAGGCCACAGCTACAGCCTGGTGTGGGTAGACGCCCTCTGCCCGGTCCCCTGGGCGGCGGGAGGAGTGGGGGTTGTAGGCAGAAGCTGGGGACAGGCGAGCAGCTGTCCGCCCCTCACAAGGCCACCCTCTGAGCCTGTCTGCACAGCCACAGATTTGGAAACCAAAGCAAGGGGCCCGGACACCCTCCTCCACCGGGGGGACCCCTTTCCCAGCTCCTGCCCGAGGCCAGCTCAGAGGCGAGCTAGGAAATGGGGACAAGAACACTGACCCGGGGCCCAGGCAGAGCCCCTTGGGACCCAGTGACGGGCTGGCCCAGGTTCTGTCCTGCAGTGGGTGGGCCCACGGCAGCTGGGGCTCTGCCCCCCCCACCCCAGACCTGTTGCATAGCCCCTTCCGGGACGTCCCTCCCTCCCTCACTCGTTCCCCCACTCACGACCCCACAGCAGGACTGTGGCCCCTGCAGAGAGCAGATGGGCACCCCCCACCAGCGGGCCAGGCACCGTCCCCCCTGAGGTCGCCTCTGCTCCGTGCCAGCCCCTCAGGGGCGTGGGAGGCGCCCAGGGGAGGCTGCTGCTGCAGACATGGTCCCAGAGCGAACCCCCCACCACACACAGGGTCCGGGCACACCCACACGCCGCACGCAGCCCCCTGGTCTACGTGGGGCCTGTCGGGCTCGGCTGCCCACTCTGCGCCTGGGCGGGGCTGTGCGGGCGGGGCCCACTCATCCTTCCCTGAGCCCGTCCGGAGATGGCAGCCCCTGCATCGTAGGCATCGTCACCCCGGCCTGGGACCGCCCACTCGGTCACGCGTTCACTGGGTCCACGAGCTCAGTCCAGCAGCGCCGGCCAAGCTGGCAGGCGGGGGAGGGGCGTGTGTGGGGGGCGGGGCGGGCCTCCGGGCGGGAGAAGTAACCCTGTCCTTGTTTCTCTCCTTCGCACCTGCCCTGCTCTGCCTTCAGGCCAGAATCACTTCTTGGCCCAAAGAAAACCCAGGCTCCTGGTTCAGTGAATTCAAGCGCGGTAAACTGGTAAGGCGGCCTCGGCCCCCCGGGTGTGCGTCACAGGGCACCCGTTTCCTATCTTGCAGAGTAGGATGGCCCGCTGGCCCAAAGAGCAGCCCTCCACCTGGTATAGTCAGTACAAGCGAGGGTCCCTGGTAAGTGCTGCCGGCACTGCCCGCTTGGCTTGCCACACGGCCTGGCTCCGGGCTCTGCATGGGGCCGTGGCCGCCGTGGCCGGGCCGCTCTCACCACTCTGGCCTGACCGCTGCACAGCACGTGACGCCGGACACAGCCTCGTGCCCGCCCCGCCCCACATGGCAGCTCCTCTCAGCCTTTCCGTTCAGTCCAGGGCCCTCGGTTGCCAGGCACCCCAGGGACCGGGACCAAACACAGCAGGGAGGACAGCTTTGTCCTGCTCGGTCCTGGGGGCAGATCCCAGGTCACCGAACCACGGGGTTCTCTCTGGGACCCCTCCTGCCAGCCCAAGGGGCTGTCCGGACTGCAGAGCTGCCCTGGGCATCTCAGTGGTGACCCGTATGGCTACACAGGTCCCTGTTTGAGCTTCTGGGAGCCTGTTCTAAGTGGCCCTCCCCTGAAATGAGAAGGCCCCACCCTTTGAAAGGACAGAGGGAGACTCTTCTGGTCGGTAGGACAGGGAGCCAGGCCAGCTCACTCTGGGCCGGCGGCTGCTCCTGGCAGCGGAGCCCTGCCCCCCGCAGCCCCGGTTTGGAACTAAGTTCTGGGTCCTGTGCCTTCTTCCTAGCGAGTTAAGTGCCCGAGCTTCCAGAATGTGACCTGTTGCCAGACCACTACAGTCCCCCTCGGCCTCTGGTGGTCACTCCCTTGGGCCAACTAGCCCGTACTAAGCAGCCTATGAAGGAGACCATTGTCACTTGGAAGCCAGCTCTTGGGCTCCATGGCCTCACCCCTGACTGTTGCCCCGGACGCCGCCGCCCAGCCTGTCTGCAGGGCCCAGAGGTCCAGGCCCCCCTGCAGACGCTCGGAGCGGTGGCTTCCAGGCGGTGTCTGCACTGTCGCATGTCTGAGCGCCCTTCGTTCCTAAACCCTGAGGCACCTTGTGGCTGATCATTAACATCTCACCCCCGGTGTCGTTACTCCCGAGGCCCCTCAGGTCCTGGCAGGCCCTGCAGGTTGGCACTCACCTCGCGCATCCGCAGAGATCTCCTCTCCGGCTGCCTGCCTGTCTACTGCCCCGTCCCCACCCCCCACCCCCTGGTGCTTCCCCGGAAAGGGCGCTGCACACAGAGAACCAGAAGTGGGTGCCCGCACAGGGCAGCACCCAGTGCCCAGGGGCTGGAGCCGGGGGGGCCAGAGGGTTGGGGGGAGCTACCGGGGCCAGGGGGCGTCCCTTCTCGCTGGTGGGCCCAGCCTTCCGCAGGCATCAGGGACGGAACCTTTGTCCCCCCCACCCACCCACCAGCCCCCTCGACTCCTCCCTGTCCCACAGACAGCTGGCAGAGGGTGGGAGGAAGGGACGGTGCCGGGAGACCTCAGCTTGCCTTTCGTATTTCCCCGCGTGATTCCTGGCCATTGTGACATTGCGAGTGGACAGGACAGAAGCGCAGTCCCCTTGAAGGAACAGGGCCTCTGTCTGGGCCAGGTGGCCCCGGACTTGCCACGCGAAGACAGTAGCTCAGGGGCCTGGCCCACGCGGGGCTGGCGGGATTGCTTCCCGCACGGGGTCCCACCTGGCGCCTCAGGTCCGCTGTGTCCAGCCTGCCCGCTGCCTCCCTTGCACGCGCCTGTTCTCGAGTCAGTCATGGGTCTTCCCCAGGAGCACCTGCCAGCCCAGGCTGCGGTTGGTATTCCGTCCTCTTCCTCCAGGCCCTCACAGGGGGCCTGGGGCCATGTGAACAGGCAGCGGGGGCGGTGGCCGGTGGCTCTGCGCAGCCCCTGTGCGGTGGGAAGGAGCCGGTCCAGCCGGTCCAGCCCCGTCCAGCCGTGATGACAGTAGGGAGGAAGCAGGCAGGGGCCCTGGAAACTCCCCTCTGGGCTTCCTCGCGGCTCTTTTGGGCTGGGCTGGGCTGGCATCGGATGTGACCTCTGCCCAGTCACAGTGGGCGTCTGAGCAGAGAGGGCTTTCAGGACTCGGCCTGGGTGGGAGGAGAGAGGGGCCGCCTCAGGGTGGAGAGGCAGCTGCAGTCCCCAGCAGCATCCAGCGTTCGGAAAGCTGGAGCTCACAGGGACCAGGGAGACGGGGCCTTGTCTCTCGGGACGCCCCACGCCAGCCCCGGGCCCCCTGAGCTTAAGAGCCCAGTTGGGGAGGCCCCTTGAGGACAAGTGCACAGGCTCTCCCTGACGCCCTGCCCTGGGGCTGTGGGCAGAGCCGGTGCCCCGCTGCAGGAAGGCCTCTCCTCGCGCCCCTGGGTGCTGCGCCAGGGGCAGGCAGGGGTAGGAGTGCTGGGCGCTGCCCCGGGGCTCCCCTGTGGCTCCAAGAGGGCGCCGGTCACCCCAGTCTTGTCGTTCACGGCCGGGTGGCCCGTGACTGCCCCTCGGGGCAGCCTTCCTGCCTGCCAGCCCGAGTTACTCCCTGGGGCCCCCACCCTCTGTATGTCCCGTTCTCCCAGCCCCTGGCCCGAGTCCCGGGACTCGCAGGTTGCTGGCCCTCAGCCAAGGTTTTCCTTTATTAATACAGTGTAACGAGCCCTTCTGGGGGCCTCGGGCACCATGAAGGGGACGGCCTTGCCCTCAGGTGCTCACAGTCCAGGCCCCTGTGACACAGGCCCCTGATTTTGGTGCTGGTGCCCAGGCCTTGCATCCTGGCAGGGAGGGTGGTCACCGAGACCAGCCAAGGTTGGGAGTGAGGGCACTTAACCCAGAGGGGCTTCCTGGAGAAGGAGGCGCAGGCATCGAGCCCTGACGGATGAGTAGGACCCAGCCAGGCCCAGAGGGGTGGACGAGTTACTCAGGTTTCTGAAAGAAGTGAGTCCCGGGGACCCCACCCCCGGCCAGCGCATTGGGGTGCTCGCAGGTGGTGCCCCGGTGGCTCACTCAGCAGAGGGGCGAGTTCGTGGGCGGAGCTTGGGAGATGCCAGTCAGGGCCTTTGTCAGAGCTCGTGCCCCCTCCCCCCGCAGCTCTCCTACGTGGACGCGGAGGGCAACCCCGTGGGCGTGGTGCAGATGACCTTCCTGCGCCTGCTGAGCGCCTCCGCCAACCAGAACGTCACCTACAACTGCCACCAGTCGGTCGCCTGGCAGGACGCCGCCACGGGCAGCTACGACAAGGCCATCCGCTTCCTGGGCTCCAACGACGAGGAGATGTCCCACGACAACAGCCCCTACATCCGCGCCCTGGTGGACGGCTGCGCGGTGAGTGTCTGCGCCACGCCCCCCCCCCCCAACTGGGCGGTCCCGCCGCAGGGGCCCTCAAGGCCAGGCCTGTGTGGGATTTGAACTTTTCCCTCCTGTCCCCGGAGGAGGACCGGTGCGTGCTGACCCGGCCAGTGTCCTGGGGCGGGTCTGCAGGGGCCGGCGGGCGGTGCTGACCCAGGGGGCTGGGCAACAGGTCGGGCGCCAAGGGCTGTGCCCTTCAGCCCGGAGAAACTCCCATGAAAGCGTCTGGTGATGGCCCCCAGGCCCCTTTGGGGACGAAAGGGGGTGACCGGGCACAGGGCGAGCGTGAGGCTGGGGTGCAGGGAGAGAAGATGGTCACAGCACCTGCCTCCCGGGCAGTTCGTGGTGCACAGCTGTCAAGCGCAAAAGGAGCCGAGAGTCCCCTCTCCTGGGCTGATTTTCAGGCAGCAGGGCCGCTTGCGAAAGGCAGCGGTGTGGCGGGAGGTGGGGGGCCCCAGCAAGGAGAGGCAGCCTGGGGGACTGAGCCTAGATGGGCCTTGGAGCTTCCCAGGATGACCCTCGGTGTGGCCTGTCCCCACCACCTGGTGAAGGGGCGGAGTCTCTCTGAAAAGGTGGAGAGTACGTGACTCTAAACAATAACCCTGCCCCCCACGGAGCCTGGGCCCTGCAGGTGGGCTGCAGAGGGAGCTCCAGGCAGCCTGGGCCGGGCAGACGTGGACAAGGGGTGCCGTGACGGAGCCCAGCGTGCCAGTGCTCTGCTCACCCCCACCCAGAGCTTCAGCCACAATTCGGAGAGTGAGGCACCCCCCCCACCATGGGATTAGCGGAGGGGTCTGCCCAACTCGTGTTCCGATTGGGGCCCACAAAACTGGGGTTCCCCCGGGGATTCTTCCTGTGGCTGTGTGACCCAGGGGCGGCTGCCAGCGTCCCTGCCCCTGGAGAGGCATCCGTCGCTGCGCAGCAGGCCCGGGAGCCATGTCACGCCCGTCTGGTGTCTGTACAGCTCCTCACCCTCGGGACCGGCCGGTGGTGGCGGCGGCTTCTGCCTTGGGAGCAGCAGCCTGCACACTCCGCCTGCCTCTGGGCGGGCAGGGAGGCCGGGGTCAGCTGCCTCCCAGGGCGTCGCCCCAGAAGGGGCACGCATGGCCGTGATTTGGGGGTCCGCCGTGTCCCGCCAGGCTGCGGCCATGCTCCTCAAAGCTGATGGCACTTTCGTGTCTGAGTCCCCGTGACGGGTCCCACGGGACACGGTGGCTGCAAACCACATAGGTCCCGTTGACTGAGACGCCAGCGGCCCAGTGCAGGGTCTGGACCCCACCCCAGACCCCTGAGCCCAGACGTGGGCCGTGCCCCTTTCGAGTTGTGCTAACAAGTCCCCTGGGGGCTCGTGGCTCTGAAAGGCCCAGCCCACTTCGAAATAAGCCCCAGTGGCCGAGCCCGTCTTACCAAGTGAGGCAGGGGCATGGGGGCAGGGTCTGGGGTGAGGGCCTGTGACCGGGAGGGCTCCAGATGCCTGGGCGGGGCCTCCTGGGAGCTCTCACCACCCCTCGCAGGTGTGGACCGTGTCCAGGCCAGAAGCCTGAGCTGTGGAGTGTGTTTGGCACCTGTGGCTGGAAGCCAGCCACCCCCGAATTCGCTCCTTCCAACAGCGACCCTTTGTTGTCCGACCCCGTTTCCGAGGGTCAGGCCTGGGCGGGGCTCTGCCGGGGGACCACACACCAGACCCCACAGCGTGGCGGCCGAGACCACACACGTTGCTTCCTCATGGCTCCCAGCCCAGGAGTGGCCTCCCACTGTCTGGCCGGGCGCTCACATGGGGAGAGAACCAGCTTCTCCTGGGCTGCCTCTTCCAGGGCGTTGATCCCATCCCCAGGGCTCCGCCCCTCACAGTCGGACTTGGGGGGCACAGCGCTCAGTCCCTGACAAGGTGCCACGAGGAGAGGCTGGCCTGGGCAGGAAGGTCAGCCGCGCCTCCCCCTGCAGGAGTGGCCAGAGGGACAGGGGGGGGCGGGGACCCTCGTTTTGGGGACGTGAAGGAGGCGAGCCTCACCTGAAGTGGGGGTGGTCTCCTGCACCTGCCCTCCCTGGTTCTGGGACACAGGGCAGACGCCTCCCCCGGGGCAGTTCTGTCACTGCGGGGGCTCACCCTCCCCACCGGTCAGGGCAAGCTGAGGGTGAAGTGAGAGGTTTGGGAGGATCAAGCCCACGGTCTGCGCCGGGGGAGGTGCTGACCCCCGGCAAGCCGCGCCTGCCCTGCTCTGCCCTTGCCCTCCCTGCCTTCGCTGACCCCACCCCCCAGACCAGACAGCCCCAGGCTCCCTCCTCTTCTCGTGCAGTGAGTCCTCTTCTGATTGGCTCTGAGGACCACTTCCTGGCGGGGACGGGGAGGGGCAACCCCGCGAGGCCCCGCCCACTCTGACAGGCCCCGCCCCCGTCCCCTGCAGACCAGGAAAGGCTACCAGAAGACTGTGCTGGAGCTCGACACGCCCAAGGTGGAGCAGCTGCCCATCGTGGACATCATGTTCAGCGACTTCGGAGAAGCCTCGCAGAAATTCGGATTCGAAGTGGGGCCGGCTTGCTTCCTGGGCTAGGAGCCGCCGCCCGGCCCGAGACCAACCTCGTGACCTCAGCGCGCCGCCGCCCGTGGGTGTCCTGGACAGCGAAGACCCCTCGTCCCGCCCCCGACCTCGTCTGCACCTCGGCACCCTGCGGGCCGCACCCGAACCAGAGAGAGCAAAGGGAAAGAGCCGTGTCCACACCCCGGAGCCGAATCACATGACCTAGAAGTCCCACAGCGCCCCGGGCCCGAAGGCCGCTCTCCCCAGCCCGGTTTTGTCTGCGCCGCAGCCCACGGGGACAGGAACCGGCCACAGGTCTTGCCACCAGACTCACCGGCCACGCCGGTGGAGGGGTCACAGGGCTGCGGCTGTGGTATTTGAAGATGATGTTTTTTAAAATTCAACTTGAAGATGTGTACTTCCCCTGACCTTCAAAAAGCGTTCCGAGGCAGGCCGCGTAAAGGCCCCCGCCCTCGCCTGAGCCTCCCGTCCCGGAACTCAGCCCGTCACAGGCCAGATGCCCCCTCGTGTGCCTTTCTGATGGATCAAAGGTGCTTCTGTTTTGTGAGTTGTGAGTAGATGTTTGTACTGTCCTAAATGTTCAGTGTCCCTGACTTTCAATCACGCAGGTGGCCCCAGCCCCGTCCCAGTGGGAGCAGGGACGGGCTGGCGTCCCCTCTGGCTGCCCTCCGGTCTGGTCAGGCCGGGAGCCCCGCGTCCGCCCTGGGTGAGCGGCGCCATCAATTGGAAATCGGCCCAGAGCCGCGGGAATTCATGCCGCCATTGGAAAAGCAGGTGCCAGAGCTCTTTTTCTGACAGTTTTTTGATGAGCGCTGGATTTTTTTAATGGGGAGGGAAAGAACGTCACACTCTGCCTTCTGTGCGAGCTCTCAGACGGAGACACGCAAGTTCTCCGCGATTAAGTGAAAATTGGTGCTTATTTCACTCTCTCTGTGGTGCTACCTGTCCTGACGCTTTGAAGGTGGCCCTGGGCCTCCGTCTCCCTCCCTCCTCCACAGTCCGGTGTGTGCCCAGGCCACCGAGGCACGTGCGTGTCCCCTCCCCTCCCGCCGGGCCCCCGCCCGCACGCCCAGATCATGGTGTGGCCGAGCTGACGCCAGTGACCAGCGCCCGGTGGTACTTCTGTGATTTGAAACCCCACAGATACCACACAGGACACTCCCACACCGTCCACGGCGTCACAACCGCAGCCTGCATCCTGCTGCCAAACGTCTGTGGTGCTAATTACCGCGTTTGTCCCAAAATGGCTCTGAAGCCGCTCGGTGGTCCCCATACCTTCCGGGGGCTGGTCCGGGGCAGCCGCAGGCAGAGACACGTGCGCTGAACTCTGTGAGCCTCGGCGGGGCTGCTGGCGGGGCCCCGGCCCTCGAACACCGCCTGGATTTCCACCAGCAACACCCGGGTGCGGCCCTCGGTGCCCGGGAGCCCGGGGCTGCCTTGTGTGGGTGAGGAGGGGTGTCCTGTGGACTGTGAGAAGCCTCCCACCTTCCACGACGGGAGGGGTCCGGCCCTGCACGGCCCCCTCCGGAGGGGGCTGTCCTGCCCCCCACCCCGCTGCGGAGGTCCCGGCACGGCCACCCAGGACACACAGACTGCCGCCCACGAGGATTTCCCCAGTGCTCATGGGAACCCAGCCCCACTCTTGCCAAGGGGAAGCCTGGTGAGGAGGGACTTCCGACCCCGCCACCGCCTCAGCCCCGCCTTCGAGAAGAAAGCCGTGCCCGCCGCGGTTCCGCTAGGTCATGTGATTCCGATTTGATCTTTCACCCCGTCACTTTCTTCCTCTGTCGGTCCCTTCCAAGCTGTTGTGATTTGTACTGAAGTCAAGGACGTGTCTCGTTCCCCCCGGACCACTTAGCTGCGGTATATTGCAATAAAGTTACTTCTATATTTGCAGAAATTCTCTTGGTGTAATTTTATTTCATTGTCTCCTAATCTATATAATTGGACACACGTTGACAAAAAGGGAAACCAGCACACAGAAAACCTGTGGTGACGATTCACGGAGGTCAGCCGCGTTCCAATCCGTGCCAGACGGCACCGTGCGTGCCTCCCGAGAGCCCGGTGGACGGGTCCGTGAGCTCTGACTGTAATGCCCATGAGGGGGCATTTGGAAATATTTTAAATCTGTGTAAGAGAAGGATCGTTGTAATAGTTTCCAATAAATCACGTTTACTGTTTCCACCGTAAACACATGTGATTGGCTGTCTTCTTAAGTGTGAGCAGGGCCTCCCGGCCTCTGGCCTGTGTGTGACTCCGGGCACAGCCCAGGCCAGCTGCCCACGAGTGGCCTGCTGGGACACCGTTGCTCCCTGGGTGTTGTCAGCCTGTGGCTGGGTGCCGGCACGAGGCTTCCTGCGGACGACCCATGATGCCGGGGCGTGCGTCACCCCGGGGGGGGGGGGCGTGGTGCTCGGTGTCCTGGGGCAGCATGTCCCCAGGGCAGGGCAGTGCTGTCCCGCTGTCCAGCCCCGTGGGCTGCGTGGGACGTGTGGCTGTCCAGGCCCTGACCCCGAGCGGAAGTGACACGTGGCTCTTTCTCGGAACTAGTGGTTCCCCGCCATGTGCCACCAGCCTGGTTCTCCAGAGTGGCTGCCCCCCACCGGGTTCCCGGGGGAACCCTGGCCCCCTGTCACAGACGAACTGACAGCATGACCGAGAAGGGTCCTTGCCGCGGTCTGGCCGCAGCGGGTCAAGGGGTTCCACAGGTGAGGGTAGGCGTCGGCGCTGGGTAACAGACGACAACACGCCTCAAAGGACAGTGAAGCTCTGTTCCGTTTATTGCAAGTACAAGCAGGCTTTTATATTTTCATTTTAGGTAGTGATTAACATTTGCAGTATAACATGATCATTTAAGCAGAAAAAATCAATACAAAGGTAATCAGTAAAAGTACGAAAGTTCCCATAGATTAAGTTATAAGGATCAAAGATTATTTTAACTAGGAGAGTCATTAATCAGACAATTAGAAGTATCCTATTGTATGTTAAAGTTTCTCAGAATTTGGCATAGGGCAAAAGGATATGCTAGATTGAGTAGAGATAATAGGAAATTTATTATAAGGCCTTTGTGATGTCTAACTTAGCTATCCATCCTTTTCTGTCTAAAATGTTTCTCTGTGTACTATAAACTCTGACTCTTCAGTAACTGTTTCTACGTATTTAGTTTGTAATAACCAGCCAGCTTTTGTTATTTCTTTGCCTGTCTAGTCGATATATATTCTTATTCAAGGTAAAGGAGGGGCTCTTACTCTAACAACTATTAGACATACAGGGATTTTATTCTCTGGTCAAGAAACTATTTTGTACAACTTCATTGGAATTATGCGAATCAATGAACCTGAAATACAAGTGTCTAACAATCCCACCACCTTCTGGTCACCCAAACAAACATGTAAGGAGAGACAGACAGGAAATCCAGCCACAGGTGCCTCTGCCTTGCAGATCATCTCAACCGTCCTGACCATATCCCTGGGCTGTGGGTCTATACAGTTTTTACTTGTCTTCTTGGAAGACCCTTGGTATCTGTGGGTGAGGAACAGTCGTGGGAAAGTCTTTCTGATCTGTTCTTCCCTCAACTGTTGGCAGCACAACCTGTGTTTGCAACAACAACCTGGTTATTTATTAACTGGCCTTAACTGTTGATTTAAGAGCTCTAACTTGTTTTTCTTATTTCTGGTATACTATGGCGGTCCTGATCGCTTTAAGTTGCTCAAACCAGGGTAATTTATACAACTTGACATGTTTTCCCTTATAGTTAACAATTATATCACCCTGGCTGTCGTACCCCCCTGTATAAGGGAGAGGGGAATCTGTGGAGATTTTTCCATCCTTTCAGGCAGTTCCGTGGGGAATACTAATGTTTTCCCCTGAACTGTCCCTTCCTCTTGGGTGATTTTCACAGGAATAAGTAAGCACAGTACAAAGTCTATATTCAGTAGCAAGAGTAAAATAATTAAAAGAAAACAGCCAATTGTTAACCCATTTTGGATGCCACGTTCTTTTCTGGGCGTTTTAGATATGTCTAAAATTGACTCGGGGGGGTAAACATGCCCTCCTGGTTGACCTGTGTACTTGTCTATGCCCTTCCTTATTTCCTCTTTTGCTAGGGGTTCTAATTCTTTTATTTCTTTTTAATATTTGTTCTCTCGGGCCAGTATGTAAGGTACCGTGGCCCGGAGAAATATCTTATCAGGCTTTTTCTAACTTTCTATTAATTCTCTAATATTCATATTTTGCTTCCGGATTTCTTCTGGTGTGTTACTATGGTTACTTTCTTTGTTCCAAGAACTCTCTAAATCATCTGGAGTCACATCACTCAGTGTGCTTTCTAAAGTACTATTACTTTGTTCAATGAACAGGGTTGATGTATTTTCTGAAATATTACTTTGTTTAGTGAACAGGGAAAAATATTGTACTATTTGGATCACAGCAATGGTATTCAAAATAATCAGGGCGGAAGAGGTCAAAATCCCCAAAGCAAGAACAATCACAGTGGGTATAGCAGGACCCTCCATGCCACGTCCACCAGGTTGGAAAATGCTTCTTTGAAGTCTTGGACCTCCTCTCCTGACTTTGTCAAGGAAGGGATCCAACTGTGGACGTGGCAGGTCCTCATGTGGCACCTGTTTGGATGCTAAATGGACGTGGGGACCCTGCCTGCCTCAGCCAACCAGGGGCCCTCCTGACCTCCAGGTCCAGGACAGGCTGGTGGCTGAGCGGTGGCCGCACTGGGCACTGGCGGTGGACATTGTCCTGCTGGGGGAGCCACATCATCTCACCTTCTGGGGGGTCAGGAGGGCGGGGTGGTGTAGGACCCTCAGGGTCGGACTCCTGCAGGGGGCCTGCTCCTCCCTTCATTTGTGCAATAACCATTTATTGACGGCCTGCTCAGTGTCGGGCACTGCACCCCCCAAAAAAAACAGGGTGACAGGCACCTCCGATGGGCACAACGTGGAAGTGCTGGTGTGCAAACATGGACATGAGGACTCGAGTCAGGGCTCCTGGCTTCACCGTACGCCTGTCCCCCCAACAGGCCCCCCAGCCCACAGTGTGAGAGGGGACATTGACCCTGCAGCCTAAGTCCTCCCGATGGATGCGTCAGGAAACAGGGCCTGAGGCCTGGACGGCCCAGTTGTGTGGCCACTCCCACGGCTCCTCGGCCCGGAGGAGCTGACCGGGCTTGGAGCCCCTTCCGTCCGCCCGCCACAGCTGGGAAGGGCTTGCGGCCCACGGCACGGGGACGGCCCACCAGCCAGTCCAGGCACGGGGGCCCGTGTTCATGGCCCCCTGAGCAGATACTTCAACAAAAGCCACACGCACAAAACATTCTGTTTTTTCTTGTCTTTCCTTTATTTGTTGACACATGGATATCATGCAGACTCAGGAGGAGTCGAGTAATTTTCCAGCACGTGTGGGGAGCAGCCGTGTTTGATGGTGCCGGGGTGTCGCTGCCCTCTGGGGCACCCTCAGACCTGCTGGGAACCAGACACCGCTAGGCCAAGGGGCCTTGGTGGTCGGGGGCATCACAGTCCCTTTCACTGGGGGTCACGTCAGCCCCACGGTGGCCTTCCAAGGGCTGAGTGTAACTTTAGGGCTCTGTGAGTGTACTGAACTCCTTAACCAGGGGCACGGGCTCCTGGCCGCTGGGTGGACGCCAGTTGAGGAAACCAGGTGGAGGTCCTGATTCGCCCACGGGCCTTGTACTTGCCGCCCGAGCCTTAAAAGACTCATTAAGGGGGCAGACTGAGTGAAAACACCTACCAGTGTCTGTTATTTGTTACTGCGTGGCAAGTCACTCCAAAACAGGCTCGGAACGACACACACCTGGCACCTCACGTTGCCGAGGGCGGGGCGCCAGGACTCACATCACCTGGGCCCTCGTGCGGGGCGGCTCCCCCAACTGCCAGCACGGGCCGCGCGCAGCGCACCTGGGACCGGAGTGCACGAGGAAGCGTGGCCGAGTGGCCGGCGGGCCGGGAGCCGAGAATGGGAAACACCTGGGACCCCGGGGACAGCTTCCGACAGCGCCCTCTGCCGGGGCCCGGGCTCCACAGCACCGCCACCCCTCCCCGGTCACCAGCAGGCCACCTTCCCCGGGGTCACTGGGGTCACTGGGGCTGAGTTCAGGGCTGGCCAGAGGGAAGTGGGGAGGGCAGGGCAGTGACTGCCAGCCCAAGCCGCCCCTGCAGGTCTCCAGGCCCTGGGCAGCTGGACCTCGGGACAGGGGCCGGGAGCCCCCACCCGGGACCCCCGGGCGTTCACACATCAAGTCACAGAGTGGGTTTCAGGTTCCGGCCTGAGGGACCTGGGGCTTTCTCAGTGGGCCACACCGAGCTGAGTTTGCAGAGGGCTTGCTGTCCGCCTTCCCCCCAGGAGTCAGTCCGCGGGCTCAGGGACCTGTCTGCGCCACCCCCCACGGGTCACCGGCACTGACCTGTGCTGGGCACCCAGCAGGTGCTCAGCAAACACCCTCCCCTGTTGCTGGTGAGGCCGGTACATCAGGAAGCCCGGTCTCTGTCCCTCGGCCCCAGGGCTGCTTTCAGAGTGCCTGCCAGGAAGGAACCCCGAAATTCGGGAGCAGGGGCACCCCTATGTGCAAGGCAGCTGAGCACAGGCCTTTCCTTTGTGATCGCTGTCCCCAAGTCAGCCCTTCACCTGCTCCAAGAGCGGCCTTTCGGCCCCAGGGGACCCTCCTGAGATGACCCACCCTTTATAGAGATGTCGTGAACTGGGCCCCAAGCTCCAGCTTCTAATCCCGTCTCCACAGTTGGGGGGTGGGGAGTGACTAGCAGGCGGGTGAGGGGCAACTCGGCAGAGGGAGGGAGGGGACAGAAGGCGGCCCGAGCGCCCCATGGAGCTGGACTCCGACCTTGCTGCCCGAGTCCAGACTGTGAGGCCCCAGCAGCCTCTCTCCTTCTTGGTCCCCCGTGTCCCCATCTGTAAACTGGTTTCTCCCCCAGGGTGTCCTGCCCCGAGTCTTGCTCTGTCCCGGGCTCAGAGAGGACCACTCTGCATGTCACCGTCTTTCTACAGGAATTCAAATGCAGCCCGCTCGGTTTATTAAAACATTAACTTCAAAAGTCCAGCGGTCCCTTCCCTAAGCTTTTAAGTCTGACCTGTAAACCTTACTCCACACGTAACAGGCGGACTTTAACAACCTGCTTCCAGAGGCCTGTGAAAATAATCCTTGTTCCATTCACTGACATAGTGCGTTTAACAGCTACAAGCATTTTCACTGCATTTACAACAGGAACAGATTGAGACCGGTGTCCTGGTGTCCCAGGTGGGTCCCTTTCTCAGACCATCCTGCATGTAAGCAAATTTCTAGAAACTGAAGAACATGAGCCTGGGAGGAACTCACGTAAGGGTCCCCCAAACAATCGATGCAGGGAGACCCGCACATAAGTCACTCCCCTGTTCCGTGACTCACGCTCACATTTTCCCGTGTGACCCGGAGACCGCTCCCAGAGGCCGTCTGAAGCATCGCCAGCCCTCGAAATACCAAACCCAACCCCTGCCCGCCACTGGGGGGGCCAGTCCCTGGGAGACAGGGGCTGAAAGGAGGAAAGGGGCTCTATTCCCCGGCCAGCAGCCTGAGAGATGGGGGGCTCTCGCCCCCTAAGATTGTCTTAACCGCTGGAGCGAGGGCGGGCAGTTGGGAGGAGGAAGGAAAAAACAGAGCGAAGGGCCAGGGAGGAGGGCGTCGGCCCCGTCCGTTCACAGCACCCGGCGGGGGCGAGCCAACACCTCAAAGCCGGTGTCTGAAGGTCGGAGTCGGCCTCTTCAGAAGTCACTGCCCGCGACGCTTGAGCAAACAGGTGGCCGTTGGCAGTTCTAACAGGTGGCCAGTCAGCAGGACCCTGGGGGCCCTGGGCCCCCTGACCGAGTCCAGTGGGCACATGAGCCGGGCGTGTTAATGAGCTTCTTTGTTTTCTCTGCTAGTCTCAGACGACTGGGTCTCTGTTAAGCACTCGGCGGGGACAGGAAGCTACTTGTCCTCTCTCCGATGTCCAGCTGTCCCCTTCCCAGGCCCCCTGGGGACCCTGACGTGGAACCACTGGGACCTTGATCCTCATGGGGTCGGACTTGGGGTCAGAATTCCAATGTCACACCCAGACAAGAACTGGGGATGGGGCCCCACACCTGCCACCTCTGTCTCTAACTGGACTGGCCACCAAGTTAGAGCTTCTAGAATTAGCCATGGTCTCTGGGGTGTGGAGGGGGGCACCAGCAGCCAGGTCCCTGCTGGGAGCAATCCAATGGCACCTCCCCCGCCCCCCCCCCACTCCAGGATGAAGCTGCCTCTGCCTAGGTCCCAGCCCGGCCCCCCGGGACGTCCCGGGGCCGCCCCCTTTGCCTGCCTCTGGCCTGGCTGCAGTCCGAAGTCACCCCGCCCCTCCCTTCTGACCTCCCAGACCCCAGGGGATGTTTCCAACCCTCTGCGGACTTGAAGCCACCGTAAGAAGATGGTGTCCCCCAGTCCCGCCAACCCTGCCGTCCCGAGATGTCCGTGCAGAACCTTCTCAAAAGACACCGGCGGGCGGGGGGCCCTGTCCCTCCTCACTGGGAAGGCGGTGATGTTTCTGTCAAGGGGAAGCCCCAAGGAAGCTCGTTACATGGGGAGTGGCCGCTCAGGGTCCTCTGAGGCCACGCCAACTCTAGTGGACACCTCGGGCGGGGGAGGACGTGCCCTGCCCCCAAGGGTGACAGACGGAGCCGGGGGCAGGGCTCCACAGCACCCATAAAGGCGGGAGCTGCCCGAGGCAGGCAGGACCCGAGATGCAGGTGAGCCCAGCAGCTGTGGCCTGGGGACCCGTCCTCCTGGTCATGGCCTTCCTGTGCCCTGCGGCCTCGACGACGGACACCTGTCCAGGTGAGTGAGACTGCAGGTGAGTAGGACCCGACAGGGGTCGGTCTGAGAGCCGACAGCCTCTGCTCACCGAGAGGCACCGAGTGCCCTCTCGGATATTCTTCTCCAGACTGTGAGTTTAAGCACCGTCTGCGGGGGCCCTGCCTCAGGGCCCTGGGGGGGGCGGTGGCACCCCATCCCAGCGCACAGGCGAGTGAGGGGGTGGGGAGGGCGACCCCTGCCCCAGGGCCGGCTTTGCATTGCCACCAGCCCTGGGAGACGGCCCAAGAACACACATACGCAGCCCTGTGGGACTCCCAGGCGGAGGCCTTCGGGGACAGGCAGACCCCACGGTGTCCCAGAGGTGGCAGGGTGAGGGGCTCGTCATCCCCACGGGCTCCCGACCCCCTTCCCACACCCAGCAGTGCCCTGAGCCCGGTGCTGCCTCCGGGGGTCCCAGGCGTCCCGCAGCGACATGCCTGCATGAGGTTGGACTGGGAGAAAGAATTCCCGCCGCGTGAGCGGAGAAAGGCCCAGAAAGAGCCGGGGAGGCACTTGTGGGGCCCCTCCCTGGGTAAGAGCACAGGGGGTTCCCTGCCATCTACCATGTGTCTCATTTTCCAACTTCCACAATGACCAGCCGTCTGCTTTGATGAGCAAAACGTAAGCACATGAAAATGTGGAGTCTGCGCTGATTGGCGAGGCCCAGGGGGAGGACAGGCCACCATGCGGGGTGGGGCCCTGCGTCTCCCCGAGGTCCCAGGTTGTCTCCTCTGAGGCGGACTCAGTTTGGGGACCCACACACTTAAACTCTAAGGGGCAGGCAGACCTCTGGCTCCGGTTTTGCCAGGCTGGCCTTGCATCCTTGGAACACAGGGTCCTATGTGGACCCCTTCCAGCTCAGGCAGGCCGAGGCCACAGGCCCAGAAATGGGGTGACCCAATCCCCCAACTTCCTTACAATATTTGCTAGTTACTGAAAGGACCCGCCGCCGATGAAGCTCCGTGTAAAGGTCGGGAGTGACGCCAGAGCCCGGGAAGTTTCCACGCCCGGCCCACTCCTCCCGAAGCCCGGTTTCTGTCCTCACACTGCAGCCCGGGCCAGAAGCCCAGGGGCCGTGGTGACTTGAGCAACAACAGGAGGGGAGCTGGGTTGCCCTCGAGCAGGGACGACTCCAAGGCCCGGCCCCACCCCGCACCCCCACCCTGCCTGCCTGCACCCCAGGGTGGGAGGGGCGAGGGCACACGGGCCCTCTGCAGAAGTGGGTGGCAGCAGACGCTGCCAGTGGCAGGTGCCCTTGGGCGGGGCGCACACCCTGACGGCAGGTGTGCTTCTCTGCAGAGGTGACGCTGCTGGGACTGGAAGGCTCCAACAAACTCAGCATCCTCCGGGGCTGCCCGGGGCTGCCCGGGGCCGCGGGGCCCAAGGGAGAGGCAGGCGCCGCTGGAGTGAGAGGTGTGTGCTCCGGGTGGGGGAGGGGCAGGGCACTGAGCTCCCACCCTCGCCTGGTTAGACCTCCAGCTGGCCTGTGTCCTTGCGGGTCCCAGGTGGGGCTGTGGGGCTGGGCCTGCCCAGCGCCAGTGTCCACCCAGGCCTGGAAGTGAGGGCCAGGCTCTCAAGGATTTTCTGGGCTCACATCGGGGCCTAGTTTCCTGGGACATCGGACCCCGTGCCGGTTCACCAGGCCTGGGGTGTATAAGCGAAAAGCAGCTGCGGGGGGACATCGCCTGGGAGGCAGGACGCACATTCCAAGGGCGTCCAGGCTCAGGGGCCTCCGTGCAGGAGACCCGGGAGGCCAGTGGCCCCGACCTCTCTCTGGAGACGGAGTAGAGCCCGGGGTCTGGGACACAGTGCAGAGTGGGCGACCACGGCGTGGCGGACTCACCATGTCCTGTGGGGACCTGGTGACAGGGTCTCCCAGGACGTGGTCCCTGTCCCAGGTCCATGACTAGGTAGTGGAGCTCCGTGCAGGGAGATGGACCTGGCCGGGTACCCAGAGTCGAAGGCTGGGACCCAGGCCGTGCCCCGAGGAGCTGGCCGACCACTCTGCACCACGCGGTTGCTGTGGGGTCACCACCTGCCACAGTCACCAGTGGGCTGTCCCGGGCAGTGATGCTGAGGACCACTGGGGCTGGGAGGGATGGGGCTGGACCACACCCTGGGAAGATCCCCTGAAAAGTGTTGGGGTGCATTTTCCTCAGTGCCGTGTGTTTGGAATTTGCAGGAGAACGGGGTTCCCCTGGAGCACCTGGAAATGTGGGGCCAGAGGGGCCCAAAGGTAACCACATGACAGAGAGCAAAGACCCCTTGGGCGGGGCCCCGGGTCTGTCTGCAGGGAAATGAGACAGACAGACAAAGTGTCAGAGAGAGAGAGAGACAGGGAGAGTGAGCGGAGGGAGGGAGGGACAGAGGGACACACAGGGAGCCTGCTGCATTTTCTACTTCCAAGGCACCTGGGCCTGGGGTGGGGGAGGGGCGCAAACTGAGTCCTGGGCCCAGGGAATGGGTGCTGAGCCGGCTCCCCTCACCCAGGCAGGACCTGGGCCTCAGGGTGCTCCCCCCTGCAGGGGTCCCCACACATTCCCACCTTCATGAGCCCACAACAGGGCGATGCGTGGGAGCAGCAGGCTCCTGGCCCTTCCCACCCACCCCCTGGGAAAGCAGAGCTGTTGGGTGGTTCCCAGAGCAGATGGTCCGTGTCCCCCGACACGGCGTCCTGGCATCAGGGTCCCGTTGTCCTGTCTTCTCCAGGAGACCGTGGGGAGACCGGTGCGCGTGGAGAGAAGGGTGATCGTGGACAGAAAGGTGGGCCCCTCTCGCCGTCCTGGGGGTTCCCGGCAGGCTTTGTGCTGGGAGGTCTCCACAGAGGACTCAGTGAAGCCCACCATGGTCCCCCGGGGAGGGTCTGGTGTCCCTGCCCCTCCAGGCAGCAGGTGCAGGTGTGGGTGCAGTCAGTGAGGGCTCTGAGCCCAGTGGGGACCCGCGTGGTAGGCACGCTGCTTTGCTGCGTGAACGTGAACAATGACTTGTTTTCTGAATGACCCTCATTCATAAACATATTTACAAAGAATCCAAAAAGGTGACAGATCTGTCCACAAGTAAAAAGTGCAAGTTTGGGGCGCAGACCCGCAGGCCTGCCCCTGGCACTGCGCCCACCACAGACTGCTGGAGACAGGGCTGAGCTCCGGTGGGCGGGGACGGCCCGGATGAGACGGCCGCACCGAGGTCCGGTCCCTGCCCTGAGGGGCAGGGCTGCCCTTCAGCCCCAGGCTACCTGGGACTCAGGGGCACTGAGCTCATGGGGGTACAGCTTGGCACCCCGGAGACAGAGTCTGGGGCCCACTCATTAGGACAGGAGCTGTGTGTCCGTGGAGCCAGGAGGGCAGAAGAAGATGGGGATCCTGATTTCTAGACGTGTGACATGCGTGTCCTCTCTCACAACCCACAGGAGACTCAGCACAGTCCCAGTCCTGTGCCACAGGTGACTGACCGTGCCGTCATCCGGTGCCTGAGCTGGACCTGCTCCTGGCTGGGGGCAGCCGACCAGACAGCCAGCCTCGCAGGCTGGTGGGGCAGGACCTTGAGGGCCCACACCCATGTCCACTCCTCGGCTGCTCGAGGGGCAGGCAGCTCGTGCTTAGAGAACCTCATGGAGCCCAGGGAGTGTCCCTGGGGGCGGAGACACTGTTCCCAGGAAGGCCCGGACCCTGGGGACCAAGATGGGGCGCGGGGCTACGTCAGTGCCCTCAGAGCCCTCCCTGCCCCTTCAGACCCGCGCTGCCCCTGCTTCTCCCTCCTGCTCCCCACCCCAACCCTGCCCAGGGCCCGGCCCCAGCACCCACCTCCCGGTCCCCTCCCAGGACCTCGGAACTGCAAGGAGCTGCTCACCAGGGGGCACCTGCTGAGCGGCTGGCACACCATCTACCTGCCCGACTGCCGGCCCCTGGTGGTGCTGTGTGACATGGACACAGACGGCGGGGGCTGGACCGTGAGTGTCGGGGGGGGTCGGGTGGCTGCGCAGGCCGGGGTGGGGGACCGCTGTGGCCTTCGTCCCACTGTCCAGCTCCCTGATGTCTCGGCGGCCACCCCCTGTTCACCAAGGACAGAGAGAACCAGACAGTGGGGTGAGGTCCAGGGGTGGCTCCAGCTGTGTAGCTTTGGGCGTGTCCCCCCCCAGCCTCCACTTCCTCCCGTGTCACCGGTGGGCACCGTCCGAGTGCCCCTGGGTCTGTGCTGAGGCCCAGGTGGCTGAGCGGTGGTGCCAGGCGGTGCCGACTGACTGTGGGGCTGCCCCCCAACCTCTCGCCCCCACAGGTGTTCCAGCGAAGGAGCGAGGGCTCCGTGGACTTTTACCGGGACTGGGCCGCGTACAAGCAGGGCTTCGGCAGCCAGCTGGGGGAGTTCTGGCTGGGCAACGACAATATTCACGCCCTGACTGCCCAGGGTAGGCCCAGGGCCGGCCCTACGCGGGTCTGGAGCCCCGAGACCCACCCAACCCTGACCTTAGCCCTAGGCCACCTGGGCTGAGACAGCCGCCCCTCCAACACAGATGCTGTCGGGGACCCACGGGGACCCGCATTCCCTTTGATGCTGAGCGTCCGCGTCAGAGCGGGTGGGTTGTCAGGGTTCGGCCCGACGCCAGCCCTGACCTTGCCCCCCACCACATCGTGTCCCCTGAAGTCGGGGCTCAGGCACAGGGAGGCTGCCCCCATCCTGTCCTGCCAGCCCCTGTGGGGACCCGCCTGGTCAGTCTGGAGCCGGGACAGCCTCTTTGTCCCCTGGCTTACCTGCCAGGGTCAGCCTGTCGCCGGGCCCGCCCTTTTCTCCCTCCCTGCTGTCCCACGACCCTGTCCCAAGTCCAGGCTCCCAGGCGAAGGACCCAGCAGTTTCCCGTCCTGGGCTGTGAGTGACGTCACTGCCCGTGCTGGGTCACCTTCTCCCAGGAGCACAAGTGGCGGTTTGGGGCTGGGAGAAGGGCCTGTGGGAAGGGCGCTCCCATATCCCTTACTAGCCCAGGACTTTCTCTGTGACCCCGAGGACCCTCCCCCTGGACACCGAGTCCCCAAATTCCCTAAAAATGTAGCCAAGTCCCAGAGGCAGAGGGTCCCTGCCGCTGGCACCTGATGGCCTCTGTTCACAGGAACCAGCGAGCTCCGCATCGACCTCGTGGACTTCCAGGGCGGCTACCAGTTTGCCAAGTACCAGTCGTTCAAGCTGGGGAGCGAGGCCGAAAAGTACAAGCTGGTGCTGGGCGCCTTCGTCGGGGGCAGCGCCGGTGAGCGCCCGGCGGGCGGTGTGGGGGCGCCAGGGCGAGCCCGCTCACTGTCCAGACTCTGCGTGTTCCGGGCGACGTGGGGTGGTGGCTTCTCCTCGCCCCAGTCCCTTCATCCATGCGTTGTCACAACACGGCCCCCGTGCGTGTCCCCACGAGGGTGACACGGGTGAGAAGCCCAGTGCATGGTGGTGCCGTGCCTGACCACCATCGGAACGACCATGGGAGCGGACGATGCGTCAGCCCGTTCTGTGGCGCCTCTGCAGTCCCGGTCGTCCCCGACAGAGTGGCCTCCCCTCTAAGTGGCAGGGTGTCTGCCAGCCGGCGGGCGCAGACCGGGTGAGGGGGTGTGGAGGCCGCCATGCTGGCAGAGCAGGGGTTTCCTGGGGCCATGTCAGCGGCCCCCTTGGACTGTGCGGCGGGGCCCAGCGCCCAGCTGGGCAGCTCTGGCCTGGGCCCGGACCCAGGACCCTCCGGCTCGGAGTGTGAACGTCCGCTCTTCCTTCTGAGCAGGGGACTCCCTGACGACCCACAACAACCAAGCCTTCTCCACCAGAGACCAGGACAACGACCAAGGCTCTACGAACTGCGCCGAGCAGTACCAAGGAGCCTGGTGGTACAATAACTGCCACTTGTCCAACCTGAACGGCCGCTACCTCGGGGGCTCCCACAACAGCTTCGCGAACGGTGTCAACTGGCAATCAGGAAAAGGGTACAATTACAGCTACAAGGTGTCGGAGATGAAGGTGCGGCCCACCTAGGGCTGCGGGCCGCCCCGCGCCTCTTCCCCCGTCCCACACCCACAAAGGCAGGGGACGCGCGTCCCTGGCCGTCATTGCCATGGAAACGAAGAGCTTTATCCTGTCCCCGGGCCCTCCTCGGGGACCCTCAGCTTCGTGCCCTTGACCGGCGGCCAGCCCTTTCTCTCCCGCCTGCCCGGATCGGAGTGGCTGATACCCCCCTCCTCGCCCACAGCACGAGTCCTCAATAAAGGCAGCGGCTCCCTGCGCAGGTCCCTGCGTGCCTACCCATGCTCCTCTGTGGCGTGGCCTAGGGCAGGGCGGTCTAAGTGGGCAGTGTCTGGTGGTCTAAGGCATCACGAAGCAGGGCCCGTGGTACTTACGTGCCAAGGAAGTTCGAGGACACACAGCCACCGTTGTCCCCTGTGGCCTGCCCTCCCCGGCAGCCTTCCAGCTGCAGGCAGAGCAGAGCCTCGGAGACAGGGATGAGCAGACCGCGGGCGGCAGTCCCTACCAGCCAGGCGTCCAGTCCCGGTTCCAGCCTCCTGGGCACTCCGGCTCTTCCCACGGACCTGCGCGCCCAGGCCCTGGCTTCCCAGGGTGGGTGGGGGAGGACCTGGTTCGAAGGAAACCGTGTGCCTGCAACACCCCTCCCCAAATCCAAACTCACACGCAGCGAGGAGGGGGCAGGTCTGGCCTCACCGGGAGCGTCCAGGGCGGAGCAGGCGTGCAGGAGTGGGGCGCCCTTTCTGCCGGCAGGACGGCCCTGCGGGGGGCCTCCGTCACTCCCCAGCCCCGTGAGCCACAAAGAACACTACCGCACCTGCACCCCCTTTCCTGCAGGCCAAGGGAAGCCCTCTTGGGAGCACAGGGGAATCTGTGTGCACTCAGGAGGGGCCCCCAGTCTCACAGGGGGAACGAGGTGCCTCCCATAGCCCAGGACAGGCGGTCTCTGTGGGCGACCAGAGGGGCACCGCCTCACGGCCTGCCCGGCTGGGCGGGCTTCTACACTGCGGGGCATGTGCAGGGGGGTGTTGGCAGAGCCTGCGTGGACCCCCAGCAGGACAGGCCTGTGGCGCCCGTGCTGGGTCCCAGTGGAGAGCCCCTGGGCCGGGGGCCAGCCTGCTGCCTCTCAGGGCCACTGCAGACGCTGTGCCAGCAGCTGTGGAAGAACAGCATTGCCTGATGAGTCGTCGGGGCCTGTGGCAGGGGCCCCACAGCCCGAGGGGGGCGGAGAGCGAGGGAGCTTTGTTGGATGAAAGTGCTGCCCCCAGCCATGGCCCGTGTGGCTCAGTGGGTTGGTGCGTCACCCCGTAAACCGAAAGGTTGGGGGGTGTGATTCCCTGTCTGGGCACATGGCCAGGCAGTGGGTTCGATCCCCAGTTGGGGCACGTACGAGAACCTGGCAGTGCTGATCTGTTCATCAAGAAAGACCAGCAAGAAAGTCCAGCAAGAAAGACCAGCACCTGGCAGTGCTGATCTGTCCAGCAAGAAACCAGTCCATGTTTCTCTAAGAGCCATGACAATGTTCTCAGGGGAGGTGGGACCTGCGGACCTGCCCCGTCTGGCCAGGAGTTCCCAGGAGAAGCAGGGATGGGAGGGCTGGGCGAGCGGAGCCCCCTGCAGGCAGGAAGGGCCAGAAAGCCCAGGGACTGAGGTCTGCAGGGGAAGAGGGTTCCTGGGCGGTCCTAGAGCCCAGCCAGAAAGAGGCGGGGCTTTTCAAAGCCCGCCCGCCCCCAAGGCCCTTGGAGTATGGAGGACTCCCCTAGTCTGTCCATCCTTCCTGCCCCCCACCCCCAAGGGCTCTCAGCCAGCCTTCCTGTGGCAAGGTGATAGGCAGGTGGGGGGGTAAAGAGTCAGAAATCCAGGGTGAGGTGTCTTCAGGGAGAGGGCACGAGGAGCCAAATGACAGAAGGGTCTGGTTTCCAGGGCTGAGGTGGGGGGGGGGACCCAGCCCCCGCCCAGGCCCCTGCCCAGGCCCCCCACACGGAACCACGACTCTGCAAGCGCAGGCCTGTGGTGCATTCCGGCCCTGACATGTGAGGGTTGCTTGTTAAAATTGCTGGCTGTCCGTGACCTCTACAAAGAGGTGGCCCAGGTGAGGACTGGGATGCGGGGAGGACAACTAGACTTCCGTCCTGGTCCTGAAACCTCTAGGCTTGGAGACAGCGTTGCCCCCAGTCAACTTCGTTTGCCCCATTTGAGCTATTTAATTTGGTTGTCACTGTCACAGTGATTAACCGGCCATGTGGGTGGGGATGGCCGGTGATCTGGTCCCTGGAGCCCCCAGGGCACCCACCAAGGGTGAGGCAGAAGTCCCAGCCAGGAAGGCATGAGAGCCAGGACCACCTGGCAGTGTCCATCTGTGCCAAAGCTGGGAACACAGCCCCCCAGAGTCCTGCGCCATCCACAACAAGAGGGCCACTCTCCATTTTAATGGGGTTGAAACATTAATCAGCCAGTCTGAGATTCAGAAAACAAGGGGCAGCCGCTCTGGGTCCTGGCCTCCTGCAGGGCAGGGGTCAGTGCCTCTGAAGCTCCTGACAGGCTGGGTGGGCCCTTTTTCAAAGCCCCAAGGGCATGAGAAGCCCACCGCCATCTTGGACAGCGTACAGGGTGGCCTAGGACACTGTAGGTGCCACCAGCAGCTTTTCCTCTTGTCACGTCTGCCTGGGGCCCTGCTTCCTGGCAGTGCTGATCTGTCCAGCAAGAAGCCCAGAGTCGCTCCCGATGTCCCACCCAGGTGCCCAATCTGAGAGCAGCGCTGGGCCCACAGCCCCGTATCTCCCGGCAGTGCCGGTGGCGAGTCTGGTTTGCACTGCCGGCCTGGCTGCCTCGTCCCTCCCAGCACCTGCCATCTTCAAGTAAGTGTGGCTCTGCGGCCAGACGGTCCCAGCCCATCCCAGGCTCGCCCTGAAGCCAGCCCGCCGTGGTTCCCAAGCCCAAACGCCGATCAGAGCCGCCTGGGGGGTCCGGAAAACAGCACACTCGGGGGGCCCACCCCAGACCCACAGAACCCACGTCTCACAGCGACTCCCGGGATCTCTTCGGGGAAGGCTTTCTGTGATGCTCGTGATGAGCCGAAGGAGGAACAGGTGGAGGGGACAGCCAAGCCCGTCCCCAGCCCCAGGTCCAGGCTTCCATGGGTCCCCCCCCACCCCATCCCCAGTCCCTCAGAGGCCTGGGCACGGACCATCCAAATCAAAAGTCGATTCGAGGATTAACAAACCACTGAATCAGCATCCAGTCAATTACAGCTCTGTCCTCGTGCCTTAGAGAAACTGTTGCTTGGGACTTCGGGCCAAGATGGAGGCGTAGATGGACACACTGTGCCTCCTCCCACAACCAAAAGAAGGACAACAACACATTTAAAAACAAAAAAATAACCAGAACTGCCAGAAAATCGAACTGTATGGAAGTCCCACAACCAAGGAGCTAAAGAAGAAACATTCATCCGGACTGGTAGGAGGGGTGGAGACGGGCAGCCGGGCAGAGAGGACTCTCAGCGAGGTGGCGGCTAGAGGACCCGGTCAAGGTGGCAGCTGGTAGACCAGGCGGTTTGTGTGCAGATAAACCGGGAGGAGCACCTGGGGAGCAAGACCGACCTCACACTCAGGGTCCCCGGTGGGGAAATAAAGCCTCAAACCTCTGACTGGAAAACACCTGTGGAGGGTGTGGCAGTGGGAAAAGCTCCCAGCCCCTCAGGAAAGTTTGTTGGAGAGACCCACAGGGTCCCAGAATGTACACAAGTCAACCCACCTGGGAATCAGCACCAGAAAGGCCCAACTTGCTTGTGGGAAGCGGGAGAAGTGATTGAAAGGCACAGAGAGCGGAGCAAGTGCCACTGTTCCCTCTCGGACCCCTCCCCCACACACAGTGTCACAACCTATGTGTGTTGCCCCACCCTGGGGAACACCTAAGGCTCTTCCCCTTACTACATAACAGGGGAGCTGAGATTAAAAAAAAAATGGTCCAAATGAAAGAAGAGATTAAAGCTCCAGAAAAAATACAACTAAGCAATGAAGAGATAGCAAACCTACCAGATGCAGAGTTCAAAACACTGGTAATCAGAATGCTCACAGAAATGGGTGAGTATGGTCACAAAATAGAGGAAAGAACAAAGGCTATAAAATGTGAAATAAAGGAAAATGTGCAGGGAACCAACAGTGAAGGGAAGGAAAGCAGGACTCAAATCAACAGTTTGGACCAGAAGAAAGAAATAAATGCTGAACCAGAACAGAATGAAGGAACAAGAGTCCAAAAATAATGAAACAGGCTTAGGAACCTCCAGGACAACTTTAAATGTTCCAACATCTAAATCATAGGGGTGCCAGAAGGAGAAGAGGAAGAGCAACAAATTGAAAACTTGTTTGAACAAATAATGAAGGAGAACTTCCCCAATCTGGCAAAGGAAATATACTTCCAGGAAGCCCAGAGAGTCCCAAAGAAGTTGGACCCAAGGAGGAACACACCAAGGCACATCATAATTATATTAGCCAAAATTAAAGATAAAGAGAATTCTTTCCTTAAAAGCAGAAAGAGAAAAAGAGTCACCTACAAAGGAGTTCCCATCAGACTGTCAGCTGATTTCTCAAAAGACACCTTATAGGCAAGAAGGGGCTGGAAAGAAGTATTCCAAGTCATGAAATCAAAAGACCTACAACCAAGATTGATCTATCCAGCAAAGCTTTCATTTAGAATAGCAGGGCAGATAAAGTGCTTCCCAGATCAGGTCAAGTTCATCTTCACCAAGCCCTTATTATATGAAATGTTAAAGGAACTTATCTAAGAAACAGAAGAAGATAAAAAATAGGAACAGTAAAATGACAACAAACAATTATCAACAACTGAACCTAAACAAAAACAAACTAAGGGAACAGCTAGATCAGGAGCAGAACCATAGAAATGGAGATCATGTGGAGGGTTAGCAGCAGGGAGGAGGAGGGAGGGGGAAAAGGTACAGGGAACAGGAAGCATAAATGGTAGGTAGACTATAAACAGGGGAGGTTAGTGTGGGAAATGTAGAAGCCAAAGAACTTATATGTAGGACCCATGGACATGAACTAAAGGGGGAGAATGCTAGAGGGTGGGGTGCAGGGCAGAGGGGAATAAAGGGGGGGAAATGGGACAACTGTAATAGCATAATCAATAAAATACACTTTAAAAAAACGAAAAGAAATTGCTGCTTGGTAATGGTGGTTCCCCAAACGGTGTCCCTGTCAGGAGGGACGTCCCCTCTCGTTCCACCAGCAGGCTCCCTGCAGAGCTGACTTCTAGTGGAAATGCCACAGGCCGGAAAAGCTTTGCGCAGAAAAGCGCTCCTTGCCAAATCGCAGACACGAGTCTTCGAGCACATCCAACCCCAGGAGCGTGACTGGTTCCTCAAACGGACACGAAGTGACCATTTTAAAAATGCCAGCTGCACAGACTCCAGGGATGAGGGAACTCGCACACCTCGAGCAGACAAACCCAAAGTGTGGACTTCCGCTGCTGGTCACAACCAAACCGAACGTCCTTGTGAAAACAAATAAATATGGACAAGGCTCAGAGGCCCCCTCGGTCAGCCCTCACGGCCAACAAAAGACAGAGGAACGCCCAGGGTCAGAGGCCTCGGAGTAGAAACCCGGAGATTCACTGCGGGCCGGCCGGGAGCCGGGGCAGCCTCTCAGGGGCAGAGCTCCAGCGCGACCTGTGTCTCAGGCACGCAGGTGGGTCCGGGGGCGCCGTGGAGCAGGTAGAAAGAGTGAAGACGCAGAAAACGCCTGGCAGGCACGGGATGTGGTGACCACAGCAAAGCGCCCACGTGGACGGAGTACCTGGGGGAGGGCCAAGAATCGTGGCTCGCAGGAAGCCTCCCACCCATCCCAGAGAAACCCCAAGGCCAGAATAAAGCCTAGAAACAGACACATAACAGGACAAGACCGAGTCCGTCAGGGCCACGTCTAAAATCAGACTTACAAGACTTTACCAACACCCAGCCAAGTCCCGAACCACCACAAGGCTGTAAAGTACCAAACCCGTCCAGACTGCCTCCTACGAAAGCCCCGATGCTACGGCCTGTATCACACAAACTAGGCTAACTTGTGAGTCTTCCTGCAGTTGTGAGACACCCGTCTGCTGAGGAAGGGAAGTGCCGTCCCAGGACCTGTGTGGATGGGGTCAGCCCGGGGTTGGGGGAACTGCAGGGGCCCCTCCTCACGGCTCCCGAGTCAGGGACCCCAGCGGTCACAGGAGATGCTCCATAGCCCGCCTCCCCGGCTCTGCTCTCTTTCAAAGTCGTGTTTACCTGTGAACATAACATACACACAAAAGTGTATAATAGGAATGTGCCCACGTAAGGTTTCTATCCTCATGTGGCCCCCACTCAGGAGGAGAAGGAGCACAGTGCCAGCCCCCAAGTCCCGCCGTGGCCCTTCCCCTCCCCGCCCACCGCCCCACCCTGTCTGCTCCCAAACGCCATCATTGCTTTCCCGACTAGTCATGCACTAACCTCCGCAGGCCACTGGAAAGCCGCTCTGTGTGTGTGGGGGGGGCCAGCATCACATGCCCTTGACTCTCGCTTCTTCGGTGCCCCCGCCCTGCGTGTGGCTGCCCACAGGGTGCACGGGGGACAGAGGGGTGGCCGCTGAAGTGCGTGGGTTTCTTCTGAGGTGGTGGAGACACCCTACAACTGGAACGAGGGGGCGGGTGGGAGCTCTGTGCGTGCGCTCCACACGTGCGAGTGTGCGGTTTTACGCAACGTGAACTGGATCTCAGTGAGGCTGTTTTAGTTTTTAAATAGCTCTTTTTAAAGATTTTCTTTATCTACTTTTAGAGCAGGGAAGAGAGGGAGGGAAACATCAGTGCGTGGTTGCCTCTCACATGCTCCCTACTGGGGACCTGGCCTGCAACCCAGGCGTGTGCCCTGACTGGGAATCGAACTGACGACCCTTTGGTTCCCAGGCTGGCACTCAGTCCGCTGAGCCACAGCAGCCAGGGCTCAGTACGACTGTTGAAGAAAGGGAGAGGGAGTGCTGGGAAGAAGGTGGCCGCTCTGGCCTGTGGCTCCTTAGACAGGGGGGAGGAGTGACCCTGGGGACCGGAAGGAAGTGCCTCCTGCCTCCTGCTCTGGGTTTGGGAGACCCCAGCGTTCTGCTCCACCCAGTGGTTCTCGCTCGTTGCCCGTCCTTCCCTACGCCCAGTTCTCCTCCCCAGCCCGTCAGCCCCTTCTCTGCCCGGCCCCCGGGCTGGTGCCCACCCCCCACCCCCCGGCTTGGAGAGGGGAGATGAAACCCAGCTCTGGGTGGCCTGGAGGTCACGGGGCCACGCAGTCCCCAGGGCTCCGTGGGAAGCATCCCTCACCCGCAGGCCCATTTCAATTTCCTGGGGATAATAACCCCACTCAGAGCAGCACCTGCCAGGCCCCCCGAAGACAGATGACCGCCGTTTGCAGGGGAGTAGCCCGCGTCAGAGTAAATTGGAATTCATGTCTCAGGAGGCAGGTGGTCTGCTCGCAGCCCCCTGCCGCCCTCGGCCGGAGGACTCGGCCCCGCGCAGACTCACGAGACAGTGCTCCACGGGAGGACCCCGCTCGCCTGCGTCCTGTGTTAACACCTTAAGCGCGAGCCTGGAAGCCCCAGAGCACGGGGAGAGAGCACCCTGTGCTGCCGTCCTCCCCCCGGGCAGCGCAGGCAAGAGGTCAGTGTCACCTTCTGGAAACTCAGGGAAAAAAATGTCAGGAAGTAGGGGTTCGTGGGTATGTGTGCATGCGTGTGTGTGCGTGTGTGTGTGGTGGCTTTGGGTCAGGTGCATTTCTAAAGCTTGTGGACAGACTGCAGAAGTGCAGACACGCTCTCTGCCCAGGAAAACCAGTCCCAGCCCCGTCTACCAGTCTTTGGTCATAGTCCGCTCCCCTCTGGTCTCACGGACACGCCGCTGCCCCCTGGCAGGCGTGTGGCGAGACTGGGCTGGGACAGGCATGGAGAAGGCACACACGGGGACCGCCACCAGGTTGAACGCACACGGTCTCGCCTGGGGCTCCGCACTCCAAGCTGTGGCACAAACAGTCACTCTGCGTGAAAGGGTGGACGCGGCTGCCCACGACACTGGCTCACAGCAGCGGGCTTCATCTTTTTTTTATAATTTAATTTTTTTAACTTTTTTTTTTAAGACAGAGGGGAAGGGAGGGAGAAAGTGAGGGAGGTTAACATCAAGGTGCAGTTGCCTCTCACATGCCCCCCACTGGGGACCTGGCCTGCAACCCAGGCATGTGCCCTGACTGGGAATCGAACTGGCTCAATCCACCGAGCCACGCCAGCCAGGCTGGGCTTCATCTTTAACCTCACGTCAGGGCAGGACCGGCCCTGCTGAAGCGTGCTCGGGTGCGGGTGGGATGCCTAAAACTAATCACAGACGTGCATTGCCACGGGAGGACGACTGGGTGGAAGGAAAGACTTACTGCATGTGAGCACCTTCTCCTACCCTCCCCCACTCCCGGGCTTCACCTGCTGTACCAGGTTCTCTGCCCAGTGGAGGGGACACAGGGCCTGGACACCCAGAGCTTCCTTCCATCCTCCCAGCACCCCTACTCCCTGTCATCCCAGTGACAAAAGACGGCTGAGGGCAAGTGGGCAGGTTTGCAGGCTCATGCAAGCCTGGTCCCTGCTGGGGTTCCTTCTCACCTTTTACAGAGGCCAGCTCTCTGGCAGGCAGGGAAACCCAGCCACGGTCGAAGGGGAGTCAGTACCATTCTGCTCTGTGTCTGGGGAGAGGAGAGAGCACGACCCAGCAACTGCAAGTGAAGAATCCCAGGGAAGCCTCTGATTGGCTGGGTACTAGCCAATCATCATGATGAAGGGAAATGGGGGTTGTACTGCTGGACCAGCACAGGGGAGCAAGGCTCAAGCAGGCTGACCAACAGGTTCCTTCTGCCTGGAACTGTCCCCATATCAGCAATTTCCATGTCCCAGAAACCCGTTAGTCCTTTGCAAACCAGATGGTGGGTCACTAAAAGTCAAGGCTCCATCTGGAAATTTCCAAGTTGAGTGAGTCGGGTGAGGAAGTTACAGGCTGTGTCTCCCGCATTTCGTTTGGGTGGTTTCCCCACACAGCGCCGTAAGAAGAGACACTTTGGAAGGGAACGCCAAGAATGAGGTGAAACAGAACCGGGGGTGGCCTGTGGCTTGTCTGAAGCATGCGAACCCCACCCGAGTTCACAGTTAAACAGGAACCGCCTCGTGGGAACCAGAGCCCCTGCTGGCCTGGCCTCTCAAGGACCTCCTCTATCAAGGACGGCTGGCCCCAAGCAGCTCAGCTGACATTTGGGGTCACACATGCTTCAATGTTGGCCACCGCAGGGTCCCCACTCCAACACGAACTCCTAAGGGATGTGGGGAAGCGGTCACAACAGCCCCCCGCCCAGTGGATGTTGTCCCAGGTCCAGGGCAGCCCAGACGTCTGGACGCTTCAGCTCCTCCCCCGCAGGAACAGGACCCAGAGGCCCCCCACCTCCCCTTGACCTGTGCAGACGGCAAGGAGAGGACATCTCGGCTGCCCTGGTCCCTGGGAGCTTGTCCATGGCAGGAGTGGCCCTGGAGGTCAGCTGGGCACGCTTTCGGACACCAGGGGCTGCAGAAAGGAGCCCCCCCCACATCAACCTTCCACAGGTAGGTGTCAACCCCGCGACGGAAGACGTGGCAGGAGGAGCTACCCCTGCGTGCCCAGTACCAATAACCTCACCATCTCCTCGTCTCTAAAGCTGGGTGGGGGGAGGGGCCTGAGGCGATGGAAGGGCTCCGACTGCAGCTTTGCAGGAGGAAGACCCTGGTTTTCCAGATCCCGGCGCTGTCCCCCCACCCAGCGTCCCCAAGGGGCACTCTCCTGGGAGGCTCAGATTTCAAATTAGTTTTGCTTCCTCCAGCGAGATCTCTCTGGTTTGGCTCAGCTCAGGGGATGCCAGAGATCACTTGATTAAAATAATTCACGTCCCCTCTTAACGATCGCTGAGCTTAACCTTCCCGGAAAGGCCCCCCGACTTTGGAAGGCGCACCGCTACTCACTGGGGGGGGATGAGGAGGGATGTCCCCAGGCCCAGGCTGATGCCCCCTCTCCTTTGACTAGGGGAGCAGGGTCTGCAGGGGGCGTTCGGGGTTCTGGGACTCTGCCCGGGCCCGTCCTCCAGTGTGAGCTGGGCATGTTGCCGGTGCTCCCGGTGGGTGTGGTCCCGGAGGGCCCTCCCCGTGGTCTCCCTGGTCTCTGCCTCTCTGGCCTCCAACCGGACAACAAGACACCAGAGAGGGGCGGGGCCCCAGAAGTTCCCCGGGTGATGTGGGACGTCCACCGGCACAAACGGGGACTGTCCCCATACGCTCTGTGGGCCCTTCTGGCCTGCAGATCACGTGGTGGGAGGTCACTCACTTGTCAGCGACAGTGTGAGGACTTTGGCCACAGGTACCTGGGACAGCCCCAGACAGGAAAGAGTGGGGGCCTCAGGAAACGTCAACAGGGACAGCTCACCCCCCACCAATTCCCCTTGGGACCACCTGTAGGAGTTAGTGGGAACTCCACACTGAGACAAGGGGGTTCCATCCACTGACCCCTCCTTTGGAACAGGTTTCCAGAGGGGCAGAGCACACCCAGCTGCTGGCCAGGGAGGAGACGGTTTCCACCCCCCCACAGCAGCCTGAGAGCCTGGGTCCCCCCAGGCACCGCCCCCATCGGGGCCAGGAGGCCGCGGCGTCTGAGGGGCTTTGCTCCGTCCGCCCCTCACGCTTCCCCGTGTGGCGCACAGCGTCCATCTCTGCCCAGAGTCTGCCGCCGGCCCTAAGGGGCCCCGTCCCTCCTGAGGGGGTCGAGCAAGCTCACTGGGTTGCCCGTCGGTAATTAAGTCCCCACACAGCTGTGGGGCAGATGTCCTGGGACGATCGGTCTCGGGAGTGGGAGGGTACTTCTCAGGGGCAAGGTTCTTCCTGGCTGACCGTCGATCATCTCTGCACCCCCACCCCCGCCCGCCGAGCCGGAAGTGCCAGGTGCAGGGAAACTGAGTCAGGCGTGCCCCCCTGCCCCGTCCTCTGGTGCAGACTAGGAGGAGCTAAGTGAGACCCATGGGGTCGCCTCCTGCACGAAGCCTCTGGTGGCAGCTCCAGCCTCATCGGGCCGGGTCACCTCGAGCCATGCCCCACGTCCGGTGGCCGCTCGAGGCCTCGGACACCGAGCAGACAAAGCCCAGTCCGCTCGGTTCCAGCACCTTCCTTCCCGGGGGTGGGGGGTGGGGGGTGGGGGAGACAGACGGTGGTCCATGAGACACGGCCTGGTTGGCATCCCCACGGTGGTGGCAGTGTGAGGCTGTAAATAATATTCTCTCAGTGCTCAGGACAGGATTATTATTATTCACCCCCTAGTTCTTGGATCCCTGAGAACTGCCAGGGTCCCCTCCCTCCATTCCCTTGATGACTGAGCAGCCGGACACCAGCAGGTCTGACCAGTGGATACCAACACAGCCCATCCTCCAGTCCCCAAGGTCCCCCACACGGCCCCTGGTCCAGGCCCGCAGCAGGAGGGCCTTCCCCAGCGGACGTCCGACCTTTGCTCTGAGAGTCCCGGCCTCCGTTCTGGTGTTAAGAGGCCATTGACAAACGGAAGGACAGTTGGAAATACCGCCCTGGACATGTTCCTGGGCCATGAGTTTAAGTG